AGTACTGCCAAGAGTCACCGCATCACATTTTACCCAAAAAATTGCATTTTAAATGTGTGCACTTATGTATGTTTTAATGTACGTAGATACTTTTTGAATCATTACATCCACTTTTAATTGAGTAAGAGACACAGTGCCTTTACTTAGTTTCTCTGCTTTTCCACCCTGGGAACTGGTTACATTTACTCAGTTACATGCACTTAGTTGCATGTACTATTTTTTGAGTTTTCAATTGATAATATTTTTCAATTCAAGTAGATTTTTGAGGAAAGCAGTCTGATTTCCACTTGGTTATGTTTAGTCCATCATATGTAGTTCTTGATTTTTAGTAGTAAATTTCATGCTACAGTTGGTAAGATAGTTTGTTCTGCTTTACTATTCCGAACACCTCTCACGTTGAAGCTTTAGCACTTCTGTGTTAATTGGTATTTTATACCAGATGTGGAATGTAAATTTGATGCCGTTGTACAGTCCAGACATCTCAAACAAGTAGACTAGCACTGGCATGTTCTGTAGCTGTAAACAAGTTTCCTGATGTCATATCATAATCCTGACATTAGCATATTTTAGTATGTTGGAAATTGATAGGTCCAAAAAAACAAAACCAAACACTGTAAGGTAACATTACTGAAGAAAAAAAACAGTCAAACATATATGAAATAGTTTTTGAACTGGGCAAAAGGGGGTCAGTTTTTGGTAGATGTACCAGTAGTTCAAATCATGACCATGCTCTGAACACTGATGCCAGAGCAATGAAAACAAATCTTGAATGGCAGGCACTCTTGAGGTAATTATTCATGGTAGTTATGTTTGATTCATGGTAGATACACTGACACATATCACTCAAAGAGCAGTGTAGCAGTGTGGTATTTGTTACTTTACCAGACGTCCTATTTTTGCTGAATTATAGTATTCAGATTTCACAATGAGGATCTATTCTACATTGTGTCTTTCACTCCAACACTGCTATTTCATCTGTACTCATTTATTTCAATGTTATTTGTTTTCTGCACTGTGGTGAACTCCACAATCTAACACCACCTGTACCAATATAAAGCATGGTGTATTCCAGTAGGTTCTAGTAGTTGCCAGGGTCACATATCTTTATATAGCAGTATTTCGGGTAGAAGCCTTCACTTTACAAGTAACTCTTGTTGATCTGTACGCTTACACTAGGTGGCAGCATTTACGTCTCTGAACTGAAAACATGCAGCTGTAGGCATTTTAAAAGACAAAAAAAAAAAAATGAAAATCACACAACATTAACCAAACTAGGAAAAGCAGGCACTGTGAAGGAAAGCAGTAGAGGTTAATGTATGGAGGTTTAAGTAATGGGGCCCGCACCTTCAGATGAGCTACAACTGGAGCCAATGCTAAAGCTAACACTTGTGCTAGGCAATGATTCGTCAAATATGTGTGGCCTTTAGCAAAGCTCAGGAAGCATTGATCTTTATCTCTCTCTCTCTCTATCTCTCTCTCTTTCTTTCTCCAGAAGGCCCAAATCCTATATTTTTCTTGTGTTGTATTTGACCCCTGAGGTCCACTTATAATACTAGTGTGGTTTTATGTACTTATATTATTTTTATTATTACTATGTACTTATATTAAATATGTACCATAAAACATAAATTATTTTCACATGACAATTTTCTAACTTCTCTTTATATTTTTATTACAAATAAACAGCCTGTTTTTGTGCCTTCGAGACTGATATATGTAAATAAGTTCTGTTGTGATTGGCTGTGCTCGATTGTACTTCACTTAAAAAACAATTAAGGCTGAAACACTGTTTATATCTTGAGTGGGCGGGGCTAAACTGCTGTGGGTTGAATAGGTTGATGTATGTAAATATGTTGGTTTGTCTCAGAGGAAGTTCTGCCAGCCTTCATCCTCCCAGTTTGAGCTGAACTATGAATTTTATTTGCGCCCATAATATTAAACTTGTTATCCAACATTTGTGTAACTGCTCTGTGTAACTGAACTCATTTTCAGTTATCAGTGTGTTTACTGATCATTTTGTGTTCCAAGAGAACTGAAGTTTAAATAAAAACAAAATGACTTAATTAATGTCTTTCCCTAATTATTTCATCATGAACAAAATAGTGAAAAGAAGGAATATTCCACCACTTTTCACTGATAGCAACAAATCATGAACTCATGAAGACGTAATGCTTTAGTGATGCTAAATATATACTTTAACACTTCTTCTATGAGGTGGTGATTCATCATTGAGTTTTTTCACCCATTTAAAACAGTAAGACAGGCATAAACTTATTTTTGTTCACTTTCAGCTACACCTGCGAAAAAGAAACAACATAATTCCAAACATGTAAACAATATTTTTATCTGTGAGAAATACTCTACCAGACTATGATGCCATTTCATGTGATACATTGGATACATGAAGCTAAAGCTCAGTAATAACTTTAATGTATGTATGTATGTATGTATGTATGTATGTATGTATGTATGTATGTATGTATGCACAGCAGAGTTAACAAGACCATCAGTTCTGTTGAGTTCTGTTACAGTATTACAGTACAGGTCTAATCAGAGATGATGACTAGATCGCCTACAGGAATGAGGTTCAGCACCTGGCTGCATAGTGTACCTGGCACTTAACACCCAGAAGTCCAAGGAGATCATCGTGGAGGAACCCTGCACACACCTCTGTCTACATCAACAGAGCTGCAGTAGAGTGCATATCAAGTTCCTTGCCATCTACATCTCATATGATCTCACTTTGTCCCTAAACTCATCTATCTTTACTTCCTATGGAGCCCTAAGAAAGCTCACCTGTGTCCCAGGTGGATACTGGTAGATTTCTACCGCTACTGTAACACTGAGAGCACACTCACAAACTGCATCTCAGTGTGGTATGGCAACTGCTCCGCATCACACTGTAAAGCACTAGAAATGTATGGATGTGGTTAAGCCTCTACTAAGAGGGTCTGGGGCATGATTCCACAGGAGGATGTTTTCCTCCGTTCGCAGAGTGCATACCACCAGAGCCCCTCCCCCAGATCTGATATGAATGGCCGAGCTGGTGCTACACTTTACCCCAAATCTGGACAGCAGAGGACTGCCCTTTCCTGTTGTTATGTTAAAAAATGTCTGTCCAGACAGCACTGCATTACAGTAGCAGCTGCAGGGCCCCCAGTTTGCACCTATCGCAGTATAGCTATTGTAAATTTGGAGACATGCTGGCACGGTTGAATAAATAACAATAAATGCAAAAATCTGTTGATGATTTTAATTATAATGAACAATCTAAATAATACTTGACTGGCTTAGCGACACTCCTGAATCCAGTGGGTGATGAAAGTTTCCCAGCACATCACTGGCGCCCAGTTACCCTCCACTGAGAATGTTTCTCACAAGCGCTGCCTGGATAGAGTGAGAATCATTAAGGTCGTCCCTCATCTTAACCATGGAGCTCCTCCCATCTGGCAGGCGTTACAGGAGCCTCCGCTCCCACCAGTAGGCCCAGGAAGAGCTTGTTCCCTGAGGCTGTGACCCTGCTGAACTCCACACCAACACACAAACAGCATCACTGCACTCATTACTGCACTGTTTACAGTACTTGATGTAATTTGCACTGTTCATATTTGCACAGTCTGTTTCTGTAGATATGACCTACTATACTTTATACTCTGCATACTTAACCTAATTTACACATGCAGCTCATCCTGTACATACAACTATACATTTGCACTGTCTGTACCCTACTTCACCCAGTTTACCTTTGTGTATTTATTTACATTTTTACATATGTAATATTTGTATATTGTATGTTCCACTGTACATGACTGTACATATTGTAAGACATGGAATCACTTAATATGGTACTTAATTTTCTTGCTTTTGTCTGTAAACAATACTCCATTTTTCACTTCTGGTTAGATGCTAACTGCATTTCTTCACTAAAATCAGGTGTAAGGACAAGGGTACACTAAGGAGCAGAATCAGGACAATATTTGTCAGAAAACACTTAATGTGCCAAACTATCTAAAACAGAGATCACAGAGATCATCTATAGATTTAATCTCTCTCTCTCTCTCTCTGAATCTCCTGAAATAAATCTCCTCAGCAGGATTTAGAGCTTTACCCTCATGATGGTCATTTGAACAACTACAGGTGAGGAAAACAGTCCAGCTCTTCTAGTGGTCATTGTTAATGTTAATATGCTGAGACATTATAACAGAACTGTAACGATTTAGTTACAGTTACGTAGCTAAAGTAATTCTGTTAATGAGCTCATATTATTTTTGGTGAATATCAGGAACATCAGTGTCAGCTGATTCTCTGAATTTAGTCAGCCAGGCTTGTTAATGTTGGCCAGCTATCCTAACATAGTGAGAGATTAACAACTGTGTCTGATCCACTCGTACCAGCGCAACACACACTGACACACCACCACCACGTCAGTGTTACTGCAGTGCTGAGAATGATCCACCACCCAAATAGTACCTGCTCTGTGAGGGTCCATGGGAGGTCCTGACCACTGAAGAACAGGGTCAAAGGGGGCTAACAAAGTATTAGAGAAACAGATGGACTACAGTCTGTAACTGTAGAACTACAACGTGCACCTATATAGTAAGTGGAGCTGATAAAATGGACAATGAGTGTAAAAACAAGGAGGTGGTCATAATGTTATGCCTGATCGTATACCTATATAAAATAGGGGCAACGTATCTAATCTGAGCTTCATAAAGCCAGAGAAATCAATATCACACAGAGAAAAATACTGTCACAAGACAGTATTATCATCCCTAATACTTTTATTCAAACTTTTATTCTTCATTCTGTACATTTTAATCATTTTTTTTTTTTAACGTGTAAAGTAGGTTTGAGCCCTGGTGTTAATTAACCATGTTACCACAGTAACAGACTTCTGTAATGATTTACAAAAGGTGAATGAGTTGGAAATCAGGCTCAAACAGAAAGTTAGTTTCACTGAAGAAGATATGAGGATATACAGCCTTAAAAAAGTGTACACCTTTTACACCTCAAAAATTGTTTATTATCATTGTTGAAACACCTTAGCACAATGACACTGTCATTAGTTTTAGTTTGAACTTATTACAGGAGTTTGAACCTGAATAAGTCACATATGTTCTTAAACATCATTGCAGTGTTTGGACGTTTTAAACTAAACCCAAATACTGTATCAATTAAAATATCACACATCTGCCACTAGATGTCACTGCATCTGAGGGTCAACTGAAGTTTAACTTCAACCTGCTGGACACATGATTTTACTGAGGCAAGACAATTACATTTCAGACAGGAGTTTGAATAATAATCATTGCTGTGTTATAGCTGCATCAAACAAAATGTTATTGACTGCTGTAGGAAGAATTTTAATCTCTATTACAGTAGAAAGGAAAGAGAGGCAATGCACTGTGACAAAATATAGACCTCTTCTTTATGTGATGCCTGACAAACAGTATTTAACTGTGTAAAAATTACTGCAATGCACAGCCTTACTGCAGTAACCAAATACAATACGCTAAAATACACAGTTGTTCAATAGATTATTTTTGGTATTATATTAAATGACGTAGTGTAATTTATGTTCCTGATTACCACACAAAATAACAGTTTTTTCACTTTATCAATTCAAAATTAGATGGAACAAATACAGATTTTAGAAATAGAACTATCTATTTCATATTTATATCTGATAGTGTAAGATGCAATTTTAGAATAGTATGTTGAAATGCTTACTTGCACGGAAATGACGATATAATGTAATATAATGAATATAATGTAATTACTGTACTACAGTATAATAACATAATGTGCTATACTATTATTATTATTATTTAATATTTGAGATGTTTCAGAGCAATGAAGTATCTTTCAATAGCTAATAAGCCACAATTATTTAGTGTTTTTTTTTCAGTCAGGCTAATCATGAGATTATTATATTCTTATTTTGGGCTATCACATGTAATTTAGCATGCAGTTGCCTGTTATACCTTGTAACTGACCACAATAGGTTCACAGCTAAAACAATGCTAAGTAAAAGTCAAAGCAAGTCATATTTTGACTCTATTCAAAGTCCCAACACACAGAAACAGAACAACAGTAAATGGACTGAATAGGGGGCTAATCTGAGAACCACTCTAAACTGAGTTGGAAGGAACTTTATAATTCTCCTGTGACTGCATTTTCATGGTACCTTAATTTGGTGGGAGAACTTTTAACCTCACAACCCTAATGGTGGGTGATTACCATTATCATATACATCACATATATATCACAACATCATTGTCATGGTTACCTCCGTTCACGCTATCACTACCTCCAAGCTTCCGGACTCCATCTCCCAGAACACCTCAGCTGATTACATGGCTCACATGACTTCATCACCGGTCCGCCTCACCTGACTACTGACTAACCTCACCTGTTCCTTGTTTCTTGTGACTTGTTAGTTCAGTATATAAGTCCGGGCTTTAGCATAGGACCTTTGTGAAGTGTTACCTTTGTTTACAGAGCCTTACTGAGCATTCTAGTCTGTTTGTTTGCTTGCTTCACTGTGTACAACCATTGCCTTGTTTGTTTTTGACCTTGCCTTTTGCCTCGCCCTCTCAGTATTGTGATTTCTGGTTTGACCTTGTTTTCTGGATTTTGGACTTCCCTCATTACTGTTTTCAGGCTTTTGACTTTGAACTGGCTAACCTTGATTTTGGATCCTCATTTTGTTAATAAACCTATTTTACTTCAGTGTGGTCTGCAAGAGTCTGAATTCTGTCCGAGCCTGACAATCATGGAGGGGCTCTGAGCTAGCTGAGTATTTTTGCTCAACAACAGGTGAGAATAGTGGGAGGGGGAGGTGAAACATAATTGGTTAATATTATTTTTGGTGCATAATAACGTAATCAAGAATCAGAAGGTTCTGATTTTGGTAACACTTTATTACTGGACATAATCTGACAGCATACGACACTGGGGTGGCGCCACATCTCCAAAAGTGGTGGGGCAAAACATATTGTTTATCAGCAGCAGCATGGAAGACAAGGCTGCACGCTACAGAGTACGGCGGGCGCTACGGGAGGAAACCAGAGTCACAGTTCCAACAAAGTGGCTCTAGAGCACTGTGGCAGGGGCTGCAGAGGGTAATGGACTTCAAAAGCCCACCCTTCGGGATAGGGTGTGCGGATGTGTCTCTAGTGAGCGAACTGAACACCTTCTACGCTCTCCTGGTGGCTGCAGCCGACAGCACTAGTGGAATAATCAGCGCTAGTGCTAGCACTGCTAACAGTGAGGCTATTGGAGCATGTGCGGATCTCGTTAGAGGACAGAGCCCGATCATCAGCACAGCAGAAAACGTGAGGAAAAGTTTAAGGACAGTGAATACCAGGAAGGCGGCGGGACCAGACGGAATCAACGGTCGAGTCCTCAAAGCTTTTTCAGCTTGCTATGGTATTTGCTGAAATATTTAAGATCTTCCTGACGCTTGGAGTGATTCCAGCATGCTTCAAACAGTCAGTCATTGTCACTGTCCCAAAGAAACCCCAGCCAGGCTGCCTTAACGACCATCGCCCATTAGCCATCTTATGAGCCGTGATGAAGTACTTTGAAAAGTTGATCAGAGACTTCATCACCTCTTCACTGCTGGTCTCCATGGATCCACTACAGTTTGCATACCGCCCCACTGTACAGATGATGCCATGACACACCTGCTCCACACAACACCATCCCACCTGGACACTAGGAGGGATAATTATGTTAAAATGCTTTTTGTTGACTAAAGCTCAGCATTTAACACTATTATCCCCTCCAAACTCCACACCAAGTTCACTGGACCTCCAACTTACTGACAAACAGACCACAAACTGTGCAGGTAGGAAAACACATCTCACCAGCCCTCTCCTTCAGCACTGGAGCCCCTTTGGGCTGTGTCCCCTGCTGTATTTACTGTACACATATGACTGCATGGCCACTTCCAGCTCTACCATCATTGTCAAGTTCACTGATGACACTATTGTAGTAGCCTCTGACAATGATAAGAGGGCCTACCTGGGAGTTAAGCACCTGGAGAATTGGTGTCAGGATAATAATCTCCTCCTTAACGTCAGCAAGACCAAGGAGCTGACAGTGGACTACAGCAAGAAGCAGGAGAGGAGCTTCCATCCTGTATGCATAAATGGAGCTGCAGTGGAAAGAGTGGACAGTTTCAAATACCTTGGACATCTCGCAGGACCTGTCACAGTCTAGCCACATCAACTCTCTGGTAAAGAAGGCCTGCCAGCATCTCTACCATCCCAGATGCCTTCAGACCTCCACAGTGTTACGGAAAGCATCCTCCCGGGAACATCATAGCCTGGTTTGGAAACAGCACCGGACAGAAGGGCTCTCGAGAGGGTTGTGCGGTCAGCTGAACACATAATTCAGACCAAGCTCCCTGACCTGCAGACTGTCTATAGCAAGCAGTGCTGGACCAAAGCCAGGAAGATTGTGAAGGACTTCAGCCACCCCAACAATGGCCTCTTCTAACTGTTGCGGTCAGGGAAGCGCTTTCACTCCCTTAAGACACAGAGAGAATGAGGAGGAGCTTCTTCCCACAAGCCGAGCTCTAAACCATGACAGCAAATAGAACCACCAAGACACACATACACACCCATCACACACAGGACTCTGCACTAAACATTGACCACTTATAATTTATTTATACTACCTCTTGCTCAGTTGCACAGCTTTATGTTGCTCTTTCACTTTGCACATTTTGCACCTTGCACTTTACTTTCAACAATGTCATGTGTACATTGCACATTTCATATCTTCATTGTGTTTCTAGTGTATATTTCATAGGTGGATATTTTGTTATTTTTTTCTGTAAAACATTGTTCTTTTATTTGACTGCTGTTTCTTAGTACCTTATTGCTTCATGTGAGTGGGCAGTTATGCAAGCATTTCACTGCTAGTTGCCGTGTATGACTATGTATGTGACGAATAAAACTTTAAAACATATTATAATAATATGTTTATAATATTTTTTAAAAAATGATTAAATTCCTCTTTAAGTCATATTGACTCCCCTGTAAATAAGAAATAAAATAATATTAATGAGTTGTTAGCACTGATAAAAGACCGTCCACTATTACTGTCATCTCCATCATCAGATTTTAATTTCCCTCTTTATTATTGATATTATTATTGTTACTATTATGGTTGCCATTCTGCTGCATCTTATTTGGTTTTCAGTGTCTGTTTCCCATGAATCATTTCAACTGTCCTCATCCTCCCTCTCATATACTGTATTCACAGTCATGTTCTGACCTGTCCTGCCTCTCTGTCCTCTCTCCTCTCGATGGTCACTATTGTATTGGTAATTGGAGCTTGAAGCTGAAGTTACTGGTTGGCTGAAATAATAAAGTGAGTGAGTTAAACAGAGGCTGAGTTAGAGTGAGCTCTTTCTCTTTGTTCTGTTTTTCAGCAGTGGTGATTATTTCTCTCCGGTTTCAGCGAGACTGTCCAGTTTCCTTGTTCCTTGTTCAGTAATTTACTCTAAAACATGCTCTGAAAACACTGTAACTTCCATAACTCTCATTTAGAACACTTCAGTGATATCACACCTCCCACACTTCTGTTAGATTTTTCAAATATATTTCATCACTATTATTTATTTGTTTAGTTTTTGGTCTGTGCGCATCCCTGAAAGGGCGGGTTCATCTGTTAAGCACGTTCCTGACTGGCTAATGCAAATCATGTAATATGATATTGTGAAACATGATTGGCTGGAGTCAGCAAATGATTGACTGTAGCCCCGCACACCCACTGTGTCTCCGCTGTTCTTCTCCAGAACAGGTGGATGCAGTGAGGGAGAAACCGAAAGTAAGTTTTACCTGGTAAAGGTTATACACGGAGAGAAGATTTCAGAGAGGAAGATTGCAGATATTAGCGTTTTGGGTTCAGTCGGCAAGAATAACTAACAGGAATGAGGAATATCTGCGTGTAGTTTAAAGGAACACGTTTTTATGTGTTTCACAGATACTGAACAGTTCTTTCAGCTGAACTCAGTGGAGGATCAGACTTGTTATAAAATGGCCGCTTAATGAAACAGGTAGAGACAAAGATGATGTGAGATGGTTAGAGAGCAAAAAATGTATTTATGTGAACTCTGAATTTTGAAAAATATTGTAAACTGACTTTAAAATATGCACCTAAATAGTCACATTTAACGGTGATAGTTGTGTGGTTTGTTGGAATTGAGAGCGCATTGCTGTTTATGTGGGGTTTGTAAATAATACTGTTAAGTGTGTTCATATGCAGTACCGCTGTTTGACCATCAGAGGGAGCAAACAGACCTCAAGACAATGCAAGACAACATCCTGCTTTAGAGTTTTGTTTTTTAATCCTCCTCCTGTTTATTACACCGAATAAGAAAGTTTAGGAAATTCCTAATTGTCTATGAGACAAAATTTTATATAGACTAAATAAGACTAAACTTTATATAATTTTTTTTGTTTTCAGGTGTTGTTTCATGCTGTAATTTACTGACAACAGATTCATTGGCCTAAGAATGAATGTTTGTGCACAGGTGTCAGCGTCTCCAATCCAGCTGAGTTTGTTTGAAGAACACCTCCATGATGGAGTTCCATACCTCTAGTAGTGGAGAAGAACCCTCTGTCCCAAAGTGAGTAACTTTACAACAGCACTGAACATAAAGAAAGAGAAAACACAAGTTCCTTTTTGTGTCAGTGTTTCACTCAGTGGTTATTCCTAATGATCTCAGGATTTTTGTTCATTAGTAAAGCTGTTTTATTTTAAGGTCTGGTGTGCTGTACAAATACAGTTGAATGGCTGTTTTTCACTTGTGTTAAATAAGTTTTAGCAAATAATGTAATTATTCAGTACTTTACACTCATCATTGACAAACTGTTTTCAGGAGGAAGAGAGCAGCATCTCCAGACCCCAACTGTGAGCTTCGGAAGAGGCTCTCATACACATATCTGCTTATGCTGATGAACATTCTCCTAATATAATTACTAATTTATAATTTTTTTATTATCTCCCAATGTCCTGAAGCTGTTGATCTTTTTTCAAATAGATTATAATAATTATTCCTGATAAATTCATATTTTGGGCAGTTCAGTAGGAAGTGTCTCTCTGTCTCTAACTTACCTGCTCTGCAGTGACCACACATTCTTTCCTCTATCAGTAAGCAAGACTTTTTAAACCTTCCTTTCTCAATGGCCAGGCTGTGGTCACTGAGTCTGTAATTGGTGAAGACCCTTCTCTGTTTAATATCTTGGACAGTAACAAGATATTCAGCCAATCTGTTTTGTGTAGCATCACCTGCAAGGATTGGGTGGGGTTCTGGTGGGTGCAGCATTGCTGGTTGTGGTTCTGGTGGGTGCAGTGTTGCTGGTCATGGTTCTGCTAGGTGCAGTGCTGTTGGTTGTGGTCCTACAGGGTGCAGTGTTGCTGGGTGTGTTCTGTGAAGTTCTGCTGGGTGTTGCAGTGTTTAGTGGTGCTCTCTTCTGTCTGCCTCTCTTGAGTTGCACTTTGTTCTCTTACTAGAAATCTGTGTGACTAATTACTAATAACATGGGGAAGCTGCCCTCTCACTGGATAAGTTGCTAGGAACCAGGGCATAGCTGCTCTCATATGCTCTCATATGCTAACATCCAAGCATTGTTTATATCTACATGCACATTGTTATATAGGTGTTCAGTTGTTAGTGTTGGGTGATGTGCAGATGTGGGTGATGTGGGTGCTGAGCAATTTGTATTACTACAAATACAGCTCATTACCTATATATATATATATATATATATATATATATATATATATATATACACTGTGAGTATAATAATGTTATCTGGTGCACTCAACTGCGCAGGGTGGAGCAGTTTATGTGCTGCTTGGTTTGTGGGGCACTGACCTACTCTGCATTTACTACCGTTTAAGTCAATAAGTAGATCTGTTGTGGGAGGCTGTAGAAGCCGGTCTGGTGTGCAGCGTTGTGCGCGGTGCACAACAGGAGGACATAATGGGCCTGAAGGGGAATGATCCTGTAGGTTGTTGGAAGTATAGGGCTCTTTCTGTAGAGCACTGGAGGGGTGGAGTTGTGGCTCTCTCTGTGGGGCACTGGAGGGGGGGATGTCTCTGTTTCTGTGGAGAGCTAGAGAGGCGGATCTCTGGCTCCCTCTGTGAGCACTGGAGGGGCGGGGCTCTGTCTCACTCTGTAGCATGCTGGAGGGACAGAGCTCTGGCTTTCTTTGTATAGCGCTTAGGGGTGGAGCTCTAGCTTCCGCTGTGGAGCACTGGGGGGACGGAGCTCTTTCTAACTGTCCTCTGAAATGTAATTATGGTCTTTTGTGTAAAATATATCTGAGCAGTGTTTTGTCATCACCTTTAGGAGCTGAAGCAATCTTATCAACTCCTTTTTTAGGGTCTTGATTTCTCTTTGGTATAAATTTACATTTTCCTCCATTTGCCTGATTTTAGCCTGAGTCTCTTTTTGAGCTGTGTTAATTCAGTTTTTAGTCATTGAAGAATGGTGTTGAGTTTGTTTTCTTTCATTTCCATTAACTTTTTCTACTTGGGAGAGGCAGTCTTCCCCAGTTCTGAGTGGGACATGGCTGGTGTCAGTTGTGTCTGGTAGAACAGTGGGGGGCTCAAGCAGACATGAGAGCACTATGTGCTGCTGTAGGGAGTGGAATGGGTTTATTCATTTCCAAAAGTGACCTCAGTCTTTTAAAATCCTGTTAAGATTTTTCAAGATTTGTTTCATATCCCTGAATCATGGTTGTTCCAGTTTTGTAAACAAATAAATTTAGGTGTGCTGTCACTGTAGACTCGCCTCATAGTTTTACTACAACACATTTTAAAATGCTTATTGTCAGCAAGAAGAGTTGAATGCCAGACATCTGGGTGTTCTGTGTGAAACAGTAGGTCAGCTTTAATTCCTCTGTAACGTTTGAGGCATGGAGGCGGGATGCAAATGCGAGTTGCTTTTATTGATTGTAGAGCTAATAGAATAGTTGCAGAGGTTTGAATAACTGACAAGTTCAAGATGAAAGCAAAACCAAACTACAAAACGTACAAAACCAAGAGACAAAGTAATATTGACAGAGTAACATCCACAATGCAAGACAAAGACTGAACAAACACAGGGGTATAAATACACAGAGGGGAAATGAGACACACCTGGGACTAATGAGGGGCGGAGCTACAGGCAGGTGGAACAGATAACAAGGGGCAGGACCAGGGAGGAGACACAGAACAACAAAAGCACATGTCACAAGAAAACAAAGGCACATGGCTACAACAGAGGGGAAGAAACAGACACTCAGAGGGACCAAGGAAGAATCTGTGACATCCTCTCCTGTTTATTACTGTGAAATCTAAATCTACTAGTTTCTCTGGGTTTTCTCTTAATATTCCTGCCTTGTATTTCTTCATTTTGCTCTCACTGTTGGCTTCTTCTGGGTAGGGTAAGCTCTGTCCACTGTGCTGCTTCAGTAATATCTCAATTTGTAACTGACAGAGGTTCTCAGGAAGGTTCTGCCTGAGCTAAGTGAGGTCTAGCAGTACTGAAACGGTTTACAATGTTTAAAAAGCTTCTCCAACAGAATCACAAAGGAAGCTCAGCTCTTTATCAGTCAGTCTGATTGGTGTTCCCTTTGTTTGTGTGTCTCCAGATTTTGCTCACCTCTTTTCCTGTTTTTCCCTGTTTAGCAGTTGTTTTTATTTAAATGTGCTGTCTGAGATGCAGGTCCAGGTTGCTAGTTGGATCTTGTTGGATCAGTTTTTTTTTTTCTGCTGGTCTGTAGGTCAGTTAGTCTAAATATTTCTGGTATGTTTAGGTTGAGTTTAGACTGTTGTTTACTGCTGTAGGAGCTCATATTCTTTGCTGCTGGTGTTGAGAGTTTAGAATTCTAAACTAGAATCTTGGTGCCTCTTTCACTCTCTCACCCACTCCTCCTGTCTCATTCGCTTTCCCTCACTCTCCATCTGTCTTCACTCTCTCTCTCACTCTCTTGCTGTCTCCTTCACTCTGTCCTGCTCTCCCCCTCCTCTGACCTGATGCACTGTCAAAGTATAACCAATTTTGGAAACACTTTTCTCTCTTAACAAACTACATCACATTAATAATTTAAAAGCCTGTTGTATGTGAATTATTATTGGCAACATTGACATCATCAGTGTTCCGTGTCACTAATGTAAAAGAATAAATATTTATTGAAATACATTTTTAAAAATGCAGTTTTTCATTTACAAGACTGGGTCATTTTTTTATTTTACTGTAATTTCGCAATGGATATATCATATTGCATACATATCGCCATACATATCACTACTGCTCCAATGAAGTTTCACACATACATTAAAACGTTTTAGGTCAAAAACAGGAAAGTCTCTCATACTCTGAACACACTCTCATACTCTGACTCATACCAAGTCCTCACAAGTCTTCTTTAGTATCCCACAAATCTTTTGTAGATTGGTTCTCTACAGATCCAGCAAATGTTTTGGTGTGGATATTTATAAAATACTACTTTTTGACATGCTATGTTATTTTTTATTATGATATATGCCATCATTGTTCATTGTACAGTTGAAATATCCAGTTTTGTTCCAGTTTATTTTTATTATTATTTTTATTTTATGCCTATTTTATAACTCACCACAGATTTCTCCAGGAAGCAAGTGAAAAAGTATCCTTAATTTAATACATTCCTTCAATATCTTGTTATCAGGCTTCAGAAGTCCAGAGCAGACTCTCCAGAACCCAGCAGTGTGTCTCTGAAGAGCAGCAACTCCTCCAGGTTGAGTCCTCCTAACTTTCGTTGTGGAGGAACTGGTACTGACCCAAGGTGAGACACAAACACAATTATCAGCCAGGTGATGCACCAGGTAAACCAATGACTTGAGTGTACAGCTTTTTGATTTGACATATTGTCCCGACAACCTGTTATCAGACTTCAGAAATCCAGAGAAGACTCTCACAAGCTCTGCTGTGTGTCTATGAAGAGCAGCGACTCCATGTCTAATCCTCCTGGTTTCAGTATCAGAGGAACTGGTATTGACCCAAGGTGAGACACAGTCACAGTTTTACCACTGTAAGACTGAACATGCTCAGTGTGTGCAACTAAAGCACTAGATTATATTTTATTTAACTACTTACTACACCAGATAAGAGTGAGACTTACAGTGAATATGTGAAAAGTTTATCCTGATTTATGAATAATTTTCACATTCAGCTTCATTTTTAATTTGCTTCTATTAGCTGGAGGAGGGATGATCGAGATGATGTCCTGCACAGAGTCTTAGAGAGACACAAAAGCAGCCTGAAGATCAAGTATGAGAGCTTATTTGAGGGAATCAAAATGCAAGAGAATAAAACCTTCTTGAACAGGATTTACACTCGGCTCTACATCATAGAGAGAGAGAGGGAAGGAGTGAATGAAGAACATGAGGTTTTGCAGATGGAGAAAACATCCAGGAAACAGTTACAAGACACCCCAATCAACTACTTAGATATTTTTAAACCTATAGGAGATCCTAAAGGTGAAATGGAAGAACAGAATATTAGATATGTGATGGCCAACAGTGTCAGACAAAAAGAAAGAAGAGAAGATGAAACACCAAAACAGCTCAGAACTGTCCTGACTAAAGGCATTGCTGGCATTGGAAAAACTGTGTCTGTGCAAAAGTTCATTCTGGACTGGGCTGAAGGAAAAGCCAACCAGGACGTAGATTTCATGTTTGTGCTTCCTTTCCGGGAGCTGAATCTGATTAAAGATGACCAGTTTAGTCTTCATAGACTTCTGTGTGATTTCCATCCTGAGCTGAAAGATCTGGACCCAAAGATATATGATTCATACAAAGTTGTGTTTATCTTTGATGGTCTGGATGAAAGCAGAATTCCACTGAGTTTTTCACAAAGTAAGAAAGTATCAGACATAACAGTGTCTTCATCAGTGGAGATGTTGATGACAAACCTCATCAAAGGAGATCTGCTTCCCTCTGCTCACATCTGGATAACCACCCGACCAGCAGCAGCCAATCAGATACCTGCTGAACACATTGACCGTGTGACAGAAATTCAGGGATTCAATGACCCACAGAAGGAGGAGTACTTCAGGAAGAGAATCAGTGACCAAGACCAGGCCAAGAGAATCATCTCTCACATTAAGACAGTAAAGAGCCTCCACATCATGTGCCACATTCCAGTCTTCTGTTGGATCTCAGCCACTGTGCTTCAGCAAATGATAAACAGGAGTAACATGGAAATCCCCAAAACTCTGACTGAAATGTACATACACTTCCTGCTCACTCAGATGAATATGAAGAATGAGAAGTTTGATGGAAAAGATGAGAGCGATCCAGAGAAACTTCTGGAATCTAACAGAGAGATGATTCTAAAACTGGCTAAACTCGCTTTCAAACAGCTGATTAAGGGTAATGTGATGTTCTATGAAGAGGATCTCAGAGAGTGCGGCATTGATGTCACTGAGGCCTCAGTGTACTCTGGGATATGCACTGAGATCTTTAAGGAGGAATCTGTGATCTATCAGAGGAAGGTCTACTGCTTTGTGCATCTGAGCTTTCAGGAGTTCCTGGCTGCTTTCCATGTGTTTTACTGCTATGTGAGCAAAAACATGGAGGAACTGCATTTTTTTCTGCTGGATGAGCTACTGAGAGGAGCAGTACGTAAAGCCTTAGAGAGTGAAAATGGACACCTGGATCTTTTCCTTCGTTTCCTTTTGGGCCTTGCAGTAGAGTCCAATCAAAAACTCCTACAGGGTCTATTGGCACAACCAAAGAGAAGCTCAGAGAGCATCAACAAAACAGTGCAGCACATCAAACGCCTTATAAAAACAGAAGATCTTCCTGCTGAGAGATCTATCAACCTGTTCCTCTGTCTGACTGAATTGTATGACCAGTCTCTCTCCAGAGAGATTCAAGAGTATCTAAAATCACAGAAACATGCAAAAACCAAACTCTCTGCTGCACATTGCTCAGCAATAGCTTACATGCTGCAGATCTCAGAAGAGGTTCTGGATGAGCTGGACCCAAAAAAGTTCAACACATCAGAGGAGGGTTACAGGAGACTGGTTCTGGCCACGAGCAACTGCAGAAAGGCTCTGTAAGTGTTAATGAATGAATGTAAATGAATGTCACTTCTGTTAGTATTTGAATATTGTTGGCTAAAAAATACAACCCCCTTTCCAAAAAAGTTGTGATGCTGTGCAAAATGTAAATAAAAACAAAAAGCAATGATATGTGAATCCTTTAAGCTCTAAGTTTAATAGAAAATAGTACAACGACAACATATGAAATGTTGAAACTAAGAAATGCTATTGTTTTTTGAAATATATATGCCCCTTTTGAATTTAATGCCAGCAACACGTTCCAAAAAAGTTGTGATGTGGGCAACAAAAGACTACTAAAGTTGTGCAATGCTAAAAACAGTGCAATGTATTAAAAACAGGCATGATTCTGTGGGGGAAATGACTGCATGGGCTCAGAAACACCTTTGAAAAACACTGTCTATGAAAAGAGTTCAGCGCTGCATCCACAAATGCTAATTAAAACTCTTAAATTGCAACAGATCTGATTCAGTCTTTTTAGCTGAACAAATTTGCAATTAGTGTAAAACAAAAGATCACTGCAGTGTTGCAGTATGCGTACAGATGCACGTAAATCAAAGCCTGAAAGCATTATCTTCTTGATTACATGAATTTCAGCTTTTGATAGCAGTGGTGTTAGAAAGGTTACAAGCATGACAGCACAAATAATGCAAAATAATGTAACACTGAGCTAAGACATCCAAAATAATATTTATACAAAATATTAATTCCAGTAAGGGGAACATTTGACATTTTAACTGGGACAAACCAGTAGCAGCATGTGAGAGATTTGAATTTTAATGTTTATTTTGTGAAATATTTATTTATTTATTTAGTTGTTTGTTTGTTTCATAATCAGTTAGATTCTCTACACAGTGGGGCTTATAACACTCACATAGTCTGTGTGCATCACTGAAAGAGGAAATACATTTTAAATGTATTTTCCAAATGTATTATTCAAATATATTTTTGCAATGTATGAAAATGGTCAAAAATGCATTTGTAAAGGATACTGGAATACAAACTCGTTTTAAAAGGTATTCCAAACAAAACAGTGTATTAGACAAGTATGTTGGCTATTTTTATATATTTTAGATAATTCTGACATTTTTTTTTTGCAAGAATTAAGTTCTAGCATGTAAAACACAAGTAAAAATTTGTATCTTTCCCTATTTCATTTGAAAAGATGAAACAATTTTAACTAATATGAATTCAGTTTTTGCATGCATTAATTGAACTGCCAAAAGTAAAAAAAAAAAAAAAATCAATAATTATTATGAAGTCATTTTTCATGCTCAAAATAAATTCTTAAAATTACATCTTTAAATGTTCAAATGTAATTTTCATGTTGGTATTATTGTTTAACCTCAGTTGAACTCTCCTTTTGTTTTTCAACTTCTTTGAAAAATCCTTCTTTCTCTTATCATAATAATGGTTTCATTCATTATTTTTTACAGACTATCAAGCTGCAGTCTTGGAGTAAAAGCTTGTGAAAATCTGAAATCAGTTTTACTAACAGAAAACTCCTCCCTGAAAGAACTGGACCTTAGTAGTAATGACCTGCAGGACTCAGGAGTGGATCTGCTCTCTGCTGGACTGAAGAGCTCACACTGTAAACTTCAGATACTCAGGTCAGCTTTCTATTAATCAAATTCTGAATGATAAATTCTATACATTGGAAAAGATTGATACAAAATGTCAGGAAAAATTTATCTGTGGCTAATAAGCTCAACCTCACACAGAAAATAATGAAATAAAAATGTTTAGCATTAGAAAACAAAACCCCTTAACCAAACCATGTGTTGCAATTATTGGAATCCCTGGATTTAGTACATTGTACATCCTTCCTTTTCCAAAATATCAGCAAGCAGCCTTCTCCTATCATGCTCACTGAGAGTGGGGAACACAGAGTTACAAAATCCTGATAGTTGTGGACAGTTTAGCATTCAGTAGATATTACTGCTTTCTAAAGGCTAGTCTCAGCCTCAAGCACTGAGCCTGTGTTACCCCTTTAACAGCTGCAGTATTTTGTGTTTCCTTCTTTGACACATTTAATACAGGCTATGATGGATTATGGAGTTTTTATGGTTTTTAAATATGACATTTATGGGATTCATCAGATGCTCTCATCCAGAGTGACCTACAATTGGACCCTCATTGGTATAGTGTAGGGTGCTTGCTTAGGCAGAGGACTGAACCCCAGTCTACAGCATGGCAGGTATTAACTTGTTTGTCAAAGAATTTGAATCTGCTTTTCGATTTTATGTTCTTCATACCAACTTCTTATATTTATAAAATATTTCTGTATCAAGATAACTACGAGAATACTGTTTTTTGTTGTTTGCAAAAGTAACCCCTTCTCTCTCTCTCTCTCTCTCTCTCTCTCTCTCTCTCTCTCTCTTTCTCTGCAGATTATCTGGTTGTATGATCACAGAAGCAGGCTGTTGTTCTCTGGCATCAGCTCTGAGTTCAAACCCCTCACACCTGAAAGAGCTGGATCTGACCTACAACCATCCAGGAGAGGCAGGAGTCAAGCTGCTTTGTGCAAGACTGGAGGATCCACAATGTGCACTCAGCACTCTCAGGTATGAACAACTGTGTGTGTGTGTGGGGGGGGTGGGGGTACTAGGAGTGTGTGTGAGGAGGTTTAGTTTTGTGTGTGTGTGTGTGTGTGTGTGTGCGTGTGTGTGTGTGTGTGAGAGAGAGAGAGAGAGAGAGAGAGAGAGAGAGAGAGAGAAGTGAGCTGCAGCCAATGAGGTGGAGTGGAACTAGTCCTAACTGATGATCTAAGCCCTCGCACTTTGCAACACCCCTGTGAAATGTAACATGGCTGTGTAGCTACATTTGACAGACCCTTCTAAATTAGATTAAGAAAGACTTTAATGAGAAGGATTGTAAGTCACATTTAAAATAAATACAAATTTTAGCTGTTGTGTTTTGACTTTAAATGACTGTTGCAACTAGCTGTTTACACTTGAAAATAAGAGCCTAAACAGCAAACATTGGGAGCTCTACCATGACAGAAATTTGACCTTGTATGTATAGGGGTGCATTAGTGCACATGGCATGGGTGATTTGCACATGTGTAACGATAAATATATAGGTCTTGGAGTATTGTGCTGCCATCCAGACAACTTTTTTTTCCAGAGAAGGCCTTGATTATTTCAGCAAGACAATGTGTTGATCTGCTGAAACTCTATATCAATCAAGAATGGGAAAATATTTCGCTTTCAAAATTACCACATTTGATCTCTTCAGTTCCAAATTTCTTACAGAGTGTTGAGAAAAGTAGTGATGCAACACAGTGGTAAAAATGCCCTGTCTCGACTTTTTAAAAAGTGATGCTGGCACCAAACACAAAATATACACATGTCTTCCAAAAAAAATCGCAAATTCAACATTAAAACAAAATAAACCAGTGTTTTTCCTGCCGTGTAGCTAGTGAGGGCCAACCAACTTTTTCATCCAGTCTGCAGTGATGAGTGTTATAAGGGTCTCCAGTGATGAACCTCAGTGCAGAGTGATAGACTGAGTCCAGTAGTTTGAGGGAACTGGCAGATGCGTGTTTGTAAATTACATCAAGCTTCGGCCTACATTTGCTAACCAATTTATTAAGTTAGTGTGTCATTAGTTTATGGCTTACTTACTCATTATCTGTGTACTAACTGCTGCTTATTACATTGTTAATGAAGTAATAAGTATTTTTATTCAAATAAAGAAGTAACATGATAACTTACCAGCACTTATGTGTTAATCCCATTAATTATCTATTAATTAACTTTCCATCACCTCCATATATTCAGTTGCTTCACTTTTCTCACATTGGTTCTTGTTCATTAAATATGCTTATGGTCACATCTGACCGTAAGATGAGCGCACACAAATTCACTGACGGTTTTGTTATTCATCACATTCATCTTGGCATATCTGTACTCATATCTGGTAGGAGTGCATGTAAATTTGGATTTGGATATGTGGCTAATTAACCAAAACTATTATCAACATAATCTGTAATTGCAAAAATAAGAATAACAATAGAAAATATCAATAATACTAATTTGTGTGCATGACAGACCACTGCTGGACATCAAACTCCACCCACGAGCACGGCCATTAGCTTTCATGGCTAACACTGCCGTTTAATTGGCTGCCTACTGAAACATCTGCCTGAATTAGTGTGTGCTTCATGTAAATGATATGTAAATGAGATGCTGGTAGGCTGGTTTCATGCACTGAAGCTGATTTATCATTTATGCCCAAATATCTAATTCCACATCGTACAAAATTGTTACTAATGAGACGCAGAGCAGTTCATACCTTATAAAAGGCAATAAAACATGTTCTTTTTCACATAACTTTGATGATTAATGGCCATTAGATCTTTACATTTTGACCATTAATTACTTCTTAAATTCCTCTTACTCAACCATTAATTACTGCTTTTGTGTGCTTCCAAGTAAAGTGACAACCTTTTCCTTTAATTATATTATGAACTAATGTTTAAGACATGACTACTTACCGATACATTAATTGCTTTTTACTTGTTTTTGTTTCCTCAAGTAAAGTGGAAAACACACATACTTTCTCAAATGACATGTTTATTCTGAATGATTTTACTCAATAAACCAAACAGAAACCCTACAGAGGAAAAAATATTGGAATTATCAAAAAGAAGAAGAGAACACTTTATCTTCTTTTCAAACACAAATATACAATATGCAAAATGTAAACTATGAGAAAACAAAACAAAAGATGAAAAGTTTTGTTTTTTATAAAGAAGCTGAACGGTTCCTGATTTCTGTTTGGTTTATTGAGTAAAATCATTCAGAATAAACATGTCAATTGAGAAAGTATGTGTGTTTTCCACTTTAATTGAGGAAACACAAAAACAAGTAAAAAGCAATTAATGTATTAGTAAGTAGTCATGTCTTAAACATTAGTTCATAGTATAATTAATGGAAAAGGTTATCACTTTACTTGGAGGGACACAAAAGCAGTAATTAATGGTTGAGTAAGAAGAATTTAAGAAGTAATTAATGGTCAAAATGTAAAGATCTAAAGGCCATTAATCATCAAAGTTATGTGAAAAGGAACATTTTATTGAACTGCTCTGCGTCTGATTAATAACAATTTTGTACGATGTGGTAACAAGTGGAGATTTGACCATGAATGATAAATCAGCTTCAGTGCATGAAACCAGCCTACCAGCACCTCATTTACATATCATTTACATCTAGCACACACTAATTCAGGCAGATGTTTCAGTAGAGTGATTCTTTAGTGTTATTAATTATCTAGAATAAATGCTGTATTATTGCAGTGTATGACAACAAAAGCACATTGTAATTTTTTGTATTGTATTTGTTTATATCAGTGCACAAGTACATCCACTTTTGTACTGGTCTGTCATGCACACAAATTAGTATTATTGATATTTTCTATTGTTGTTCTTATTTTTGCAATTACAGATTATGTTGATAATAGTTTTGGTTAATTAGCCACATATCCAAATCCAAATTTACATGCACTCCTACCAGATATGAGCACAGATATGCCAAGATGAACATGATGAATAACAAAACCATCAGTGAATTTGTGTGCGCTCATCTTACGGTCAGATGTGACCATAAGCATATTTAATGAACAAGAACCAATGTGAGAAAAGTGAAGCAACTGAATATATGGAGGTGATGGAAAGTTAATTAATAGATAATTAATGGGATTAACACATAAGTGCTGGTAAGTTATCATGTTACTTCTTTATATGAATAAAAATACTTATTACTTCATTAACAATGTAAAGCAGCAGTTAGTACACAGATAATGAGTAAGTAAGCCATAAACTAATAACAAACTAACTTATCAACTAACAGTGTACTCAATTACTAATTGATAAGTGCTTAATCAGTTACTAAGTAATAGCTAATGCTTAATGAAGAGTTAACTAGTAACAAAATAATGGGAAATTAATAGTTGATTATTATATAATTAATGATTGATTGGCGACCCTTAATGTAAAGTGTTACCAGGTTTCTTAATAATATTTCATCACATGTATCATATGCCAAAAAAGCAAACTAATGGCAACAATGGCAAGTAAAACTCCATATCATGTTTGGAGAAACCTTGGGAGAGACCAGACTCTGTTGGTGAAGCTTACTCATCTCAGCTAGGCTGAGAGCATTTAGCAGGATCATCATCACCATCATTATGAAAAGTGTGTGTAATATTTGTAAACTTATATCACTTTGCATAATGTCCAGGGTTTTCTTCTATTTGTAGTATATAAAGATGAGACCAGAGTGACAATGCAGCAACCCTGCAATCCAGAGTCACTTCACTGACTCAAAAGACCCCTGGAGCAAGACAATGACTTTAGCAAGACAATGAATACACTGGTAGAAAAGGCAGGCAAAGTATATTTCAGTATTAAACAATCAATATACACATTCGACCCACCATTCCAAATTTGGCTAAAAATATTTGATTATTTAATTAAACCCAAACTTTTATATGGTAGTGAAGTATGGGGACCAATAATTTATCAAAATGACACATTACGGGGACTCCCATAGAAAAGATTGGATTTTTTTAAAGAACATCTTAAAAGTACCCAGAAATGCAGCAAATCTGCTGTGCAGAGCAGAGCTGGGTGAATTTCCACTCCCCCGCCCCATGCTAAAATGAGCTGTAAAATTCCACTATCACCTATCCCAGGCTCTTAGAGCCCTCAAAGATAAACGTCACCTTCAAACCACAGCCCAGTTCACCCTCTCACCAACAAAGCTCAAAATGATCCAGAAAACACATCAAAAACAACATATCAGTAATTACACCAATCAAATTCCATAAGTTAATAAATTAGAATGCTACAGATTGCTAAACAAAGAATACAAACTAGCAGATTTTCTGATCAAAATTAAAAATCCCAAAGAAAGAAATGAACAATGTACAGACGTAGTGATCATAATTTAGAAATAGAAAAAGGCGGCATAAGAAACACTGGAGGCCCAGAGAGGAACGAAAATGTAATTAATGCAGTTCAGGACAAATCAAAACTGAACAACATTTTCTCTCCTCGTTTAACAAATATAAAGATCTCACTTTTTTTTTTTTTCAACTCAGTTAAAACTTATATCCCATCATTTATGATGAAAATGATTACAACTGAAGATCTGTTACGCATGTGTTTAGGAGAGACACCAGAATGTGTTGTAATATGTATATAAGAGAACAATACCAGAGAGACAGAAAGAAAGCGAAAAAGACAGCGAGATAGACAGAGAGAGAGACAGACAAAGAGATAGAGAGAGAATGACAGAGAGCAAGAGAGATACAGAGAGAAAGCGACAGAGCGAGAGGAAACAGAGATAGATACAGAGAAGACTGAGACAGACAGAGAGGAAAGTGAGAATATTTGAATTAATATATTAATGTGTGTTTGTGTGTGTAGAGTGGAACATGGAGGTGAGATCAGAATCAAACCAGGACTGAAGAAATGTAAGTACACACACACACACACACACACACACACACACACACACACAGACACACACACACACACACACACACACACACACACGCACACAAACTTTCCTTACATTACATTGACTTCCATATTTTTCTGTTGATATTTGTATTACCATAACCAAATAATACCACATTTACACCTAAACCTAACCTTAGTATCCAATTCTAAACCTAACATTAACCTTAACCTCAGTGTCCAAAAAGCATTTCTTTCTGCTCTTTTAGTTTTACCAAAATTTCATGTTGTTCTGAAGATATGTTGTCCTCACAATGACAGATAAAAGCATGCTTACACATACAGAGAGGTACTTATACACACATATAGAAACACACACACACACACACACACTCTTACTCACACACACAAGCAGAATCACACTCTGTTTTATGCAGACACTGACACACCCTGTCACACATGCAAACAGTGGAACAAATATACACACAAACACACACACACAGACATATTGTTTGTATTTCTGTGTTTAAATATAATTGAGCTGTTGCTCTTGGTGAACATTATGCAGTGTCTAAAATATTTGATATAGAGATGTCTAAGGGACAAAAACACTGACACAGTTTTTCTTCAAATAAGTACATTAAACCTAAATACTCATTTTATTAATTAATTATTTATTTATTTATTTCTGTTAGATTTCTGTCAGCTAACTCTGGATGCCGACACAGCACATCCTCATTTCAGTCTGTCTGACAGCAACAGATTGTTGATGCACAGTGGTAAATCACAGCCTTACTCTGATCATCCAGAGAGATTTGACTGGTGGGCTCAGGTGTTGTGTAAAGAGAGTGTGAGTGGACGCTGTTACTGGGAGGTTGAGTGGAGCAGTCGGGGACAGGGGTGGTTGTATGTATCAGTCTCATATAAAGGGATCTGCAGAAAAGGACAGGGTCACGAATGTGTGTTTGGACGTAACAGTCAGTCCTGGAGTCTGGAATGTTCTCCCACTCTCTCTTTCTGGCACAACAGCATTCAGACTGTGCTCTCAGGTCCATCACCCTCCAGAATAGGAGTGTACGTGGATCACAGTGCAGGAACTCTGTCCTTCTACAGCATCTCTGACACAGTGACCCTCCTACACACAGTCCACACCACATTCACTCAGCCGCTCTATGCTGGGTTCTTTGTTGGTGAAGCTGACTATTCTGTAAAGTTGTTTGATAAGTAATGATTTATGTATTGAATATGGTGGTTAACTTATAAATATATTCAGATTATTACTTCCACTGTAGACTTAATTTAAATTGTGTGTTTACCTTTTTAAGATTCATTGTGTTATCCGTCTATTCTTCATGGTTATATGTATCCGTTGATTTGCTTGTACTCAAGAGATGATCATTTTAGAATAGCAAGTGTTTAAGTCTCTCTCTCTGACTAAATGGCAGTTAAGGTTGGACATAATAGGTTATGCTGTAACCAAAAAGTAATTAGTTGTACAAAAAGAACAGCGACATGTACAGTGAAAGAGAACACAGAAATGTATTGTCTGTAACTTTTCAGTCTATCTAGTTTGCACACTTACATAGTGCAAAAAGTACTTAAAGGTAATTGGGCACAGGCTTTCAGATAATGTACAAGATAGGCTTAAAAAGTGGTTAAAGCGGAGGAATTAGGCAGTCAGTGAGCGAGGAGCAGTTGGATAGGCTCAAGATTAACAGTAGCAGCCCATTATCTGCTTTGGGGGAATGGAGAAAGACAGCTTAAATACTAGAGCAGGCTGAGCTCCATTCTTTTTTATTCATTTTACATTAATTAATTAATTTATTTTTATTTTTCACTTATTTTAACCAATTTAAACATTTAATCGATCAGTTTGGTCCATGATCATCATCTTCTTCAGCATCATTAAACTTGTTTTGTCTGACAAATTCTTCACATAAATCCTGCAAAGATATTACTGACTGTGCCACATCTTAATTTCTACACCAATATAACCCCTGTCTTACAACTGCATCAAGGCAAAGGGGGGCTACTTTCTAAAAAGATCTAAAATAGAAGATAGTTCAATTTGTTTAACAGTGTTTTGGTCCCTGCATAATTCCATGTGTGATATTTCATACTTTTGATTTCTTCACTATTATTCTAATACATAAGATGGTCAAAAAGAGGACTCTTTTATGAGTAGGCGGGTCATAACTGTTTCTGTGCATTGTTCAGAAGCTGGTAATGAATGTGTTGCACAGTGAGAGTGTTGTGTGTGTGAAATAAACTTCACCTGCCTTACAGATAGTACTACATCATAAGAGACTTTAATTCTATTAGTTCATAAGAGAATGCAGCCTGGCTGTGTTCTCTTTTTTTTCTCTGTCTCTCTCTCTGACCACCTTTGTGTTTGTATGTGCCTTTTACTGTAACTTTAATTTTACTTGTCAAATGAAATAAATATAAATTTCAGATTGAAGTAATTAGTATAATTACCAGATGAATATAAATAAAAGAAAATGTTATATTGTAAAAATGTTATATCAGGGGTATTAGTGAATTTATAGAGTTTGAAGGCTGTGAATGTAATGTTTACTGTCTGTAAATGTTCACACCTATGAGTAATGTAAGCTAACATTCAGGGAGCTAACATGAAGTAGGGCTGTCACTAAAAATTACATTATTAATTGAATAATTTACCTGTTATTTTGACTCCTAATGTCTCCAGGACTCCCTTGTCCATCTTTCCCCATGTTCATTTCTGCAACAGTCTAGTCTGTTTTCTGTTCAATGTGTTTTTGTTCTCATTGACAATGTTTTTATCTTTGTTCTGCCCCTCTTGTCATTACCCACCTGTGTTTCATTTATTGCCTCACCTTCTTTTATTGTATTCTCTTGTAATTAGTGTGTGTTCATACCCCCTTGTCTACTTTGTTTTTGGGCCAGCATTGTTGATGTTTGTCTCCTGGCCTGTACATTTTGTGTATTTATTTCTTTATTCTTATAGCTAGTTTATTTTAGTGTTGTATATTTCTTGTTTAGTATTTAGTTTTATGTTTTCTGTGGATTTCTTCCATTTCCTGCCTGCTTTTTTGACGACCCTGGAACTGACTGCAATAAAAGATATTCACACTTGCATCCAGTCTCCTAATCTGCCTTGCCAGCCCCAAAGTTGCATAAAGTAAGTTTTCTATGGCAAACAAAAATATTGATTGATTACACAGTAACAGACTCTGCACAGCTTTTCATGTGTGGTGACTATTTTGATGTGTTTATCCTGTCTGTTGAGGAGAAGAACTACTACAAATCATAGAAATTCAAACAAGATAATGCAAAAAACTGTTTATTAAGTGAAATTCAGGCATGATTTAAAACACATTGAGATTTTGTTAGGACGCATGTGGAGAACAAAAATGCAACCACTATAGGTGCGGGGTTGTGTTCAAGACTAGATGAGCTACAAAATGATAAAGACCATAGACTACTGTTTTGCCTTCATTTTTGGTAATCTGCAGTCATTAGAATCAGTGATCTCAGTGGGATTTAAATCATGCCTGAGGTTGTTGTAATAAATTCTGTGGCACCTAATGACCACTTCATTTGGTCCACCTCCTTGTTTCTATACTTATTGGCCATTTTATCAGCTCCACTGACCATACAGGAGAACTTTGTACAGTTCTACAGTTATAGACTGTAGTCCATCTGTTTCTCTGCATACTTTATTACCCTGTTCTTCACTGGTCAGGACCCCCACAGAGCAGGTATTATTAGGGTGGTGGGTCATTCTCAGCATTTCAGTGACACTGATATGGTGGTGACGTGTGTGTTGCACTGGTATGAGTGGAAAAATCTCTTTGGACTGCATATTCAGAGTTCCCATGAATGCATATTCCACACTTGAAATAAACCCCAGACATTTTAGCTCCTTAAGTTGTCATAAAATAATGAGGGAACAGGCCACACCTGGCCATGAAACTGCTTAGCAGTCAACTGTCTAAATACATTTGAGTCTGTTTTGAGTCTGTGAAAATGGAGAGACTGTGTTAAAAATGGCTGTAATTCTTAAACGGTTAATGCAATATTTTTGTTAAACTCCTGAATTTAAAGCTAAAAGTTTACACTTAAATCACATCTTGAATGAGTCATTCCAAATCCACTTTAGTGGTGCACAAAGGCAAGAGTACAAAAATTGTGTTACTGTTAAATAAAAGGCCCAACTGCTTCTGCCTGACAGCTATATTTTACACTGACCACTGATGAAAAGAGCTGCCAGTCTCAAATATAAATAGTGAAATGCTTGGATAACTGCCCACTCACATGATGCAATAAGGTAATAAGAAACAGCAGTCAAATAGAAGAACAACATTGTAGAAAATATATAACAAAATATCCATCTGAAATATACACTAGGAAACATAATGAAGATATGAAATGTGCAATGTACACATGGCATTGTTGGAAGTAAAGTGCAAGGTGCAAAATGTGCAAAGTGAAAAAGCAACATAATGCTGTGCAACTGAGCAGAAGGTAGTATAAATAAATCAAAAGTTGTCAATGTTTAGTGCAGAGTCCTGTGTGTGATTGGTGTGTATGCCTGTGAGGTGGTCCTGTTCTGTTTGCTGTCATGGTTTAGAGCTCGGATGGCTTGTGGGAAGAAGTTCCTCCTCAATCTCTCTGTTTGCCTTCAGGGAGTGAAAGTGCTTCCCTGACTGCATCAGTGAGAAGGGTCCATTGTTGGGATGGCTGAGGCCCTTCACAATCTTCCTGGCTTTTGTCCAGCACCGCTTGCTGTAGGCAGTCTGCAGGTCAGGGAGCTTGGTCTGAATGTGTTCAGTTGACCGCAACACCCTCTTAAGAGCCCTTCTGTCCTGCCTGGTGCTGTTTCCAAACCAAGCTATGATGTTTCCAGGAGGATGCTTTCAATGGTGCAGGTGTAGAAGTTCCATAACACTTTGGAGGGCAGTCTGAAGTCTCTTATGCATCTGAGGTGGTAGAGACACTGGTGGGCCTTCTTTTCCAGAGAGTTGATGTGGCCAAACCATGACAGGTCCTGCGAGATATAAACTCCAAGGTGTTTGAAACTGTCTGCTCTTTCCACTGCAGCTTCATTTACCCATACAGGATGGTAGCTCCTCTCCTGCTTCTTGTTGTAGTCCACTATCAGCTCCTTAGTCTTGCTGACGTTAAGGAAGAGATCATTATCCTGACACCAGTTCTCCAGGTGCTTAATCTCCTCCAAGCAGGCCCTCTCATCATTGTCAGAGATCAGACCTACTACGACAGTGTTGTCAGCGAACTTGACAACGGTAGTAGAGCTGGAAGTGGTCATATGTGTACAGTGAGTACAGCAGGGGGCTCAGAACACAGCCCTGAGGGGCTCCAGTGCTGAGGGTGAGGGTTGGTGAGATGTGTTTTCTTACCCGCACAGCTTATGGTCTGTCTGTCAGGCTACTGGGCAATAGTTGTTATGGCAGGCTGGCTGGGGTTTCTTTGGGACAGGGACGATGACTGACTGTTTAAAGCATGTTGGAACGACTCCAAGCATCTGGTCAGATGTTAAATATTTCAATAAATACCATAGCACACTGAAAAGCATAGGCTTTGAGGATTCTACTGCTAATCCTATCTGGTGATGCTGCCTTCCCTTACTTTGATTTTTACTTTGATATTTAGTTTCCCAACAAAACTCACGACCGCTTTCATAAACACGTTGATGTCTTCAGAGCTGTGCTGGAACATGTCCCAGTCAGTGTCATCAAAAGTGTCCTGCAGGACGGCTAATGACTCCCGTTTCATCTTTTGTTCTGGCATGAAGAAGATGGCGGCATGGTCCGACTTTCCAAACGCAGGATGTAACTGTACTTTATAGCTGTCTTTGAACGGAGTGTAATTATGGTCCAGAGTTCTGTTGCCCCTGGTAGGGCAGGTAATGTGCTGATGAAAGTTGGTGCTGCGTGCTTAAGGTTGGTGCTGCTTAAATCCCCAACCACAATGAGCGCAGCTTCTCGGTGCTGTGCCTGAAACTGTGTGAGTGCTTCATGAAGTTCATGCAGTGCAATGTCCGTATTCGCCTGAGGTGGTATATAGACAGTGCCTTCAGTCCTGCAGTCCACAACTGTACATGCTTGTACATGCTCCCATTTCTCATTTCAGAGAATAAAGAAGAGCTCTATGTGCTCTTTGTGTGGCTTTTGGTGAGGATCCCATCAATTCAGCCTGTTACCCAAAATTAATTGAGATACAAGGATCAGTCAGAGTGGGTGGTCATGTCATGGCGGAAAGGACAATATTCAAATGCATTTGTTTATTAATTTAACTTGTCATAAAACTATTCTGAATTGAGTCGCTGTAAATAGTGTTGTTGTGCTTTATTCCAGACTTGGTATAGAGACTGGTGTCGAGACCATAAACTAGTGGAAGAATATCAACAAAACCGGAATAAACAGAATAAAACAGTCCTTTGTCTGCATCAGGGATTCTTAAAACTTTGCAACATGTAGCAAACATGAACGACCAAATGATCATTCAGATCATTAACTTTTAGATTATTTTTTCCGAATTACCTAATGAGGTGGTGAGTGTTGATTGGCAGACACACAGTGTGGAATTTCAGACTAAAGAAAGGAAAGCTGCAAATGGAGTTCTGGTTCAGTTCGACAGGTTTAGTTACCTATTCGCTATGTCTCCAAGTGATGTTGTTGGATTTCAAAGCTTCTTCTTAAAAGACCCCTGAGCAAACAGCATTGAGCTGTATTTTCTCATTTTCTGGATCTTGTATACATATATGGTTACATATATGATATTATGCATCTCAGATGATGAAATCCTCAAGTTCTTTGCTATTTTACATTTAGAATTAGATGTTGTTCTTGAAATGTTGCACTATTTATCCTTATTGCCTTTACACTAATGTTGCACTACTCTCTTTCACAGAGTGTTGAACACCTCCCCATCTTTATTTCTGAAAGACTCAGTCTGTCTATAATGCTCTTTTTATATCAAATCATGTGTTGGGTAATTTATCACAGCATAATTAAGATTAAGATTTAGAAATGCTTGAAAATACTCATATATATATATGTGTGTATATATATATATATATATATATATATGTGTGTATATATATATATATATATATATATATATATATATATTCTGTGATTTTCTGTCAATATACTCAAAAACCATACACAGTGAAAACCATACACAGAGTTTCAAAAGTAACATTGCAATGTTGGAAAAGATAATAAAGCAGGATGAACGTGCAAGTCCTTGTATTTATTGAAAACACTGAAGGAAATAAATCGAGGAAAGGAGAAAGGAGAGCACTCGCAGGTGTCTTCCCCGCCTAACAGAGACTTGGTCAAAGCAGTTATACCTTTATGTAAATTATATGCAAATTAGACAATCTACATATACAATTTCTCAGTTTCAACATTTGATACGTCGTTTTTTGTACTATTTTTAATTACATATTTTCGGGTTTAAATGATTTGCGTATCATTGCACTCTGTTTTTAATTTACATTTTGCACAGTGTTCCATCATCTTTGGAAATGGGGTTTGATGTAATATATAAACAGTACTAAAGTTTCAAAACATACATACAAACAATCCATACAGTCCATATACAGAAACTGAGCTGCACAAACAGCCTGTGTTAAATTCACTCTTTCTGTGATGTCAAGAAAACCAATACATTTACAAACATCCACCTATTAAGCCTACAGCAGTTTAGTCCTGCCTACTCACACTGCCTTTATAAGGAGTATTTCAGTCTGGATATGTTAGTGAATGAGGCACAGTATTGGACAGCCAATAGGAATAAAGTTCATTTCCATATATCAGTCTAAATGGCACAGTAACAAAAACAGCCAGTTTAATTGTAAGGGAGAAAGAGAGATTCGGAAGTAGTGAATGAATTATGTTTTTTGGTACATGATTGAAATTTTAAGGCATATAAAATCACACAAACATTAAAACCACGCAAATGTTATAAGTGCAAGAAAAAAATTCAGTATGTGCTGTTTTAATGTGTATTTTGTAGAGAGTTTTCTTTGCTTAAATAATTGTGCGTTATATGTGTATTATGATGTGTAGAGGACACATACACACACAGGTAATTCTATCTCACATACACCCAGAGGAGGTTATTCTATCTCACACACACTGAGGCATCAGTACAATAGAGTCTAAACCCTGCACAGAGTGGTTCAGTGAATGTGGTGTAGAATGTGTGTAGGTGTGTCAGTGTGTGTGTATCAGAGGAGACTCTGTAGAAGGACAGAGTGCCGGCGGAGCAGTCCACATACACTCCTACTCTCTTACAGCTGGAGGGAGGAGCAAAGAGATCAGTGGTGTTCTTATTGTGACAGACAGAGTAACTGTTAATAGAGCAGAACAGAATCCAGGACTTTTCATTCTCTCCAAACAAACCATCATCACCGCTTCCTTTCCTGCTGATTGATTTATATGTCAGAGCTATAGCAGCCTCCTCTCCACTCCACTCAGCTTCCCAGTAACAGCGTCCAGTCACACTCTCTCTACACAGAACCTGCCACCACTCATCAAATCTGTCTGGATGATCAGGATACGACTGTGAAGATCTCACTTTTGTCACCTTTCTGTTCCCGTCAGACAGAGAGAGTTCTGTGTGTGCTGTGTTTGGATCCAGAGTGAACTCACAGGAATCTGCACAGAAGAAAAGAGAATAGAGTGTGTGCATCTGTGTGTGTGTGTGTGTGTGTGTGTGTGTGTGTGTGTGTGTGTGTGTACTTACATTTCTTCAGTCCTGGTTTGATTCTGGTCTCACTTCCATGTTCCACTCTACACACACACACATGTAAATATATTAATTTAAATGTTAGCACTTTTCTCTCTCTCTCTCTCTCTCTCTCTCTCTCTCTCTCTCTCTCTCTCTCTCTGTCTCTTTCTGTTTTCCCTCTCTCTGTCTGCCAAATTAAAATTCAAATAGCCTTATTGGCATAAATTTGAATAAACAACTATAGCCAAGACAGGAAGTTCTTTAGAAATATGTGTACACACATACATAAACAATTAAATAAATAACATTGTGGTGTTCTGCCACTAGCTGCGCTCCCATTAGAGCTCTCAAGCATGCATGCAGAAAGGGCATAAGAAGACGCTCATTGGAAACATGCAGCCTGTCTCAGAAAGAGATGGTTTATTGTTGTTATTGTTGTGTTGTGTGTGGTTTAAGTGGCGTTATATGGGTGTGGATGTAGATGAGTGGGTTGAAGTGTCTACCATTGGGTGGACATGCATAGCATGACCTTCCCACTGTTTAGGCTGTGGTTCCAGTGGCTTTTCTGCCTTGTTCATTAAAAAAGAGAAATTATGGCCTCAACAGCAACAGCAGCAAAATGCCCAGCCCAGCACTAACCCACCATGAAACATGGGAAGAAGGTAATGCAAGAGGACATGACACACAAACAGAACAAATATGACAAACACACACACAAGCCCACCCTCCTCAGATTCTAGTCAGTAAACACACACAATTATGCTAATAACCAACAACAACAGTTGTCTCTTTCAAACCAGGAGAATGGCATGCTCCAAGAGCCACACCCCCGTAATAATTTGATTGGCCATAACACAGGGACAGTGCTCAGAGAAAAAAATTGATTTAGTAGTCCTGTAATGAATCTGGGTAGAAGGACAAAATAAATCTCATTGAAAAAGGAAAAAAAGAAAAACTGGCCAATCAGGGGCCTGGAATTCAGTCCACATAAGCCCATGCATTAAATCACCCCTAAAAAAAATGCAGAAGCGTTACAGAAAGTAATCAGTACCTTAAGATACCTTTCTGGATATCATATATGTTCACAATAAAGAAGGAATCGATAACTAGGTTTCCATTCATGTATGTTCATGCTTAATGGAAACACCAAATATTGAATGAAATTGCAAAATTTGCTTGATGTGCATAAACTTATTGCAGATCAGATAAAAAGAAATAAACTGAATTAAGTCACATGACTGATCAGGTGTCAGCTATAGCTACAAGACAGAAAACATTAGTACCAGCAAAGAATTAAAATATCTTTATTATATCAAAGAAAAACACAACAATGATATTAGATAGTAAACAAAAATAAGCTACCTGCAGCTGATTCGTCAAATCAAAATCCAAAGAACCCTAATGCACATCTTCTTTATTGTGAGACATTAAAGCAATATAAACCTCTACTCAGAAGCAAAAAGGCACTTTACACTCATGAGTCACTTTTTGAGAAGTCAATCATACAGACCAGTTCTAGAATGACTGGAATCTTAAAACAAGAAAACCTGGAGAACTGTCAATACAAAATGGGAATTTATGGACAACTCATGTCTAAACATGCTTCAGAAAGAAAAGCATAGAAGCTACTGAAAAGCACAGTCAAATACTGATCCTGAAACTAGAAATCTGGCTATATGTGATAAAAAAATGCTATTAGCTGAAAACTGAAAATTAGGAGAAAAACAGCAAAATAAGACCAAAGATAGTATGTGGGCCTGCAAGTGTACTGAACAAAACAATAAATAAATTTCAAATTGTAAAACACTGTTTCAAAAAAGTTGGGACACTGTGCAGAATGTAAATAAAAATAGAATGCAACAATATGCAACTCATATAAATCATATTTTAAAGGAAAATACTACAAAGAAAACATATCAAATGTTGAAACTGAAAAATTTTATTGTTTTTTTGAAAAATTAATGGTCATTTTGAATTTGATGCCAACAACACGTTCCAAATCAGGGGCATGTTTACTACTGCGTTTCATCACCTCTTCTTTTATCAACTCTCTGTAAGAATTTAGGAACTAAGGAGACCAACTGCTGTAGTTTTGAAAGTAAAATGTTTTCCCCATTCTTGTTTGATATAGGATTTCAGCTGGTCAACTATTCAGGGGCTCATTTGTTTTGTTTTTCATTTCATAACCCTCCAAATGTTTTTAGGGGGTGACAAATCTGGACTGCAAGCAGGCCAGTTTAGCACCCAGACTCTTTTAATACAGAGCAATGCTGTTGTAATACATGCAGAGTGGGGTTTGGCATTGTCTTGCTGAAATAATCAAGACCTTCCCTAAAAAAGAAGTCGTCTAAATGGCAGCATATGTTGCCAAAACATGTATATATCGTTTAGCAGGTGTCTTCACACATGTCACAGTCACCCATGCCATGTACACTAATGCACCCCATACCATCATGAAAACTGGCTTTTGAACTGTGCACTGATAAAAAGCTGAGTGGTCTTTAGCCCGGAGGACACAATGTCTATGATTTCCAAAAAGAATTTCAAATTTTGATTCATCGGACCACAGGACACTTCTCCACTCACCTCAGTCCATTTTAAATGAGCTCAGGCCCAGTGAAGGTGGCAGCATTTCTGGATCCTTTTTATGTATGGTTTCATCTTTGCGTTTTAAAGTTTTAACTTACATTTATGGATGCAGCGATGAACTGTGTTCACAGACGTTGGTTTTCAGAAGTGTTCCTTAGCCCATGCAGTGATTTCCGCTAAAGAGTAATGCAGTGCCACCTGAGGGCCCAATGATCATGACCAGCAAATACTGTTTTTTTTTGACCTTGTCCCTTGCATACAGAGATTTCTCCAGATTCTCTGAATCTTTTATGTACCGTAGATGATGAAAAGCAAAAGATCTTTGCTGTTTTGCATTAAAAAACATTCTTGAATTGTTGCACTATTTGATAGTGCGGTCTTTTACAAAGTGGTGAACCCCTCCTCATCTTTACTTCTGAAAGACTCAGCCCCTCTGGGATGCTCTTTTCATACCCAATCATGTTACTGACCTGTTGCCAATCAACGACCAGGTGTTTTTTTAGCATTACACAACTTTACTAGCTTTTTGTTGCCCCTGTCCCAACTTTTTTGTGTTGTTGCCATCCAATTCAAAATGGGCGCATATTTTGCACTACACAATAAAAATTTCTGTTTAAACATTTGATATGTTGTCCTTGTACTATTTTCCATTAAATATAGGGTTTCTCCACATCATTGCATTTTGTTTTTATTTACATTTTACACAGTGTCCCAACGTTTTTGGAATTGGAGTTATAATGAAAAGAGGTGGGTAAAAAAAAATTGGCTTTGAAATGTCATAATTCATAGCATAGAAACTTAATTTCTCAGGAAGAATCAGAAAGACTGCAGGTGACCTGTGAGGGTGTGTGGAAAACTGAAATAAAAAATTTCTCTCTATTCCTGTGAACCACAGTGGGACCAGATGGAATAGAACAGACACGTCCAGCCTTCTCAAGTGCATTTCCTTTTGTGTTTTATTAATTGTTCAGAGTTAGATTTGTTGTTTGTGTTGTGTGTGTCACATTAAAAATCAATGACAAAAACATAGATCAACTGAAAAAAGGGTACAGTTATTGTACTACAGTATACTATACATTTACGATATTACAGTGCACTGTTATTATACTACAATATCAGAATCAGAATCAAGATTTATTGGCCAGGTATGCTTACACATACAAGGAATTTGGTTTTGGTTAAAGGAGCTCACAGTGCACAGTATCTGACAAACATTTACATGTAATAAATAAATAAAATAAATCAAAATAAAATAAAACATGCATTCCTACCATCACTCATACACACACATACACAGTCATATCTGTAAATCTTACATTGTGCAAAGTATATATGTCTTAAGTTAAATTGCTGAGTGCAGCAGGAGTTGAGGGATGTATAGTGGCAAAAAAAGAGATGTCAGATAAGTGGGGTAGTAGGGCAAGTAAGTAAGATGCTAGAAAAAACACTGGTCTGAGACGGTAGTTTCAGAAGATGGAATGTTTAGTGTGATACTATATACCAATATATTTACAAGTGCAGTTAAGATGTTGGAATATTGTGTATGTGAAATAATAAACTGTTAAAGAGAGTGATGGCTTGTCAGAAAAGGCTTCTCTGTAGCCATGATGTCCTGATCCACATTTGGCTGAAGCGCTGGCCTGATGGAAGGAGCTGGAACAGATGGTGACTGGGGTGTGATGAGTTGTTGGATTTTCTTCTTGCACACTTTCTGGTTCTGGAGGCATGCAGTTCCAGCAGTGTGGGCAACTTAACCCCTATTGTCCTCTCTGCAGACCTGATGGTGCACTGCAGTCTGTGGAGGTCATGCTTGGTGGCTGAGCTGCCCCACACTGTGATGGACATGGTGATGACAGGCTCTATGATGGCAGTGTAGAACCGCAATCAGCTCCTGGGGCAGGTTGAACTTCCTCAGCTTTGCAGGAAGTACATCTTCTGCTGGGCTGTCTTGATGATGGAGCTGACGTTGCTGTCCCACTTTAGGTCCCTGGTGATTGTTGTGCCCAGGAACTTGCAGGACTCCACTGCCATCACAGTTCTGTCCAGGATGTCCAGGATGTCTGCTGGCAGGGTTGGAGGGCTCCTGGCAAGTTCCACTGGCAGGTGGGGGTTGGCACGCTGAGTTGGAGCAGCTGTAGATTGTATTAAAGGCTGAACTGAAGCCCAAGAACAGAATTCTTGCACAAGTTCTTGGATGTTAATGCTGTTGGAGAATAACGTGGAGTCCCAAGTTCACTGTGTCGTCCACTGACGTGTTTGCCCAGTATGCAAACTGCAGGGGGTCTGGCAGAGGATCTGTGATGTTCTTCAGATGGGTGAGCATCAGTCTCTCAAAGGATTCCATGACTATAAAGGTCAAAGCAAGAGGTCTGTAGTCGTTCCATCCTGTGATTGTTGATTTCTTGGAAACAGGTATTATGGTGGAGCGATTGAAACAGGAAGGTACGACACACCGCTCCAGTGATTTGCTGAAGATTGTTGTGAATACAGGCGCAAGCTGGTCAGTGTATGCCCTCAGACAGGAGGGTGATACACCATCTGGTCCTGGTGCTTTCCTCACTTTTTGTTTCCTGAAGAGTTGATGCATATCTTTCTCACAGATCTTCAGGGCAGGCTGAATAGGTGGCTGAATGACAGGAGGGTGTGAATCTGTCCTGAATAGATAGGGAGAATCTCTTCTCTCTTCTTCCTCTAGATGACATGATAAAACACAAGCAGGATTCGAGTAGCTTCATCTCTTATGTCTATAGAAAGCTATGTGAATTTCATGGAGGTGCTACCTTTACTGTTATAGTGGGAAAATGACTCAGAGTACAAATTTCTCCATTGAGAAGTGACAACATCCCTGTTATCAAGACCTAACTTGCTAGTAGATGAATGTGTGTTACAGTAACAAATAGAGGTAAATCTTAGATTTATTAAGATAACTATACCCGTCTGCATCTGCTGTAGAGAGCAGCCGCTCCGCTCACTAAAATGTCCAAAAAACAGCCAGAAAGTGAAAAGTCAGGAGCAATGCCTTGTGGCATGGACTGCCTGATGTTCAGCAGATTTTCTGCACTGTGAGACTCTTTCTCATGTCACCAGACAAACAAACAAAACACAACAGAGCCCCCAAGCAGTGTCTGAGGTGCCATCTACAGTATGCCAGATGTAATAATATTACACATTCCAAGTCTCAGTGTAATAAAGCACCCAGAGTTTCCAAATTTTGGATTTAATGTCATATAATAGAATGTGACTATGCTATAATATATAGTTACTATATTATAGTGCACAGTTACTTTATTATAGTGTGCTGTTACTATTTTACAGTATACTGTATAGTTATCATATCATACTGTACAGTTACTATAGTATACAATTATTGTGCTACATTACAAGATACAGTTACACTATTACTTCATATCTAGGATTAGTATGCTGGAGAGCTTTGTCAGAAATACAAAAGAAGCAGATAATTATATTCTACAGTTCAATAATTCTGATTTTGACATGCACACCCATACATACCCATACACTCACATACACCTCTGAACACAGATGTTCATACCTGAGTGTTTTGAGTGAGCAGTGTGGATCCTCCAGGCTAGCAGAGAGCAGATTTACCCCGGACTCTCCTGGGTGATTGTAGGTCAGATCCAGTTCTTTCAGGTATGAAGGGTTTGAACTCAGAGCTGAAGCCAGAGATGAACAGCCTACACCTGTGATCATACAACCAGATAATCTGCAGAAAGAAGACAAAGAGGAAAATAGAGAGAGACACATTGAGAAAGGTGCTTTTGGCAAGCTTATGTTCTTTGACCACCTGCAGCGAAACGTCTTCCTTACTTACAAACATTTATTTAAATACCTGCAGGTGTAATATTACATCTGTATGCAGCAAGCTGGCTATCACCTCTTCTCTCTCCTTCTTCTAGATGACATGAGAAAACACAAGCAGGATTTGAGTAGCTTGATCTCTTATGTCTATAAAAAGTGCATTTCTTGGAGGTGCTTTCTTTACTGTTATAATGGAAAAATGACTCAGAGTGCAAAATTCGTGTTTGAGAAGTGACAACTGTTATCAAGTTTGAGAAGTGACTCTCTGTTATCAAGACCTAACTTGCTAACAGATGAATGTGTGTTACAATAACAAATAGGGGTAAATCTTAGATTTATTAAGATAGCACTACCGGTCTGAGTCTGCTGTAAAGAGCAGCTGCTCCGCTCACTAAAATGTCCAAAAAACTGTCCAAAAGTGCAAAGTTAGAAGCAATGTGGCATGGACTGCCTGATGTTGTGCAGCAATAGGGGTAAATCTTAGATTTATTAAGATACCACTCCTCATGGTCAAAAATGTATTGTTTGTTGTGTAACACTTTTTAATTAAAAGAAAAAAAAAACAAGTTGTTTGAGAATTCCTGGAGAGGTTTGCTTGTATACTTCAAATCCAGGCCAGCACACCTGTGTCATTTAATAACCTCACTAATGTATCTGTTGCACATTGAATTAACTCCTCAGTGTGACTTATTTACTTGTTTGCAAAATCTACTTTTTTATTGCACAAGCACTGCTTGGTTATGATTGGTGAAAGGGGCTGAGAGATTGTTTAGGTTTGATTTGTACTTTTTTTATTAAATGTAAGTTTGATTTAATGGTAAAAGCCTAGTAAGCATATTGATTAAAAATGTTATATGTAGAGTATATGCACTTATATTTTCTTACAAAATTGACAAAATATAATTTGAAAGTTTGCAAGAATTTCACATCAAACCACTCTAAATTACTTTGTTTACATGTCAGTAATGATGCAGATATTTTGAAACACTGAAAAGTGGAATTCCAGCTTAAATTTATTAGAAATCATATCTTGACATTCATTGCATTTAAACAATAAATTTCAAGGGTTAAAATTCCATTCAAGTATTAATTAACTAAAAGCCTACCTGAGTATCTCCAGATTACAGTGTGAACTCTTCAGACCAGCAGAGAGGACCTCCACTCCTGTATCTTGCAGGTCATTGTTAGTCATGTCCAACTCTTTCATGGAAGAGATTTCCAGTTTTAAAACTGATTCCAGATGATCACAAGCCTTTTTTCCAAGACTACACAAAGCTATTCTAAAAAGCAAATTATATATCTTACAACAAAAGCAAAAGGAAACTTTAAAAAAAAGTTTTAAATGTTTGAATAACTAAGATTTCACATATTTTTATATTACTGGGTTGGTTAGAGTAATAAATATAGTCAAATGCTGTAGCCACAAGAAATATTACTGTAACAGATCACCATTCAGAAAACTGACCTGAGTATCTCCAGTTTACAGTGTGAATTCTTCAGTACAGCAGAGAGCAGCTCCACTCCTGAATCTTGCAGGTTATTGTTACTGAGGTCAAGTTCTTTCAGAGAGTTTTGCAGTTTTAAAACTGATTTCAGATCTTCACAAGTCTTTATCCCAAGATTGCAAGAAGCTAATCTACAAAAGGAGAATAAATGCACACATTTTACAACATACTCAAAGGGAACAAGAAAAAAAAAATCCTGTGGCACAGCTTAATGACAACACAATAACCACTGGTTATCTGTGCACTGCTGTGGCTCTCTAAGACTGCAATGATATGTAAATAAACAACACAATATAATACTTGAGTTGGATGTGACCACAGGCAGATATAACAGCATTATTAAATAGCAAAAACAAATACACAAAAGAAACAGCCAGAATAAAACTGAAATACAGTGATAGTTTAAAGAACACTGTGTGTAGGACACAGACACAAAGCCACATACACAGCAAGTATGAAAAAAAAAATCTACACAGGTGTGAAAGTATAAAAAAATTAGGAAAAAAACAACACTGTGACTTCAATTTTTAGGTTAAATAATGTGTACATGTAATATTCTATTTTATTTACTATTAAAACAATGAGTTATTATGGAGTATTAAATATCCTTTAGGCTACAAAAGAGTATGTTTTCCATTGTATTTGCTGGGGTTATGTAATTGAGGAAGTCAATTATAAAAGATGAAATTGATTTATTTACCAGTAAAAGTTGTGCTAATTATTTTTAGATATCCCCAGGCCTGCAGTAAATGTATTTAAATCAATGTCACATCTCCTTCATCTATAAGAGAGTGCTCTGCATAAATATCAAATTCCTCACATTGTCAAGAGAGTTATAAACCAAATGTCCTTCTAAGCTGAAACAGAGTATCTAAATGTGAAGGCATGTGTCAGCTGCAGTCTACAGCAGCACTTTTGCTGTATACTCAGCTTATAATATAGAAATATTTAAATATTTACTTTAGCTGTAATTCAGCTGATAATATATAAATATTTAATATTAAATATTCACATTTTTTATTGTACATTTTCCCTGTAAGTGTTCTTTTTTAGCTAGAACTAAATCATTGTACTTTAACAATTTTACTTTAGAAAAAGAAAAATACCATCACGCATGAGCACCATCCTTTTGTCTGAACTGAAAAAACTAATGAACTGTCATCTTCATTTGTTTTCAAATGAACTAAAGAAAATGGCAATATTATCAAATCCAGAACTAAACTTGCTGAGGAACCAGTCATTACCTGATTGGCTAACTAATCCTAGCTTCCAATCCGATGTGTCTTTCTAATCCAAGTGTCCTTATGTCCCTAATTTTTTCCTACCTAAAAAGAACTCAATGTGTGCTGTTGGAGCTCTATAGTTAAGAAATAGGGAAAATTATTAAAAACTAAAAGCTAGTGGGGAGCAGGCAGAAAGCATGGAGCCAGAAGCAAATCAGGAGGACATAAATTATATAAAATAAAAGATGTGTATATCTTTGCCTTTGTATTATTTATCAGTACTGCTGGAAAACTCTCACACCCAAGATTAAACATAAAGAGTAGAAAATTATGTGTGTAGGCAAGTAAGTTAGCTAAAGTAAAAGACACTAGCATTTGTATGTGTATCCTAAAGATGAATGATTTTCCACCTTTCTTAGTGTAAATTTGAGCCACATCAACTTAAATTGATTTCTGCAATCATTGTGGATTTCATTTAATATATTATTGCAAAAGCAGAGTTATGTGATATAGTGATTTAGTGAGTTATGTAATATAGTGATATAGTGATTTCTTAAAGTTGCTGAACATCAACAAAGGTATATTCATAAAAAATAACAGGTTCAAGTTTTCTTGCATGGCTGATGTGAATACATTGCATTAAGAAAATAAAGCAGAGCTCAGAACAGGTCAATTATGTACTGATAAGAAGTAGAGGCAATTATGTTTTCAGCATATAAAGCTGTGCCATGCATATCCAGACTCATTCTCTAACTAGTGAGCAATGTCTAGCACTTATGCAAGCTTTTATCTATTTTTGAATGCAATATAATAGATCAGCAGCACAATTAGTAACACAAATTGAATTGTATGTAGACGTATTACAAATGGGAGTGTATTTCTCTACAGAATCACATGAATCATATGAGTTGTTCTTACTGAGGTCCAGTTCTTTCAAGAAAGAGGTTGCTTTTTGTATAACTAACTTTATGTTTACATATAGCACGTCTGTAAAAACACATCTTACAATTCACAAATTGTTTCTGCATGTAGAATTATTTTGACAATAAGACTGAGATTTCACTTCGACTCCAGCAGTTAACTGCTTCATTCTACTTTTATGCGCAAATAATTCACAGGCAAATAATCTCACAGATCAAGCACTCATTGACCAGTTTTTGGCTTACTAATTGATAAAAGTCATACTTCAGTACAGGAACCACATATTGTAGCTCGTGTTTCTGTTATTTGCTTAAACAGTATGTTATGTATATTCCATCTAAAACCTGTAAGTTATGGTTTATGACTTGAACATACAAAATAGTCATTTATGCATTTATTATTACACACATTTCTGACACTCAAAACGCTCACAGAAGAGCATTCTATGCTTCATCAACAAGCATTATATAAAAAATCTAATAAAATAAAGAAATTATTCTACTTATCAGAAATCTACAGCATTTTTCATCATATTCATATTATTGAAATATGTAGGGATTTCCAGGTATGAATATTTTATCTGCATATAAGTACTTCGATTTAAAACAAACACTTGCCTTTAAACCAAACCAAATCAGGTGATAGACAAATCTGACTAATAAAGCAGATTGCACTTTATGGGTAAAGCATGCAATATGATGTAGCCTAAAAGCACAAGACAACAAAGTGATATGTCTATGAAAAAAATACAAAAAAATACATACATACACAGAGTAGCAAAAAACAAGACAATGGAAACACACGGTACAGTCATGTGACAATACTTGGCAAAGGACCTAGACTAAAGCCAGCTTATATACTAAGCTAACAAACACATGAAATGAGGAACAGGTGCATATAATTAGAAGTCAGGTGAAGCGGAACAGGATAGCTGGATTTGTGAGTCCTGTGTCATGTGCTGAAGCAAGGGGCTCTGGGAAACATAGTCCTGAGTGGCCATGCCGGCTGTAGGCTCAGCCAGAGCATATATATAGTTAATACACAACATGTTTCATTCTAACTGCTCCAGATATACAGCCCCAAAAACACAAAACAAAAGTTTAAGCGATTCTGTATTGTGGAGTGATGAAACAAAACTGGAACTTTTTGGGCCTATAGATCAGCGGTTCATCTGGAGGAGAAAGAATGGATCATATGCTGAAAAGAACACCCCGCCTACACTGAAGCATAGCAGTGTCTCGGTGATGCTGTGAGGCCGCTTTGCTTCCTTTGGCACTGAAAACATGCAGCATGTGGAGGGCAAGATGGATTCAATAAACCATCAGGAAATCCTAGGAGAAAAGATCATGCCTTCCAACAGGAAAATAATCCTGACCATACTTCAAAATCAACCAAGGCTTGGTTTCAGAAGAAGTCCTGGAAGATTCTGAAGTGGCAATTACAGTCGCCTGACTTGAAAAATCTTTGGTGGGATTTGAAAAAGGTGGTTGCAGCACGCAAACCCAAGAAAATTAGTGAACTGGATGGCTAAGGCTCCCTAGGAATGCTGCCAGAAGCTGGTCTCTTGTTATGCATCATGTTTGTAGCAGGTGATAGCAGCAAAAGGGTGCTCTCCTAAGTATTAAAGATGCTTGTCAAGAAGGGGTTAAATAATTCTGAGAAATCATCAGAAGTGGCATTTTGCGTTGAATTTGGAGAAACCATTTTTTTTAATAATTGTAATGAGCTATTTAAATTTTTTTATTTGTTTATTGTAAACAGCTGAAAGTATGTAAATTTTGCTAATAAAGCTAATTTCGGTAACACTTTCTATGAATGTCACATTTGTAAGCATCTATAAACACATTTATAACATGTTATAATGCCTTCATACGGCATAATAAACATGATTATAAACATTTATAAAAATGAATTACACTGAATTACACTTTATAGCCATGTCTATTATACATTATGAATTGTTAATATAATGCATTATAAGTAGTGTTGATAACATGCTATCCTGTCAGTGCCAAAGAAGTCAGTCCCAGCTTGGAGACTGCAAAGTAAAGACAAATACCAAGCTAACAGTGGTGTACATTGACTTTCCCACATTGGGTAAAGCACTGATGGCAGCACTAGTTTAAACTCTGACATTTGAAGCCTGTAATGTGCTTTATTGTGTATGTTTTAGTGTTTCAGTAAATCCTTCAGTAAATACTTCAACTTGAAGCCTCACTCTTAACACTGGAGGAGGCTTTAGTACAGTACGTTTCACTTTACATAGAGCGGACAAATACCACTTATGAGCTCTTATAATTTGTTATGATCAGTACTTATAATGTATTATGTTAACAATTCATAATGCATAATAAGCATGGCTATAACATATAATGCATTTTTATAAATATGTATAGCCATGTTTATAATGCCTTATGAATGCATTATAACATGTTATGAATGTGTTTATAGATGCTTACAAAGGTGACATTCATAGAAAGTGTTACCCTAATTTCCAATGGGGGCTGAATAATTTTGATTGCAGCTGTATTTACTTATTAAGTACTAGGTTCTTACCATACCACAAAATAAAATGCTACACAAGTATCTTTATTTTTATTAGCCTGCAGCTAGTAGCATAAGTTAAAGATACACAAAACACACCACAGTTTATCTAAATTATATAAGTTTAAAATAATATAATGGAATTTTACTTACAGAGCTCTTCTCGTATTTTTCACTACGGGCAGTAGTCTGTTAAGTCCTTCCTCTGATGGCCTGTATTTCTTCAGCTCAAACTTCTCTTGAGTCTCCTCTGACATCAACAACATAAACACCAGAGCTGACCACTGTGTAGATGAGAGTTTCTGTGTTGAGAGATCTCCAGAGTTCAGGTGTTTCTGGATTTCAGTTGTCAGGGAATTGTCTTTCAGTTCACTCAGGCAGTGGAAGAGATTCAGGCTTCTGTCAAATGACATTTCCTCATGGAGTTTCATCTTGATATAGTCAGCTGTGTCTCTAACATTTTCAACTTTGATCTTCAGATTTGGCAGAAGTTCAGTTAGGACTTGCTGACTGTCCTCCAGTGAGAGGCCAAGAAGGAAACGGAGAAAAAGGTCCAGGTGTCCATTTTTACTCTGCAAAGCTCTTTTTACTGCACACTTATGAAGATGTTTTATTCTCTTATTCATCCATCTAAGCTTGTTCATAAATGTCTTTTTGAATGCATTTGTTTTCTTGTTGCAGTGAGAGTGATGCACATATAAAGCTGCAAGGCTTTCCTGAACACTCAGATGCACAAAGCTGAAAATATTCCTCTCAGAAACTCCCTCCTGCTGACTGAAAATCTGTGTGCACACTCCTGAGAACACAGTGCCATCACTGACATCAATACCACATTTCCTGAGATCATCTTCATAGAAAATCAGAGTACCACTCTCAAGATTACAGAAGGCCAGTTTACCAAGCTTCAGAATGATGAGCTCAGCATCAACAGTTGTGGTTTTCTCACTGTATTTCTTTTTCATTAAGTTTTTCTGCTGGAGTAGGAAGCTTATGTACATTCCTGTCAGGGTTGTGGGGATGTCCTTATTGCTGTCTTGAGCCATCAGAGGCTGAAGCACAGTGGCAGAGATCCAGCAGAACACTGGGATTTGACACATGATGTGGAGACTTCTTGATCTCTTTATGTGTGAAACAATACTCATTGCCATATCCTCATTACAGTATTTGATGAAGTATGCCTCCTTTTGTTCATCATTGAATCCTCGTACTTCTGTCACCAGATCGATGTAGTCCCGGGGAATCAGATGAGCTGCTGCTGGTCGGCAGGTTATCCAGATTAGAGCAAATGGAAGCAAGCTTTGCTTCAGAAGGCTTGTGATCAGTGATCCCACAGAGGTCTTTTCATTGGCGTCTTTCACTTCCTCTTTAAAGCAAAGAGGAAATCGGAACTCATCCAGTCCATCAAAGATAAACAAAATTTTACCATCATCCTCTGGAAGAGACTTTAGTTCATTTTTGGAAGAGAAAAAACAGTCATTCAGTAGTTCAATCAAACTGAACTTCTTATCTTTCTTCAGATTCAGTTCACGGAAGGGAAGAGGAAAAATAAAGTTTATGTCTTGGTTTTCTTCTCCATTCGCCCAGTCAAGTATGAATTTGTTGACTGACACAGTTTTGCCCACTCCAGCAATTCCCATTGTCAACACTTTTCTCTTTCGTCTACTGGTACCAGGCTGGACCTTGAAAAGATCTCTGCATTTGACACAAATTTCCTTACTAGCATGTCTGTTGGAAGACATTTCCATTTGCATCACTTCATGCTCTTGAATGACTCCTCCACTTTCATTCTGCACTATTATAACATCAGTGTAGATATCCTCCAAGAACTTCTTATGGCCTGTTTTAGAATTCCCAATCAGTATACTTTCATATGTCACCTTCAGGGTTTCTGTCAAATGGCAACGATGCTTTTGATCTTTGTGTCAGAGAAGGATAAAAGACAAAGATTTTATGAGATAAAGCATTTTATCCAAGACAAATTAGTCCACAGTGGTGTTCATCATCCATTTAAAGGGGAATTCCAGTGATGTTTCAATTTTTTACACTATAAAAGCTCTCTCATAGAAAGCTATTACATGACATATTTATGAAAACATTGCCAGATACCTTGGGTATTGTTTATGTTAGTGTTGAAGAAGTTTTGGCCTAACATGTACAAACTGAATTTTAAAAAGTAGGCTTTTTATGTCAAATGTCAATGAAAACAGAAAGCAGAGATTAGTAAATTCTATTGGTCTTGTATTAAATAAAAAAGTGTTTGACCTTATGAACTGTTTTTTGAAAATAAACACATACAATTAAGCCTATAAGAGTTTTTTTTCTGATTTGCTTAAACACACTTTCTGAAAACGTTTGAAATATCATAACTCTCTCAAAATATTTAACTCATTATTCAACATCAAAGAAATCAATGAAAATGTCACTGATATAAATTACCCTTCAAAGTGCTAAACATCATTTGTATGACCTTGTATCATGAAAGTTTTTATTTACCTTGATTCTCATTGATACACTATAGAGTAGGTTGCTTTTCTGTTACCAACTGATTGCAATAGCATAATTATCAGATGTAATGCCACACAAACATCAATTCTTTGCAGTATGTACTTTTACAATGATTTAAAATAAGAACAGAAAATAAACACAACTACGTTATGAAAAAATTGCCCTGCTGTGCACGCATTTTGGTTTTAATGATTTTATCTAGTATTTTATAAAGTATTTTTCTAGTATTTTTGTTATTATGATGATGTTAGTATGATAAGTCTCATGTTCTAAGTATGAATTTTTTTTCTGTTTTTTACTGTAAGATATTGTAGGGTTGTTTAAATAACTCTGGCACATTTACAGTTCTGCTGATACTGTTTATTAATGGGCAGGGTCCAATATATATATATATATATATATATATATATATATATATATATATATATATATATATATATATATTAACTGTTATTTATGCAAGGACCTACACAATCAGCATATAGACTAACAAATGCAAGAGTAATAAAGATCAACAGAAAAGCAATAACATCTATTTTATGTTGAATGCTTACTCAATACACCAATTTTTCCTTACCTTGTGTCTCACTAAACAGTTACCTGCTATACAGTAAGTAAGATTTTCTGTATAGCCAATTGATTGTAGTAATAGCACTGTCAAATCACACAAACCTTAATGTCTTTGCATGGTGTACTTTCACGGTAATGTAATGTTTACACAGTATTTCAGAGAGAATGGTTTTCCTTTGTGGACTGTGCTTAAGCAATTGAGAATTCAGAATACCTAAAATGGATCCTTTATGTTTTTGCCTTGAATATGTATTCTAAATATGTTTTTTTCAATATTATTATGTAACATTTCTGCCCTGTCAATTGTACAATAATTTAAAAACACTGGAGTATTTCTTCAATACCTTATTAATATACAGGGTGTCCCAAAAAAATTTACATAATTTCGTAGTCTAATAACATAGCCAATTCTCCCTCAAATGATCTAAAATTTTAACAAAATGTGTAAAAACTAACCAAGTTTAATTTTTAATGGTTTTTTTTCAGGTTGAAGAATGGCGTTCACTGGAAATGAAGAGGCATTTTGTGTGTTAGAATATGCTCAAACACAGTCAAACATGAGTGTGCAGCGTGCATTTTCCAGAAAATTTAACAAAAATGCACCAACTGGAGACTGTTACGCAAGACATGCTACAGCATGTTAGCAGGAGCTGTACTACCGACTTGATGTGTGTTGTGACACAGGTTATGCGCATATTGAACATTTGTGAAGCTGTGAAATCGGTTATAAAATCTACATCCCTCTGTATTTCTTGTTCGAATTTTTATAAATAAATCTTGTATTGTTCAACATGAAGCCTATTTAATTTTGTTTGCCTAGGACATGTAGTTACTCAGATATTCACATCTCAAATGATGTAAATTTTTTTGGGCACCCCATATCTAGATTTTAAATCCTTTACAGTTCACAGCTTAAAGATGAAATTGATATTTTTAGCCCTGTATCAAGAAAAGGTAACCGTAATGATGTGTTGGGTTTACCTGCAGAGGAAACACTAACTGAGTCTCCATCTGTGCTTGCAGTGGAGGATGGTGCTGGGCTCTTTTGAGTTATTTCTAAAAAAAAGGGACAAATGAGTAAAAAGGACAAATGAGGACAATTACAGTATAAAGAACCTAAAATCCAAACTTAGATACTAAAGAATCTCAAAGGCTAGAAATAAACCTGGCCTGTATCCACAACTGTGCTTACAAATTAGATCCATTTTGTCCTACACTTTATGGTGTGTTTACATTGTGTGATTTCCATCATAATAATTCTGTCACAGATAACAGCTGCAAATTGTGAAAGAATTGATTGACCGTAAGTTTAGACCCTGAATGCAACCAATTGGGAGCACCAAAGAACGACACATATGTGTGTGTTTTTATGTGTGTATATATATATATATATATATATATATATATATATATATATATATATATATACACAAACACACACACACACATATATATATATGTGTGTGTGTGTACATATATATATATATATACATATATATATATATATATATATATATATATATATATATATATATATATACAGAGAGAGAGAGAGAGAGAGAGTGAAATGAACAAATTAAGGCAAAAACTTTTGCCTTAAAAACTATTGTTCTAAGGTTATTTTATAGCTTACATACATTACACAGGCCAAATCTTTAGTTCAAATATAAAGTGAAAAGCCTCTTTTTTCTGGAGAATGGACATTGTCCTCTTTACTCAAGCCATGAAGCCATGGCTCCAAACCCTCTTTGCTGTTTAAGAAGTTTTTTTTTTTCAATTAAAACGTGGTGCCGAGGTGTTTTGTGGCTACAGTTTTCAGCAAAAAAAGGAAGGCTCCAGTAATGTTTACAATTTACCTGATTTGCATCTATTCAGTTCAGTTCAGTATCTATTCAGTTATTAAACATGACTGAATTTCTACAGTCTGTCACAGATTTTGGTAAATATTTTATCTGCAGCATCTCATGCAGTGTGGCATGTAATAAATGTGTTACTGTAAAAAGTTGCTGTTATCTCACAGTTTGTGTCTACTAGCTGATACCATTTGCCACAACAAATGTTAGACATTCTCTTTTAAAAGCTATAGACTTTGTTATAAAGAACTTTTTAGCCTTCAAACCGGTTAAGTTACCTTCATGCTTAGAATCAGCTCCTATTCTAAAATGACCTTGGCCATGAAACTCATTTCCGCATAGAAAAATTGCATTGACTGTTCCTCCGCAATGAGCTGTGATGTTCTGGACTGGTTCACTTTGAGCTCTGATTTTCTGCACTGGGTCACCTTGGGCTGCAGTTGTCTGAGGTAGGTCATCCTGAGCTGTGGTGGCCTGGACTGGGTCAGTCTGACCTGTGATCAGATGAAAGCAAAAGGGTGTTAAGTAGAAATCAAGATGAGGAGATAAAGGGTCTAACTGCATTTCCAAACAAAGTATTGGCATCACATTGCCAGTCCTTATATTAAAAATCACAGCACACAGTGAGGTTAAATACAGCGAGGTCATATGATACCATGTAGACTCTGTGGAGAACTGCAATATGTAGAATTTGACTAAAAATCAAGAGATCATACAGATCTGTTCACTTTTGGTCCAAATGCTCAACTTGTCAAATAGGACCTGGAAGAAGTGCTAGTGGCCATGTTTTATTTGAATCATGTATTTAAAGGTGGTAAATCTTACACAGCTAGGTTCTGAGTTCCACTTTTATTGTTAACTCCTTGAAAAACATCATAAACTTCGACAAGCAATTGTTTTGGTGTTTAAAACCCCAAATGTGACAAATACATTTATTGCCTCTCAGCACATCAGTTATAGTTCAAATAAACTAAAAAACAAAAACAAATACACTGATTAAATGAAGTACCTATATTTAAATGCAGAAATTTGGGCCCCCCATTCAAATACAATTTTTTGTAGATTTTTAAGTGAAAATATGTGAACACATCTTCTACAGGGAGTAAAAAGAGTGTGTACTTATTTTCACGAGAATCTCAACAAAACATAATTTGAACATGGGGGGTGGGGCAGTTTTGCAAAAACTCGGTGTAAACTGTAGATATGACATTAATAGGCAGGCTTTTGCAGCGTAGAATATATAGATAGATTATATATTTTTTAATGAATTTTAATAGAAAGTGTATAGCTTTGAGAATTACATTATGTAACCATTAATATGCAGAACAGTCAATATGGAAGTTACTCATACATTACCATCAAACGATAGAAATAAATGGTGTGCAATTTACAGTGCATCATCACTCAATTGTATAATCTGCTGCATTTGGAAACAGTTTACATTTGTAGTATATGACTGAATCCTGCAACAATCTATCACTTGTATTTTTCATCTTACAGTTACAGAGGAAAAATGGAACATTTTTTTTTTGAGTTTCTATGTCATACTGAAAGCCTGTTTCACACTAAACAGAAATTGAAATCCCCAATTAATAATGGCATACATCAAAAATCTCTCTTTCTGGATTAGCAAAGAGTACATGAAGTGTATATGAATGAATAAAATAATGAACAATATAATACAAATACAAAAAATCTTACCTAATACACTTGGCATTTTAATGTATGTGACAATTAATTGTCCTCATATTCTTTAAAGCAATGTTCACCATTTAAAAACTTTTCGGAGTTGTCATTAGAGAAATTATGGAGCCTGAGGATAGATTGAGAAACAGGAAGCAGGTCAGTCTCAGAATAGTACAAGACAGGAAAAGGTTTAAAACAGCACAGTCATCTAGCACACAAAATAAAATGTGTGCTGGATAACAGTTATATCAGACAAACACCACTATAGACAACAGAACGGTAAATTCAGTTCTCCTCTGATAGGAGATTCTGAGGAGCCTCCACTTTTCAGGTCAACATCACAGAAGAGAGTGTTACAGTCTCAGCTTTAAAGAAAGGCAGGTGTAGACCCCTGATAACCAAGCAGAGGGAACATGGTCTGACACTGAACCTATTTTACAGCGGCGCTGTCGGCTTGTTTGTATGGAATGTCTTTGTGAATGTTTCTGGCTTTGACCCCATGCACTGAAAAAATTTCAGAAAAGACTTAGTACAGAACACAATTTAAAAATAAATGAAAGTTAATACCTCAAAACAATTACTGTTGTTTTGGCAAACATAGTGTTGTTGTAATGTTTTTTATTCAAGTGGGGGCAAAGTACAAATCTGAATCAGTTCAATTTTTCCGTGTGCTCGTCTGGGTAGCATAGTAAAATGGTTGCTGTGCTTTGATTTTGATTTACTGTCATCTGAAAATACTGCATGAATAAATCATGTTCAGTGTGTAAAGGCCTTTATCATGTCCCCGAACAGATAATGGGTTACCACCTCTCTATGCTGAATGCTGAGTGTTATAATGGACAGTTTGTGTCTAAATAAATATGCATCTAAATCTTTTGAACTTAGCCAGAGCTCCTTTCACAACCTAATAGTTGTGTTTGTTTACTGTAAAATAGTTGTGTTGTGCAACCAAAATTGACAGGCTACATTATTGTGCTATACTTGTTTGCACATTAAATTATCTGGTCGGTTAAATCTTGTGGGCCGTGGAAGCTTTTGTGGTCGGATGTGTGAGCCACGAGTTAGTAAAGGTTGGAAACCTCTGTTCTTAGATATATGTTTACAGAAAAGCAATACACAGTCACACTCTCTGCAGAACCAAAACTGTTGAGGTCAGTAAAGTGAAAGGCCTGCTGTAGTTTATTCTACTTCCGCTTACACTTGATTATGTCTCTTTAGCAGGGACAGTCTTTGCACTAATGTAGGCAGCAGTCTATAAGCCAAAGGCCCAGTGAAAATACAAATTTGATATACTTTGTGTCTTGATGATTTATTCTGAAATATATACAGGCATTATCAAAAAAGCTGCTATTTCCGATTGTAGCGATTCTTTTCAGTAATTTCAATGCAGCCCTCCACCCCCTAACATGATTATAATGGACTGTTCCTTGCTGTTACATGATAACACAATCGCATGAATACACACTGGTATGAAATACACACTGATCTAGATTTTGGAGAGACGATACTACAGTGTAATTTTCTCAGTGTTGGGAGGGAAATTCAACTAAAAGTTATTCAAGTGCAGCAGAGCAAGCTAGCTGTTGGCAATTTTTCATTTGTTATTTGTTTGCTAGTAAAGTTGTATAGGACCTAACAACATGTAATGTTTATTAACAATTTTTGCAATAGATAGGCCATCAGTAGTACCTCATGAACCAGTTGTGAGGTTTGAATAGGTAGTGTTGTTTCCTATTCATCCTTCATTCATTACATGTGTACTCTATAGGATCATCTACCACTTCACTGTAGCGTGCACCAACACTGATAACCACTTGAAGTATATGAAGTAATATTAATAACACATAATTCCCATGAATGAGTCATGAAAACACATTTATGTTTAAGTAGGTAGTTTTAATTTCCCAGTGGTATTTGATGTGTTATATCGTATTGTGGTAGGATGTTCTACCACAATACGATATTTTATAAACTAATATAGCAGCAAACAACTATTCTCTATGTCAGGGTCTTTAATTAAAATTCAATAAGGTCCAATTAAAGAAAATTTCCCCAAGCAAAGGTCGGGAACATCATAACGTCTTATGATTCAATGCCATATACTGTATACTGAAGTAGTAGTTATATCAACATCTTATGTAGTCAACAACTCTCCACGTTTTGTTTTGCCCTCCCCGACAGTGACTGCCCATGCAGCGTGCATGCACAATTTAAGGTAGAATGGGAAAATTCAAACAAGAAGCTGAGGTGCCCGAATGTAGTCTTAACTGCTGCACCTTTCAAGGTGGAACGGGAAAATTCAAACAAGAAGCTGAGGTGCCCGAATGTAGTCTAGCTGCTGCACTTTTTAAGGTGGAACAGGAAAATTTGAATAAGTAGCTGGCAAAAAAGACGTTGACTTGAGCTTCATTGAGAGTCGAAATGCATGGAAAGGAAACAGGAGGCCTCTCCTGCTGAACTGGTGGGTAACAATAACTCATTTTTGTTCTTTCACAGAATCAATAGGTCAGTATTGTTTTGTCCTGTTTGCGAATGTTTGTGATAGCAACTGGTTAGCTTCACAGCAGAAACTGTAGTGACAGTTTGCTAATCCACTACCCACTACTACAAGCAATTGTTTGTTTGTGATGTTTATTTCAAAATACAACAAAATACATTTATCACCTTTCATCGTCCCAGTTATAGTTCATTTTGACTCACAAAAGAAAGAACATCAAATACACTGAATATATGAAGTAAATGTAGTTGAATGCAGAAGTTTGCCACCATCACCACCCCCTCCCCCCTCCCTGTTAAATAACATGTTTTATTGATTTTCTAATTGAAAATATGCTAAGACATCATTTTCAGTGGACAAAACATGTATTTTTTTTTTTTTGTTTTTTTGCATACAACAATGTGAATGTAATAGAATGTAATAATAATAACTGTATTACCTTCTCTGATGTTGGTCCTCAGTTTCTGGGACAATTGAAAACTAGGATAGTTGGTTCAGCTTCTTCATTAAGAAAAAACTGAACTCCTAAATGGTGTTCCTCCAGGTGTACTTGTCTGTTTGTTTCTGGTAGAGAATGTGCAAAACTTTGAGAATCACATTATGTAACCATTAATATGCACAACAGTCATTATAGTAGTATTCTAAATGCCTGATATATTACCATCAAAAGACAGAAATAAATTCCATGCAATTTACAGCGAATTATCGCTCAAATATAATCTGCTGCACTTTGACACAAACACGCACAAACACACACACACATACACACATACAGTTACAAAGAACAAATAGAACATGAAGAAAATGAATGAATGAAATAAAAAATAATAATGTACAAATACAGAGGTCTTACCTAATGCACATATCACTTCAATGTCTGTAACATTTTTGATAGTCTATGAAGCAATGATCACTATTTAAAATAGTTGTGAATACAGAGATTATAAAGCCAGACATCTTAGCTGTGAAAGACACTGAGAAACAGGAAGCAGGTCAGCCTAAGAAAAGTGCAACACAGGAAGAGGTTTACACAGCACTACGCCCACAACATCATACACAAGTAAATAACGTAGTACCACATGATTTACAGTGTTCTTCAGTATATCACACAAACATCACCTATAGACAACAAAACACAGTGTAATCAAGTGTAGAGCAGACAGATACAAAAGCAGGCCTAGCAGCAGGATTAATTAGATAAGGGGACGAAAGAAATGACTGAGAGCGCATGACTCCCCTTGCCTAATGAACAATGAAGAGCAATAGGCTTCCCTGTTTGTATTAACAATAACGTATTAACACATGACTGTTGATTTTTTTCAGCATTGTCATTACAACACAACACCGTAGAATCAAAAATATCATAGCTAGCTATATAATCAAATAAAAATATTCATTTTAATGAACAGCATCATTCCACAATGAGCTACACTTGGAAACCAAACTGTAAATTTCACTTCATCCAGCTTACCCAGCATGAATCTAAAAGAGCTAAACACACAAACAGAATGATGACACACAGTGCTGTTGATGCGAATTGCCACTCTCACATAGCACTCCTGCTTTGTAGCATTTTCCCCCCTTATGTCACTTGAGTGCTATAAGTCTCTGCTTAATTACTGCAAAAAACACAGAAAAAAAATCTTCATCCTATCCTAATGCAGAAGAGCAGCAGCCAACCTGATATAGCTTTGAATTTCCTAGGTGTTTTCTCTTTCTATCCCCCTCATGGGAAAATTTGTTGTAAGGTCCTGTAGAAATGTTCAAATGAATTGGCTGAATTAGCCATGCCATCTTGTTGTGCAACATGCTCCTTCTGTGCTCGCTGAAAATGATCTTCTGTTTTGAAAATTATTTTTTAAACGTTGCTGTGCTTGCTCTGCTCATATCCTAATCTGAGATTCAGTTGGCTTTGCTGGAATATTATCTATTCAAAATACAGGGTGATTCAAAAAGAATAATCAGATTTTTAAATGATTTATTTCACTTGTAAATCATTACAGAACAATGCAGTACATTGTAGATGGTTTAAAGTTTATAGTGTTTAAAGTATAAAGTGGAATAAAGTTTATTATGTAATTTTACAAGTGCTCAATATGGCCCCCTCCAGCTGTACAGACAACATCGACATGATAGACAAATTCATTCCATATTCGATTGAACTTGTCAGGTGTCACTGTACTCATGGCTCTTTCAATGCGATTTTGAAGATCATCCAGTTTTGTGGAACCAACGGTGAATGCTCTGAGCTGTTGGAGGTTCACTGCCCACGAAAATCACATTGGCACAGTTATGACAGATTCACTCTCATTGAAGTGGAGCACAAAACGCTTTCTGTGCAGGGGTCGCCATCTCTTTGCAGACTCAAAGGGGGCCATCTTCCAATGACAATCAGAAACTCTATGACCCCCACTTTCAATTGGTATGTGATTGGTTCCTAGGTGCCTCATGGTCATAAAATTATGGCGCTTTGAAATCAGATTAATTTTTTTTAATCACCCTGTACTTTGAGGTGTTCACATTTCTTATCCGGATTGGTCAATTTGTGTAGCGAATCTGTTTAGTGATGGTAAACTCGGCCTCTGGTAACTCAGATGAAGTTAATGCTAGCTATATGGACTGACTAACTCTCTTCCGCAAAAGTTCTTAATGGCTGGACTGTTAGGATTTGCAGTAATGCAGAGCTTATGTTTGGTGAAATGTTGTGGAAGCTATACATCAAACAATTCTGATGTCTAGCTTGAACTAAACTGATGGCAGCACGTTACCATATCTAAAGGGCGTACATCAGGTGAGATGACTGAATGGCTTGCTCAGCTATAAAATCCAGTCAATACAAGTAAAAGCAGTTTGAAAAGGCTGCTATGCTAAATAAATAAATAAGTAAATAAGTAAGTAAATAAATAGATAGCAAGTTGCAGGGCAAACAACACAACACAATACTTGGGCTCATAGTTTTCCCTTCTCATGCCCGGGCCTGTAGAACAGAATACTCTCCTAAGAAACAAAACTGTTTAGGTCAGCAAAGAGGACGTGGCCTATCATGGTTTATTCCACTTCTGCTTCTACTTGGTTATGTCTCTTTAGCATGGGGGTCTTTGCACTAGGCAAAGGTAGGCAGCTGCCAAGGACCCTCATCAGCCAACAGCCCCATGAAAATATAAACTTGTTATGCTGTATGTGTTGATGTTCTATTTTGTAGTATTTGAAATGCCTCATATATTACCATCAAAAGACAGAAATAAATTTTGTGCAATTTAGAGTGCATTATCACTCAAACAGAATCTGCTGCATTTGGACACACACACACATGCAGACCAAACATTTACAAATGTAGTACATGACTGAATCCTGCAACAATCTATCACTTCTATTTGTCATTTTACAGTTACAGAGGACAAATAGAACAGGAATAAAATGAATGAATAAAATGATGAATAATGAATGTTATTGCACAAATACAAAAGTCTTACTTAATACATAAATTATTGTAATGTTTGTGACTGTTTTTCATAGTTTGTATGGCAATGTTCACCATTTAAAAACTCTTCTGATTTACCATTAGAGAGGTTATTAAGCCAGACTTCTTTGCTGTGAAAGACAGACTGAGGAACAGAAAGCAGCTCCACCTCAGAGAAGTGTAACACAGGAAAAGTTTAAACAGCACAATGCCCAGTACATCATGCACAAGGAAAAAAAGTAATAGCACATAAAATACAATGTTCTCCATTCTGTCACACAAATATCACACTATAGACAACAAAGCACAGTGTGAATTCAGTTCTTCTCTGGTAGAAGACTCTGAAGTAAAGTTCTACTACAAAACAGTGCAGTGTTTAAAGGAAAGAGGTAACTTGAGTCTCCACTTCTCAGGTCAACATCACAGCTGAGGGTGTTACAGAATCAGCGTTGAAGAAAGGCCAGTGTAGACTCCTAATAACCAAGCAAAGAGAAAAAGACCGTCGGCCACTGAGCTTATGTTAGTGGCATAATTAGCTTGTTTGTATGGAATGTCTTGGTGAATGTTTTTGGCTTTGGCCTCAAAGTTGTTTTGAATTTTCTTGATTCACTGGTGGGCATAGTTTAAAAATGGATGAAAGATATTGTGGCTTCCCTCAGTAACAGAAGAACAGTCAGTTGATGTCACAACTTCTCCTCAAAAATGCTCTTCATTAAATGAACAAGGCAAGAAGGCCACTTGTAAAGCAGCTCACTCCAAGCCCTACTCTTTCTCTTCACCATTACTAACAGAAACCAACTTTAAATAACCGTCACAGCCGGCATAGACCAACAAATAAACACATACATATCAAAGAACAACATAATCCAACATAAAACAACAACATAAACAGTCTTATTTCACTGGGATTGCACATGTCCCATGAGACTCTTCAAACAGCCATTTGTATAACAAAGCTTATACTGTTTGGGTCAGCAAAGAGGAGGAGGCCTGTCGAGGTTTATTCCACTTCTGATTATACTTTGTTATGTTTCTCTTGTCACATGGTAATTTCTGAGCAATCCCACTTGAAAGAGCCCACAGCCCCACACTCAAACGTGTTTCTTTTCCTTTTCTAAAGATGAGTTCAGCAAGAAAGCATAACCCAGAGAATTTTTTATTGATCAGTGATGGTTCATGAAAAAATTGTAATTTTTTTTAGAATTTTTTAGGAGAAATATCTTTAGATAAAAAGGAGACATGAGATACTTTCTTTCCCAGATAAAATTATAATGGTTATTCACAGCATCAAAAGTATCAAGACTTTTAATCTTAAATTATAAATGAATGGTTGCATTAATACTGAGATTCCTGCAATTAGTTCAGTCGCAGATAAACGTGAGCATTATGATGTTGGCAAATTTCAGCAGTGTGTGAGAAACTAGAAATATCATATTAAATACGTAATTTTACAAAAAAGTAGATTTAGAAAAAAACACTTTTACTTATGTGTATTTCATAATTAATGCAGCAAGTATTTAATGCTCTACAGATTCAGTCCTGGAAGACAAAAGCATGGCAAAATTTACTGTACTGTTTGTTCTTAACATCTGATTACACTCTCTATCTATTTCTTAAGTGTTGAATTAGGGATGTTAAATGAGAAAAACATGCAGTGCTGAGGCATTTTAGGACTGGATTAGAGATCAATGAAGTAAGTTTTAGCTGCATTATGAAACTTGTTCCTTATAAATGGACAAATGCATTGAGGTAATTATATAGACATAGAAGAAAACTCTAAAATTAGAATACCGTAGCATTCACCATTAAACAAGACATAAATTCTGCTTTATTTTGCAGTTGTTGTTGGATACAGCAATGCTGCACATAAGCAGAGTATTTTTCAAAACGCTTGCTCTAAGCCTCAGCTCACACCTCACTCTCTCAGCTGTCTGCTCTTGTATGACTCCTGCTCACACATATCCCCCCAGCGGAACAAGCCTTGGCTCCACTATAAGAGTCCTTAGGAGAATAATCCTGTGTGTAAATGTTGAGGAACTAATAACCTAAACTAACTAAACTCTTCATGAGCGTACTATACCACCCCTTTACAAATCTCTTCCTGAGGAACTACAAAGTCAGGTCCCAAGGGGTCACTGCAGGCCAATGTATTTGCACCATCTGTGCAGTTTAATGCACATGGTTGAGCTGGTGTCATTGCGGGGGACTGAGAGAACACCTCCTCTGTGTTGTACCCCTGTGGTCTGATACAGCCCCTATAAAGGGCCAGCCTGTCATGGTGGAGCACCACTCTATACACAACTTTCCCTAACCTCTCCAGGTTCTGGCATGAAGTTATGCTCTTGGTCACTGTGAATGGACTGAGGAACCCCAAACCCATTAAACATCCCCTCGACCAAGGCATCAATGATGGTCTCAGCCTCCTGGTCCAGCGATGCATGATTCCAGTGGCAGGCCTCTGGTCATTTGGTGAAATAATCCATGACACCCACGTCTCACCCACTGGACAACCTGTTCTATCACCCACACCAGCTTTGGTGAAACACTCAATTACTCCCCAGCTCTGACTGCAGGACTGGTAACAACCTAACCTGAAAATTGTTTTTGTTTTACTTGAAATTCAGTTCATTTATACAGATGTAAATTAATTAGACATGTGTTGTATGAACACTTTGTTTTTATTAAACATACATGATTGTGAGTTTTATCTGTTGTTTATTTCAGAACTTCCATTGATTCTATGCACTTCATCTCCATCTGCATCATCTTAAAACCAGAGAAATACAGTGTAAAATACAGACCATTAAAAAAAAGCATTCTAAACATCGAACAAATTTTCCACTGAACATCACTATTTATGATCACGCACACACTCACTCACACACACACACACACACAGAAGAAGTTATTCTATCTCACACACACACTGAGGAGTCATCATAAATCCTAAACCCAGCACAGAGCGGTTCAGTGAATGTGGGGTTGAATGTGTGTAGGTGTGTCAGTGTGTGTGTATCAGAGACGCTGTAGAAGGACAGAGTGCCAGCCGGACAGTCCACATACACTCCTACTCTCTTACAGCTAGAGGGAGGAGTAGTGATGGCAGTTCTGTTCTTATTATGACGGACAGAGTAACTGCCATAATAGTAATACAGACTCCAGGACTTTTTATTTCCTCCAAACACACAGTCGTAACTGATTCCTTTCCTCCTGATTGTTTCGTACGTCAGAGCTATTTCAACCCAATTCCCACTCCACTCAGTCTCCCAGTAACAGCGTCCAGTCAATCTCTCTCTACACAGCACCTGTGGATAGCCATCAAATCTCTCTGGATGATCAGGATATGTTTGTGTAGACATCACACGTGTCACCTTTCTGTTCCCATTAGACAGAGAAAGATGTGTGTGTGCTGTGTTTGGGTCCAGACTGAGCTCACAGGAATCTGCACACAAGAAGAGAGATTAGAGAGAGAGACAGAGAGAGATGTGTGTGTGTGTTTTTGTGTGTGTGTGTGTGTGTCTACTTACATTTCGTCAGTCCTGGTTTGATTCTGATCTCACCTCCATGTTCCACTCTAAACACACATACACACAGTAAAATACTAAATGTCAATATATTTTTCTTGCTTTTGCTCACAAAACAAAAAAAATTATCACAACATTATTAAATACTAAGTAAGGTTACACATAATATAATTAAATGGTATTTTTTTTCAAATGTATGAGGATTCATTGGATTCATTCAGCATTGATTAATGGTTAATTGTGATTAAATTATGTTTATGATATATTTTATGCATTAAGTACTGCCCATGGGTAGAGATGTTGACTTTCCAATAATAATTTAAAAAATAATTAAAGGTGATACATTTAAATACAGCTTATTAAACACTACTATGAAGCGTTTACATGTTTTTAAAGGATATATGTTTTAAACTTTTACAAAAGGGACACCATACGAATTAAACAATGATGATTGATCTTAAGTAGCATTAAGCAGTTTATAAAGCAGTATAAAGCAGTATGCATATGTTACGTATTATTCTTTAATCGGTTATCTTGATGTAAATTCATTGAACACTTGATCTGTTTGGCCTATAACAATGTCTACAGTGTGTTGTTCTGCTTTTTATGTGGGAAAGTAAAATCAGATCATGTCACATTGAGGACACATTTTAGTGAAAAGTATAAAATAACCAAAGTAAATCCAGATACAATTCAGACATGAAACGCATATCAATGCAATGTGTATTGTTTAATCAGTTATCTTTTGATGTAAATTCATTGAACACTTGACCTGCTTGGGCTATAATGAGCTGTTTTTAAACTTATTAAAACTGTTATTTGAACATGAAGCTTTATGAGCTTGGCTCATTTTCTCTGTTTAAGATAAAAAAGGATGCTACAGTTTACTGTATGGTTGCACTACAACTTCATATCTAGTGTTAATATGCTGGATTTGTCAGAAAAACAGAAAAGATGAGGCAGATGAATAAATTCTTCATTTCAATAATTCTGATTCTGAGGAACACACACACACACACACACACAAACACATACACATGGTGAGCACAGTTGTTCATACCTGAGTGTGTTGAGTGTGCACTGTAGATCCTCCAGTCTAGCAGAGAGCAGCTTCACTCCCGACTCTTCTGGATGGTTGTAGGTCAGATCCAGTTCTTTCAGATGTGAATGGTTTGAACTCAGAGCTTTAGCCAGAGAAGAACAACCTACCTCTGTGATCATACAACCAGATAATCTACACAGAGGAGAAAGAGGAAGATAGAAAGACTGAGAAATAAAGTCAATATTAAACACAACTCAAATCTGACAGTGCCACATAACTATGTACTAACATTCAAAATTCCCATTCTGAGCTCTTTTATAGATCTCAGTTTATAAAAGCATGGAGTTTCCAAATTTTTGATTGATTGTTTTCATATTTGCAGGCCTTGTTACCCCTTCTTTTAGAATGCAATTAATGTAGGTTTTTCAGAAATTTCCTAATCTTTTTTGTTCATAAATCATGTTGCATAACATAAAAATCCTCTTCCTTTTTTTCATAACTCAGGAAAAGCTTAAAGCATAGGTATTAAACACATACAACATACAGTACCAACTCCTGGTAGAAAACCTTATCTGAATATATTAATGAAATATCATTGATATATGTCACAGTATCAGTGAGCAGCCCAGTTTTGGAAAAAAAGTGCTTTGCAGTGTTAAATTTTGTTCAGAAAAAATGATCACATTCAACAGAGTTAAGAAAACCTTTTTGTTTAAAAAAAAAAATTCATTAAGATATATAAATTTTATTTGAAATATCATTGACATATTTGAGTGGCCTTGAATCTCAAAAAAACACATGGTTTAAAATGATCACCTTTTGTTATTCTTTTGTGACTAAGCTTATAACATTATAATTATAATGAAGCAACTAAATACTTTGAAGAAATGTTGTCAAAAAGCACCTTCTGTAGCTGTATTCACAAATACAAGTTAGGACTATGCACAGTGCAAGTTGTGTGCCTAGATAAACTCCTGATTTCTCTGGGCTAGAAGCTGATCTGAAATACACTGATGCACAGTGGAAATGTGCATTGCTTTCTGAAGAGTAAACCTTTCAGATTATTTATGGAAATAATGAAAGTTGTGTTCTCCAGACCAAAGAAGAAAGAAACCATCCACATTTTCACAAGTGTAAAATTCAAAAGCCAGAGTCTGTCATGTCATGTGGAGTATTAGCAGCAACATATACTGCCTTCTAGATGCTGTCTTTTCAGAGAAGTCCGTTTTTATTTCAAAATGACAACATTAAGCCACACTGTGCATGTCTCAACTGCATGGCTGCGTAACCACAGAGTGTAGGTGATAGACAGTCCTGCCTGCAGTCCAGAACTGTCTTATTAAGTCTCATTAAGCTCAAGATATGACAAACACCATACAGTTTCATAGCTGAAAACTTGTATAGAGAGACGAAATGTCTAAAATCCTTGCAATATCTGGCTAGGAAATGTTATTTTTAAACAGCTGGAGTGTTTTCTGATGCATTTCTGGCAAAGTAGTGATCCTCAATCCATCCTTGCTCATAAAGGACTCTGAATGCTCATATTATATCTAAGCCTAACGCATCACCTGTATGAGATTTTTTTGGAAATTTCACAATGTTTGTATAAGAAGAATGGGAAAAAATGCCTTCAAACTGGATCATTTTATGTCGTCAGTCTCTAAACATAATTAAGTCATTCTGAAAATCATTTCCCTGCTACCCAGAAGGATAAGAGGCTTAGAAAATGTGTGTTTGTGTAAAATATTTTTTTTATCATATTAACAGAAACATTGAAGTTCATAAGGTAAATCATCAAATATTGTGTTTCTGTATCATTTTCAAATTAATACAGGTCTAATATTATGTGGTAATCCCTGCTTTCGGGTTTTATTTGCATTTCAAAACTGTCCCAACCTTCTTGGAATTGGGTTCGTACATATTTGTATATGAGTTTAGCATACTGGAAAAAAAATAAATAAAGAAATAAAAAAATAAAACATGAAATTTTTGCACAGGTCACATTTTTATGTCCTTCATTATATTAAATTTGGAAAATAAACAGTAATTGTGCATTAAAATACAGGATACATACTATTTTCACAAAATGTAATTAGACAAGAGGCAACCAGACTTTTGCATATGACTATGTTTATAAACACAAAAGACATTCACTTGTGGTTTGTGTTTTTGAATAAAATAGCTACATTTGTGTACATTTGAGTACATTTAGACCCATGGTTTATTTCACCATTACTTCAAAGATTAAAGCTTGGAAGAATTAAACATTTCACATCAAACCTCTCTGAATATGTCAGAAATGATTCAGACATTTTGAAGTGGAATTCCAGTGTAAATTATTTAGAAATCTAATCTTGACATTCACTGCTTTTAAACAATGAATATAAAGGTTTAACATTCCATTCAGGTATTAAATTATAAGAAAGTTATTATATTATATATTATATGATAACTTATAAGAAAGATTACCTGAGTATCTCCAGTTTACAGTTTGAACTTTTCAGTCCAGCAGAGAGGACCTCCACACCTGAATCTTGCAGGTCATTGTTACTGATGTCCAGCTCTTTCAGTGAAGAGGTTTCCAGTTTTAAAACTGATTCCAGATGATCACAAGTCTTTTTTCCAATACTGCACAAAGCTAGTCTGCAAAAGTGGTAGTACAACAGATTTTACAAGTAAAAGGAGATTTTTTAAAACAATGTTTTAAATGTCATGTTTGAATAACTCACATATTTCCACATTTCACAGATGGTCGAGTAAGAAATATAAAACAATTCTGTAGCCCCAAGATAGAAGAGGAAAAAATCTTAAGTAATTCAATAAATTTCTTGAGTTTACAGGTAATTTCCAGATTTTTACTAGGGGTAAACCGAATATCGCCCCAATCGATAGTCAGAGCTGATATTCAGCATTTTTCAGATTTTTGGAAGCAGTACTTGAGCTTGCTTCTTTGCTGATAAAAGGGCTTTGTATGTGCTATGCATGCACTTTGTATGCACATATCTGATGTAATCACAGTCAGAAAACACTTCTTTAGGCAGGTCCAATATCCCACCCACAGCGTTATTGGATTGCTTGAAATGTGGATGATGCCTGCGTACCCTGACCCATACTGCTTCTGTAGTAGTCTGAATGTGTTCAGTTTGCTTATAGTGGAGCTTCAGTGGGTGGCCAACTATGCAGACAAGAATCAAGAAAGAAGTAAATTATTTGTAAAATCCTAACTCATTGTTTTATGTTTAACAAATATGTTGTATACAATTTCTGGAGATTTTAATTTCTGTTTCCGCTCATTAAAATAACAGACAGCTGCAGTTTGCTACTTCCAAAGACTCCACTGCTCTGCTTGGGATAAACAGGCCATTTCCATAATATCATGTAACAAATTTTTAAGAGCCAATCAGAATACATCTGATACTTTCAGCGCATCCAACTACTACTGGAAATTCATTTTTGTTTCAACAACAAAATGAAATAAACATGTTAACATTCATATATCCTTATTGTTGCTTTATACAAAGCAGTGACACTACTGAATGACTTCTCAGATGGTTCTAAGAATATTTTACTAAGGTTATATTTACAGTTCTGGTTATTGTATGTTTTATAAAATTTTTGTCTTGCATCTAGGCTTTTTCACATGCACCCATATATTGAAAAGGCAAGCTCCACCTCTGCTTTTGTGCCTTTGCACCTCTGTCAGTCACTCATACTACATATTTGTTTAATGTAAAGCTTTTGTAATTACAAGATAATTAGTTTTTTTTTTTATTTAAAGTTTCTGAGACATTTTTGTGCTCCATTTTTGTTACAAAGGTCACTGACTATTGAATGTTATTCAGAACCATAAAATATTTATTTTTATCTGATTAACAATAACTTAAAAATGTTTAAAATACTATTTTTTTGACCTGTATTGTCTAATGCTTAAAGCACTTTATTTATTATAATGTTGTACTTTCCTTTAATGTAAATCATAGAAGTTGCATTCTTGTAAATTTGAACACTATAAATATCACATTTATGGTAAATAATTATTGGCCCAACATATTGGGCCAATAACATACTGTGTTCCTGATTACAGTCCTGACAAAAACGTAGCGGTTGACCCCTAATTTTTAATATTCAGAAAGCTGACCTGAGTATCTCCAGTTTACAGTGTGAACTCTTCAGTCCAGCAGAGAGCAGCTCGACTCCTGAATCCAACAGGTCATTGTTACTGAGGTCAAGTTCCTTCAGAGAGGAGTTTTCCAGTTTTAAAACTGATTTCAGATCTTCACAAATCTTCACCCCAAGATTACATGAAGCTAATCTTCAAAGAGAGAAAAAATACCCACATTTTACAATATACCCAAAAAGATCAAGAAAAATCCTGCGACACAGCATAATTACTTAGTGTAATAAGGGTTGGTTATCTGATCAGTGTGTTGTCTCCTATATCCTTAAGCACTCTATGTAAATATCAAAAGTCCTCACAATGTTAACAGTGTTATAAACCAGTTGTTCTTCTTAGCTAGTGTGGCACTTCTGCCTATTGCTGTTATTTATATATAGATTTATGTTTGTTACTGTAATGATACTTTTATGAATAATTAAATCACAAAGCTTTTATTTGACTTTTATTTTTACTTGAGTTTATTTCTAATACTAGTATCTTTACTTTACTACGTTAATTTTTATTTAACATTGCAAAGTAAAAATAAATATGTTTCAGCTTTGTAAACCAGATAGAAGAATGCCTGCTTAAATAAAAAAAAATAGTCTTGAAAGCCAATTAATACAAAGCAGCTCTCAGCGGCATAAACACTTTAGCTCTGATGTGTTCAGGGCTGTTAAGTTTAGTAGAGAAGGAAAGTAGAAAATGTTACCAGCACACATGACGAACATACTTTATCCAAACTGTCTATATTTGTTTTCAAATCAACAAACAGCAATGTTATCAGATCGCTGCATTTCACAACTAAACTTCTACACTGAAGAGCTGAGTAGCTATCCAATATAGCTGAATGGGTATTGTGTCCTTCTGTCCCTCTTTAACATACTGGCAGACTGCAGGTGATGTTAAAATGTACTTGCAGGCTTAAAAAGCAAACACACTCCCTCAACTGATCAATGAAGCTTTTATCACAGTAATCCCAATGAAGGGGAAATATCCTGAGGAGGTAGGTCGTTATGGGCTAATCTCAATTCTAAATTAGTACCAAAAACCTTGCCCAAAATGCTTGCAAATAACAATAGTTGTTTAGTGTAGAGACTGATCACTCCATCTTTAACCCAAATAGATATGCTTCAACTAACATCACGTCGCCTCAATATTATGTACTCATCCTTTATTCCTAATGATGAACTTGTGATCATCTCTCTAGATGCAGAGAAATAATCTGATCAAGTAGAGTAGTCATAAGTGTACTTTTAAATAGATTTATTTATTTATTTACATGTTTATTTCTTGGATTAAAATCAAAACGTAAATCAAAACCCATGAGACTTTGGTGGAAAGCATATGCACATTTTTAATCCATGGCTATAGCTTGATATACACACTTAATAAAATTTCATTATACATTAATGATATTATATATTTCCAAACCTTAATACTCTATCCATAGATTACCAGAGTTGATCACTCATTTGGTATTTCCTCAGGGTATAGGATAAACTGGACTAAAAGTAAAATAATTGCTATTACAGATGAGAATGTAGCAGAGCTTCAGCAATTCCAATTTAAGATAGCTTTAGAATAATCCACTTACTTAGGAAGTGTAGTTACCAAATCACCTCTCTTACTGTTTAAAGATTTTTTTCTCTCATTATAGCTAAGTTTAAAACAGATATTGAATTTTGAACTACACTACATATATCCTTAAAAAATCTATTCTGTAACTAACTGGGCACCAGTGTAAAGTCTGTAGAACTAGAAAAATGTACTCTGATCTCTTGTTTCTTGTTAAAACTTTTGCAGCAGCATTCTGAATGAGCTGTAGCTGCTTAATGGCCTTTATGGGAAGTCTAGTTAAGAGACCATTATGGTAGACCACCCTGTTGGAGACAAAAGCATGGATGAGTATCTCTAGGTTTTATTGGGACACTAAAATTTTGATTTGGGCTATATTTGTTAGGTGATAGAAGGCTGTTTTGGTGATTGCTTTTTATATGTACTGTATTAGTCATACGCCAAGATTTTAGAATTTGTTTTTTAGAGCACAGGAGTAAAGGTGTTCACTAATATTAAACCTTCTCTCTCTATTGCCAAACAGTAACCTCTGTTTTGACCTTATTTAACTGAAAATATTATTTCATTTATGGGCTCCATACACAGAGAGTCTACTGGGCTGTAATCATCTGACCTGTCTGGAAATTTTGTGTGATCTACAGCGTCAAACGCAGCACTAAGGTCTATTAATACCAAAACTAAACCATTATTCAACTGTGTATCTATTAACACTTTTATACAAGCAGTTTTAATACCGTGGTGATGTCAGATGCCTGACTGAGTTTGGTCAAAATAAATATTTAAGTAAAAAAAAAATGCTGAAGTGATTGAGAACAACTTTCTGAACAATCTCAATTCTAATCCTGTTTAAGAGGAAACATTGTCTGAAAAATTGTCTTTGCCCCAGAATAGGTTGAAATTGCCAGTATAATTCACTCCATTTATGATGGAGGTTCTGCTCAGCCACGTGGTGGGGCTCAGCAGCCAGGAAAACATAATATTTCCTGAGGACAGAAGAGGCCTGCTGATGAACTTTTTAAGCCCACACCTTCTCAACACCGCCCACACCTTCCTGACTTTTCTTGCTTCTAGTATTATGAAAAACATTGTTGTTTGTAGCAAAGCAATTTCCTGCAGGAATGTGCAACAGTTTGAGAAGCATGTAGAGTCTGCTGCAGTAAGTGAAGCCATAGTCCATTATTTTTCTACTGGTTGATGACAGTGCTGTATATGAGTCCTGCTGTTCTAATGGCTGGTATAGAAATCTGATAATAGTGTGTGGTTTTCTATAGTATATGCATTTATTTTCTGATGTGGCAGTGATATCCATATTTTTCTGTACAGCTTACCCTGTTCATAATAGTGCATAGTTTATAAACATTATACAGTAGCTCATTTGAAGGATGCATTTCATAAATTTATTTTCGGAATGGGGGGTCAGCTGTGGAGCCATTGAAAATAAAAGCAGGGAAACACTATAGTTTAGGTATATGTGAATTACATTCTTTAACAAATGTTAAAAATATTGACATGAAAATTATACTTACAGAGCTCGTCTTGTGTTTTTTACCACTGGCAGTAGTCTCCTCAGTCCTTCCTCTGATGGCTTGTATTTCTTTAGCTCAAACTTCTCTTGAGTCTCCTCTGACATCAGCAACACGAACACCAGAGCTGACCACTGTGGAGATGAGAGGTCTTGTGTTGAGGGATCTTCTGAGTTCAGGTGTTTCTGGATCTCGGTAGTCAGGGAATTGTCTTTCATTTCACTCAGGCAGTGGAAGAGATTCATTCTTCTGTCAGATGACATTTCCTCATGGAGTTTCATCTTGATGTAGTCAGCTGTGTCTCTAACATTTTCAACTTTGATCTTCAGATTTGGCAGAAGTTCAGTTAGGACTTGCTGACTGTCCTCCAGTGAGAGGCCGATAAGGAAACGGAGGAAGAGATCCAGGTGTCCATTTTCACTCTGCAAAGCTTTTTTTACTACACACTTATGAAGATCTGTTATTCTCTTATTGATCCATTTAAGCTTGTTCAAGAATGTCCCCTGTTTAAATGCATTCATTTTCTTGTTGCAGTGAGAGTGATGCACATATAAAGCTGCAAGGCTTTCCTGAACACTCAGATGCACAAAGCTAAAAACATTCCTCTCAGAAACTCCCTCCTGATGACTGAAAATCTGTGTGCACACTCCTGAGAACACAGTGCCATCACTGACATCAATGCCACATTTCCTGAGATCATCTTCATAGAAAATCAGAGTACCACTCTCAAGATTACAGAAGGCCAGTTCACCAAGCTTCAGAATGATGAGCTCAGCACCAACAGTTGTGGTTTTCTCACTGTATTTCTTTTTCATTAAGTTTTTCTGCTGTAGTAGGAAGCTTATGTACATTCCTGTCAGGGTTGTGGGGATGTCCTTATTGCTGTCTTGAGCCATCAGAGGCTGAAGTACAGTGGCAGAGATCCAGCAGAACACTGGGATTTGACACATGATGTGGAGACTTCTTGATTTCTTTATATGTGAAACAATTTTCTTTGCCATATCCTCATTAAAGTATTTGCTGAAGTATGCCTCCTTTTGTTCATCATTGAATCCTCGCACTTCTGTCACCAGATTGATGTAGTCCCGGGGAATCAGATGGGCTGCTGCTGGTCGGCAAGTTATCCAGATTAGAGCAAATGGAAGCAGATTTCTGTTGGTAAGATTTGTGATCAGTGATCCCACTGAGGTCTTCTCATTGATATCTTTTACTTCCTCTCCATCCTCAAAGCAAAGAGGAAAGCGGCATTCATCCAGTCCATCAAAAATAAACAAAACTTTACCATCGTCCTCAGGAAGAGACTTCAATCCAGTTTTTGAAGAAAAAAAGCAGTCATTCAGTAGTTCAATCAAACTGAACTTCTTATCTTTCTTTAGATTCAGTTCACGGAAGGGAAGAGGAAAAATGAAGGTTATGTCCTGGTTCTCCTCTCCCTTCGCCCAGTCAAGTATGAATTTGTTGACTGACACAGTTTTGCCCACACCAGCAATTCCCATTGTCAACACTTTTCTGTTCCGTCTACCCGTACCAGGCTGGACCTTGAAAAGTTCACTGCATGTGACACAAATTTCCTCACCATCGGGTCTGTTGGAAGACATTTCCATTTGCATCACTTCATGCTCTTGAATGACTCCTCCACTTTCATTCTGAACTATAATGAGGTCAGTATAGATATTCTCCAAAAACTTTTTATGGCCTGTCTGAGAATTCCCAATTAGTATGCTTTCATATTGCACCCTGAGGGTGGACATCAAATGGGTGCAGTTCTTTTGATCTTCTGTCACAAAAGGATAAGAAACAAAGATCAAACAAAGATGATCACATAAAGAGTTTTATCAAAAACATGAGCACATAGTCAGTCTAGGTTAGTGTTTATCATCATCCCTTTAAAAGGAAATTTCAGTGATTTTTCAAATGCACAAAAACAGCTTTCTAGTAGATTGTTAATACATCACAGAGTAATACATATGCTGCCTGATGCCTGTGATATTATTTTATTCTAGTTATTAAAATGTTTTGGCTTAAAATATACAAACCCAAAAAAAAAACAAAAAAAAAACATTGGAACACTGTGACTTGTCAATAAAAACAGAAAGCAAATTTCTTGACTTGTTTTAAAAAAGTTTTACTTTATGTATTTCACTGCATTTTGTAAATTAAATGCTCATTCCAAATTGAATGCCTCCAGCACATTCCCAAAAAGTTGGGACAACATGTTTAGCACTGTATTACATCCCTTTTCTTTTAACACCACTAACACCAATCATTTGGGGACTGAAGACAAAAATAGATGGAGTTTTGAAAGCAGATTTTTTTGCCATTGTTCTGTTAACCAAGTCTTCAGCTGTGGAACAGTAAGGCTCTTTTGTTGCTGTGTTTTGCACATGTTTTCAATGGTAGACAGATTTGAACTGCAGGAAGGCCAATATAGCACCCACAGTCTCTGATTACACAGTCATGAATGTTCTTGAAAAAATTAATCTAGAAGGCAGAATATGATGCTCAGTTGCTGCAATATGACTCCTGCTCTGCATAATACACACTTAGCTTGCATTCGTAGATGAAACGATGGACATTGTTAATTGACAACAGTTTGTGAAAGTATTCCCAAAAGCACATCGTAATATCCATCACAAAAACATACCAATTTTTAACTCAGTGCTGTCTGACAGGTTGAAGATCATGAGCATTTAGTTTTGGTTTTTGGCCTTGTCCAGATTCTGTAGGTTGACAAGCCTAAAAATCCTTGAAATTGCATGCTGAGGTTTGTTATTTTTAAACTTTTTCGAATTTTTACTGATGTATTGTTGGCTAAGTGGTGAGCCTTATTTAACCAATCCTTGCTCATAAAGGACTATGACTTTTTTACATGCTTGTGTTATAGTTTTTCTTATTTGTTTAAAGACATTTTCCCAAAATCATGTTTGAAACATCATAACTTGCCCAAAACTCAGTATTCCACTTCAATCAATGAATACAATGTCATCAGTATAAAATTGCCTTTTATGATTGATTGAACTATGACTTTAAAAATGCTAAAAACAATACTTATGCATCTGTATGACAGTGCATTCTGAAAGTTTTTCTTTACCTTGTTTCTCATTGATGCACTGTACAGTAGGTCGAATTTTCTCTGTAGCCAACCAGTTATAGTGGCATCATTGTGAAATCTAATGCTGCACAACACTGTGAGATATCGTGATACACAAAGTGGGATTTTTTTATTAATGAGTTGTCTCCTACATGGTTTTGCTATGATATCTTCATAAGAAGTATTTACTGCAGTTATGAGGTCAAATACATTACATTCATATCATATACATTCCATCTCAGTGGTGAAAATATCTCAGAAGTTGGATTGAGAAATGAGCAGAAGAATTGTAATCACAAAATTTCCCTGAATCTTGTCCACCTCCCTCTCATTCGCAGGAACAAGACATTGCGTGTTGTATGATTCAATGGTGGGATACAGATAATTACACAATTCTTACAGATTCACAAATAATTGTTACCTGTATTCCCACATATGTATGCATCATTTTGATTGTTACGACTTCATGTATGTTGTATTTTTATGTATTTTGTATTTTTTTATTATTTTCGTTATTGTTTATAACATGATATAGTATCTTACATTTTGTAAATATTTGTTTTGTATTTTATATTCTAAGCTATTTTGGAACAGAACTTTAAAAGTTACTCAATGTATGTGTTTGACAGTTTATGACCGTTGACTGCATAATTTCACTTGTAAGGATCTACACAATTAGCATATAGATTAATGCATGTGAGAGTAATAAAGATCAACAAAAAAGCTATTTAATCTATAAACTCTGCTTACTTAGTACACCAGGTTTTTTTCTTCTGTTTCTCATGGAAGCAGTTACCTGCTACACAGTAGGTCAAGTTTTCTCTGTAGCCAATTTATTAATATAGTATTACTGTTAAATCTAGAACTACACAAATATCACATCTCTGCAGTGTGTACCATTATTTTACAGTAATGTAAATTAATATAAACATAGCAAAAACATTATGAAACACAATGCAAAATAAGAACTGTAAAACGGTAAAATGAATGGACCAGTTGAATACCACAATTAATTGAAAAATAAAAAAAACTACTGATATGGAAAATTTGACATACTGACATTCTAAAAAAGAAGGTTTTCATTTTAGGTTTTTCCTAAAGCAATTGAGAATACAGAGTCACAGAAGTTTTATGTATTCTGAATAGTTTATTATTATTATTATTATTATTATTATTATTATGTAACGTTTCAGCCCTATTGATTGTACAATATACATGCAACATATAGAGATTAGGTTGAAGAACACTGGAATATTTCTTAAATAGCTTAATATAATCTAGATTTTAAGACCTTCATAATCGCAAAGTTGAATTTTATGTTTTTATATTTAAGAAATATAAATATACAGTATATTTATATTTAAGAATAGGTAAAAGTAATGATGTGTTTGGTTTACCTGCAGTGGTAATACAAACTGAATCTCCATATGTAGTTGCAGTGGAGGACGGCGTTGGGCTCTTTCCAGTTTCCTCTGAGAAAAAAGACAAATGAACAGCAATAAATTATGAAGAAACTAAAATCCAAACTTTATGGTGAGTTTACACTAAATGATTTCTATTACAATAATGCTGTCTCAGATAAAAACTGCAATTGAATTGTTTGGCCATTAAAATCAGCAACCTTTGAACTCTGAAAGTGTGTGTTTGCAACCACAGCACATCCTACAATAATTTTCTGTCAAATTCAGAAATGTTGGTCCAAAATCTTGCAAACATCTAAGAAGCAACCAATATGGAGCAGCATGGAATGATGTGTGTATCTGCGTGTAGAGAGAGAGGGAGCATGAAGATAAACTGTAAAGATAAAAACTGTATACCTTAAAACAATTGCTCACAACTTAGCTTACATACTCTAGATTGGCCCAGTGTTAGTTCGAATTAAAGAGTGACCAACCTTAAAATGGCAGAGATAACAGACAGAAAAACTTGATTACTAACCTTAACCTCTTTTTGCAGAATAGATATTACCCTCTTTCTTTCACTCTGCTGTTTAACATGTGTTTTTTTTTTTTTCAGGCAAAGCATAATGCTGAGTTTTGTTTTTTTGTGGGGTCCTACTTTTTCATTTTCATTTTCACTTGTTTGCTTTCACACACAAGAATTCCACCCATCAGCCCTACAATTACATGTGTCACTTTTTTGCATGACGATTTGGACAATGGTAGGGACTAGTTTCATTCCTGTGATGCTTTTTATTATTTTCCTTGGATACAAACGCTGACAAAGCAAAGAACAGTGCTTTTTTCTTCCACTGTCCACAACAATACTTTCCTCATTATGAAACTTTAAAAGGGAAGTAACACGATAAATCAAACTAGTCAGGTTACAAAATGAACTAATCACAAAGCCCCACTGGGAGCGAATGCATTTACGGCATTTGGCAGACGCTCTTATCCAGAGCAATTTACACCTTTGATCATCTTACATAGGTAGGCGAAAGTAGTGTTAGAAGTCTTGCCCAAGGACTCCTATTGGTATAGTGTAGGGTGCTTGCCCAGGCAGGGGATTGAATCTCAGTCTACAGCATAGAAGGCAGAGGTGTTACCTGCTACACTACTCCAACCACACGTAGCTTCCTCATGTGCAGAGGACCACACTTGAGCTTGCTGAATGCAAACCTCTGCCAGACCAGTTAATCTTAGTTATTATATTAGTTAATCTGCCCATGATCTGTGTAAATTTGCTTTATCTGATGTTAAATACTGGAAGAGCAAACTATTTCTTCTTGTTCAGTACTTTTGAAGCATAGTACATTATAAGTTATAGATAATTATGCAGTTACCCTTATGATTAGAATCAGCTCCAAAGATAAAATTAACTGGGCCATGAAACTCATTTCCTTGTAGAACAGATGCATTGACAGTTCCTCCACTCTGAGCTGAGATGGTCTGGGCTAGTTCAGTCTGAGCTGTGATTTTTTGGACTGGGTCACCTTGTGCTGCAGTGGTCTGTAGAAAGTGGGCTGGGTCAGTCTGACCTGTGTTCAGATGAAAGCAAAAGAGTGTTAAGTAGAAATCAAGTTAAAAAGATATAAATTCTAACTGCCTTGATGAAGTGCTAGTGACCATGTTTTATTTGAGTTGCATGTTTAGAGATTGTAAATCTTATACAGCTAGGTTCTGGGTCCAAGCTTATTGTTAATCACCCCTGATAAACAGCACAAACTTTGACAAGCAATTGTTTGTTTGTGATGTTTATTTTGAAATGCGACAAAATATATTTATTCATCATGTTAGTTAAAGTTCAAATGAGTTCACAAAAGAAAGAATATCAAATACAATGATTATCTGAAGTAAATCTAATTGAATGCAAAGTTTGGGCCCCACTGGTCAAATAACATGTTTTCTTGATTTTCGAAAAAACACAGTGAACAAATATGTATACTTATTTTGATTTAGAATCTCAACAAAACAGACCAGCGTTGCCCATGTTTTTGCATAGAACTGTACAAAAACTGTAGAAATTATATAAATGTATAGGTAGGCTTTTGCAGGCTAGAAAATGTGCATATGAGCAAGCACATGGAACAAATGTAAGGTGGTATAGAGGGGACAACAAAAAGTACTGATTATTTGGCCATTTTAATGAATTTTGAGCTGAAACAGTGATTAAGAATCTATTTTACCTTCTGTGATGCTCCTCCTCAGTGGCTGGGAAACTTGGTTCTGGTTCATCTTCTCTTTCAAAAAACTGAACTCCTAAATGATGTTCCTTCCTATGTCCCTGTCTATTTGTTAAACTCACTCATCTGTATTAGGGAAAGAGTATAGGTTTGAGAATTACATTATGTAACCATGAAGATGCAGAACAGTCAGTATAGTAGATTTTCAAAATGTCTCATATATTGTCATCAAAAGACAGAAATAAATTATGTGCAATTTGGAGTGCATTGTCACTGCTGCACTTGAATACACATACACACACCAAAAGTTAACATATGTACTACATGACTGAATCCTGCAACAATTTAACACTTTTGTCACTGTTTGTCATCTTACAGTTACATAAGAAATGGAACATAGATTTTTACGTCAGACTGAAAGCATATTTCATACTGAAAATAAAAGTCATAATAATATAATACAATTACAAAAGTCTTACCTAATATACATATCATTTTAATGTCAGTGTCCACTTTTTTCATAGTCTTCAAAGCAATGCTCAATATTTATAAACTCTTCTGAGTTTTCATAAAAGAGGTTATAGAAACTTCAGTGACAGCCAGAGAAAAAGGAACAGGAACAGACTAAGAGGAAACAGGTCAGCCACAGAACACAGGAAAAGGTACAGCACAACCTCACAACGTCATTCGCAAGTAAATAATGTAGTAACAGGCAAAATACAATGTTCTTAATTATATCACAAAAATACCACACTATACACAACAAAGTACAGTGTTAATTCACTTCAGCTCTGGTAGAAGACTTTGAAGAGCCTCCACTTTTCAGGCCAACATCATAGCATAGAGTGTTACAGTCTCAGCTTTAAAGAAAGGAAGGCGAAGACCCCTGATGACCAAGCACAGAGAAAAATACTGACTGCCACTGTGCATATTTTACAGCGGCACAGATAACTTGTTTATATGGAATGTCTTGGTAAATGAGCTTTGTCCCCATGCACTGAAAAAAAAATTTGCTTTGAATTTTCTTGATTCACTGGAGTACACAGTTTAAAAATGGATGAAAGAGACCACACCAAATCAATTACTGTTGTTGTTTTGCCAATTATGTTTATGTAAGGCTGAAAAACAATATTAGATGGCCCTCAGTTGGCACTGCATTAAAAACAGACACTTGGAAATCACTGCATGGGCTCAGAAACACTTCTGAAAACCACTGTCTGTGAACATGCATAAATGAAAACATATACAAACAGGATCTAGAAATGGCGCTATTTTCTCTGGGCCAAGCACCTTTAAGATTGACTGAGGCGAAGTAGAAAAGTGTTCTGTGGTCAGACAAAGCAAGGTAAGAAATTCTTTTTGGAAATCATGGACGCCGTGTCCTCTGGGCTAAAAAGGAGAGGGACCATCCAGCTTGTTATCAGTCCGTATCCTCTGGGCTAAAAAGGAGAGGGACCATCCAGCTTGTTATCAGTGCATAGTTCAAAAGCCAGCATCCATGATGTTATAGGAGTGCATTGACGCACATGGCAGGGGTGACTTATACATCTGTGTAGGCACCATTAACGCTGAACAATATATACAAGCTTTGGAGCAACATATGTTGCCATCCAGATGATGTCTTTTTCAGGAAAGACCTTGCTTATTTCAGCAAGAAAATACCTAACCGCATTCTGCACATATTACAACAGCATGGCTCCATGATATAGAAGTCCGTGTGCCTAACTTGCCTGCCTGCAGTCCAGACCTGTCACTTATTAAAAACATTTGGCAAAACATACAACAATGTAGACTCCAAACTGTTGACCAGCTGAAATCCTATATTAAACAAGGATGGGGAAATATTTCCCTTTCAAAACTACAGCAATTAATCTCCTCAGTTCTCCTCTTTTAACAACTTACAAAGAGTTGTTAAAACAAGAGGTGATGCATTTGTATTATGTTCAATTAAATATAGAGTTCAAGTGATTTGCATATCATTGCATTTTGTTTTTATTTACATTTGGCAGAGGGTCTATTATATACCGATTATTCCAGAATGATAAGACTATTTGTAAAATGTTAACATCTGTACAGTTGTGCAAATAAGCATTATATAACAGAGAAGCTACTGTCATTAACTAGTTAGTGTAGTTACTGTAGTTAACAAGAAAATCTGTTTGATTCAGGTCAGTTTAAGGTTTGAGGTGTCCACTGTGGTTAATAAGCACTACAGCTCTGGGGAAAAATGCCTCAAGGTCCAGTGCAGAGTCCAAAGGCATGCAAGTCTGAGAAAAGAGGTGGAAATTGTGTGCACTGCAAGATGAAAACAATGTTTATGTGCAGATCTTACAGTGTTCCACATAGTTGTGGACTAGTTTTGCATCACAGAGTAGCACAAACAGAAGAGCTCTTAGGCACACAGTTTGTACATGTTTGTAAATTGTTTCTGTGTTTGCTTTGTTCTATTTTTGCCTCCTAAAATCCACCCCACTGTACATGTCTTCAGAGGTGGTAACAGCACATGGCAGGCACATTTCCAATTGTTCTGGATAACAGGCCTCTGGAACAGACCTGTTTATATCATTTACGATCTGTTGCCTCTAGAACACTTTAAAGTCCAATATTTTAATATTTTTGGATAGACTAATTTCCTTGAAAAACATTAAAATTACTCTAAAATTGACTTAGACTTAAGGAAATGTAGACCATGAATGATATTTCAACCCATCATCTGTAAACACAACTCCCAAAAGTAACAGCCATTTTTTTTTTACATTTTCTTCTAAATTTGATGTTCTCAAATGGAAGTTAAATGATGAAAATAAAACCCTGGAGGAATAAATGTCTACTTGCCAAGAGTCTACTTCCAGTTAAGCGCTGAATGATAATTGTTCTGTATGTACAACTAAAGATAACTAGTGTTATAGTGTAGCAGAAAATCATGGATCTTCAACTTGGATCTTCATTAAGAGGTTTAAAAAGCATTTAGAGACCCCCCCCCCACCTTTTCTGCACTCTGTTAAAGAGTTTTTTCTCATCACTTTTGAGGTGTAATGGCAGAGAGATGTGAACCGTCTGCCAAATGGCAGAGAGATGTCAGCTGTCTGCCAAAAAATAAAGAAGTGATCCATTACAAGTTCCTAATTACTTCTTTAAAACTGTCCACCGATCAACTTTCTACCTTGCCTGATTATTAATTTCTGACACCTGACGTATGGACTATATGTGTTTGTTTGCACCAGTTGTACCTTTGCAAAATATTGCTTCAGTTCCTGTGCACTACCGAGCCTTTGTTTCTGTGTATTGACTTTCTGGTTTGTGTTTCTGCTTGTCTTTTGTTTACGACTTTAGCCTTATCCCTTTGGACGCTGCTCTCATGTGTACTGACCGTCAGCCTGATTACATTCCGAATCAATCCCAAATTGTCCAGCATAACCCCAGATCTGGCCAAAATCTTTTGATGACACAGGGCCTGGCTTGGCCGATTCCAGTAAATGTAATTATTTATTGGTCAGCTTTACTTAAGCAAAATGATTTGCATTTATTTTATAATGATACATGAAATATATGATAATTCATACTATAATTAAAAACATAAGTACATGTAAAATATTTTCCTTCATTTCCAAATACTTTTTGTGTATGTTTAAGATCAGATGCAGCCTACAATTCATATTCATTCAGACAAAGCATAACAGAACAGTACCACATACAGTAAGTGAACACAGCTAAACAGGCAATCGTCTACCACAGTTTATATAATGTGCATTATATATTAATCTAATATGTAATATATGTTTAGAAACAATTGTTTTACCTAACAAGAATATACAGAACTTGATTATAAGTCCTGTAACGACTAAAGAAGCACAAGAGGATGGTTAACAAACTACAGCAACAGATGAGCTCTTGGCTCTAACTTTACCTCTACAAGAAATAACAGCTTAACTGCTGAGAGATCCTTGTACCCACACATCCCACACACTACCAGTACCATGTCAATATTGCTGCAGGCCTGAGAAGGAACCACCTCCTAGAAAATACCTACTCTGTGGTCTTGTGCCAAAGGGGTAAACAAATTAAAAACTCCTGCAGCACTTCCGTGTCTGATCCACTCAGACCTGCGCAACACACACTAACACACCACCACCACATCAGTGTTACTGCAGTGCTGAGAATGATCCACCACTCAAATAGTACCTGCTCCTATATAGTAGGTAGAGCTGATAAAACAGAAATGAGCATAGAAACAAGGTCATAATGTTATGCCTGATCGGTGTAAATATTTTAATGTTTTAAATCACAATTTCCAGTGTCAGAGCTTGTCTCATTAATATTTTTAAAAGTATAACTGACTGAGTGTTTTTGCAGAAATATCGTATTATTAGTTGTTATTATTATCACTATGTTTCATTACTTTCTTCCCTCCTCCCAATTGTATTTTGTTGTGATGTCAATTTTGTACTGGGCACCACTGACAATGAGGACTTAGGTCTTAGCGAGTCTTCTCTTTAAATAAATAAATAAAATGCCAAAGCTATGATATAAATGTAAGTGTTTATGATGGCAATTAATGGATTATGCATGTAGCATGCAAGCCCCATATTTTGCTTTTTATTTAGATTACTCATAACATTGTTAGCTAAACAATAGGTGGTGAGTTGAGGCTAAAAGCTCTGTGCTTGGCTATGTTACTGATCAAATGAGAATTTAATGCTAGTTATTTGAAGGTGTTTTTCATTGCCTACTGATTGCATGAAACAATTAACATGGGAAAGCTCATTGTTAACTGGCTTATTAGTAGCATTGCATCATGTAATACAATTCAGAAAATAGCAGGTAGTTTAGACTACATTATTTCTTGTTATCAGTATTACGTCTACTGAAAAACGTGGTTCAGCTCTTCCCTTTAGCTATGTCTTAAGAGAGACAATCTTTTGTCATGTTTTTGACATGATTTTTTCATTAATCAGTGAGGGCCAAGAAGAAAGAGTGAAAAGAGGACAAGCAGACAAAACAGAAAGGACGTAGGACGACATTATTAGTGGGAGAGAAAGAAAGGTAAATGTAAATATTACGTTTGCTGTTACCACTGCAAATGAAGCACGGTTTCTGCTTGAGATTTTACACACGTAAAAAGGAAGAAAAACTACTGCAATGATTTTTATCAAAATCTTATGATTGGTTTTACCTTTCTCTGGCCTTGTCTTCATTCTTCAGAAAATCTGAAATAGCCATCTTCATCAAGATTCCCAGTGTTTGTTTACAGAGCTACACAATAAAAACATTGCAAAAATGCGTAATTTGTAAAAAAGTCACAGGTGTCATTTTAGGCAGATGAATCAGATGCTTGCTGAAGTAAAAATAGTGAGCTTTATTTACAATTGGACAAACAAAGGAACTAGTCAGTAATCCAGGCCAGGTCAAAACTGAGAGAGCAATGAACAGGTACATAAGGAAACCGAGATCAGAGTCCATAAACATCAAGGGTTGAAAGCAAGAGAAGCAAACAAAAAAAAAACAGAAGTCCAAAGGAAAATCCAAGAGAGTAAATGAAGGTAAAATATGGTCAACCACACAGGAGGCAAAAACTGAAAGACCACTCAGAAGTCAATGAAAAAGACAATGAAATTGGTAATATTTCACATTGAGAGACAGAAATAAACAGGTATATATACAAACAGGTGAGTGTGATTAGAACTCAGGGGAGGAGGATCTGTGTAACTGTTCATGATTGGTAGATGATGGTCTTGTGATGGTGATATCAGAACTAGGTGAATCATGGGAATTGGAGTTCACAGGTGTATGGCAAACTTCAGGGGAACTGGGTAGTGTGACAACAGAGTAGGATCACTAGAATGTTTGCTCTTACAATACAGACGTTAGACCATTTACTTACTCTCTCTGTGTCATCTCTGGCGTTCAGACTGAATAATAATCTGGCTTAGTTTTCTTTCTCTAAATTTAGCCAGAAAACAAAAAGTAAGCACACATTTCATTATATCAAAATCAGAGAGGTACATTTGAAATATTTGCCAAGTATTTGTGCTCACGTGTGCTTGTTTACTTTTGTTTAGTTGAAATAATGCAAATAATTATAGGAGCTAAATAATTGTCATGTTGTCTAACATGTAAAAAATCATCTTTTTGTATAAATTAATCTCTGAGATTTTTAAAAGTAGACACACATGTATACACTTGTAAATGAATATAAAGGATCAAATATTTTAAGTAGGCAAACAATCAATAAAATTTAAATATTCAAAAGCCATAAAATTATCTGAGTGACAGTGTGGGTTCAGATTTCCTTTTGCAGCAGGGATGAGGTACGAGGAATAGTAGTTGCTGTGCTGTGGTGCACAAAGCAGCACACCATGAGGACCAGGGGCAAGTGTTGTCCCAGTCATTCTGGTGTGTGGATGTCAAGATAGCTAGCTGCTCTGCTAGAATACAGTTAAACCTTTTCACCAACCCATCACTAGGGGTGGAGAGAGGTGGTGAGAGTGTTCAGCTCACACATGGTGGAGGATGCTCTGGGTTTGAAGTTATGCTCTTGGTCACTATGAATTAAACATCCACTCGATCAAGGCATCGATGATGGTCTCAACCTCCTGGTCCAGTGACGCATGGATCCAGTGGCAGGCCTCTGGTCATTTGGTGAAATAATCTATGACACCCACATCTCACCCACTGGACAACCTGCAGATCAGTTCTATCACCCACACCAGCTTTGTTGAAACACCACAACAAAGCTCTGACTGCAGGACTGGTAACAACTTAACCCCAGCTCTGACTGCAGGACTGATAACAACCTAACCTGAAAACTGTTTTTGTTTTACTTGAAATTCAGTTTAGTTAATTTATACAGATGTAAATTAATTAGACGTGTTGTATGAACACTTTGTTTTTATTAAACATAGACATAGTTTTATCTGTTGCTTATTTCAGAACTTCCATCAATTGTATGCACTTCATCTCCATCTGCATCATCGTAAAACCAGAGAAATACAGTGTAAAATACAAACCATTAAAAAAGCATTCTACACCTTGAACAAGGAGATGAGATGGCAGTTCTGTTCTGTTCTGTTATGTGACGGAAAGAGTAACTGCCATGATAGTAGTACAGACTCCAGGACTTTTTATTTCCTCCAAACACACAGTCGTAACTGATTCCTCCTGATTGTTTCGTACGTCAGAGCTATTTCAACCCAAGTCCCACTCCACTCAGTCTCCCAGTAACAGCGTCCAGTCAATCTCTCTCAACACAGCACCTGTGGATAGCCATCAAATCTGTCTGGATGATCAGGATATGGTTGTGTAGACATCACATGTGTCACGTTTCTGTTCCCATTAGACAGAGAGAGATGTGTATGTGCTGTGTTTGGGTCCAGACTGAGCTCACAGGAATCTGCACACAAGAAGAGAAATTAGAGTGTGTGTGTGTGTGTGTGTGTGTGTGTGAGAGAGAGAGAGAGTGTGTGTGTTTGTGTGTGAGTGTGAGTGAGTGTGTGTGTGTGTGTGTGAGAGAGAGAGAGAGAGAGAGAGAGAGTGTGTGTGTGTGTGTGTGTGTGTGTGTGTGTGTGTGTGTGTGTGTGTGTATGTACTTACATTTCTTCAATCCTGGTTTGATTCTGATCTCACCTCCATGTTCCACTCTAAACACACATGAATATACTGAATGTCAATGTATTTTTCTTGTTTTTCCTCAGAAAACTAAACAAAACAAAAAAAAATACCACAAAATTATTAAATATTAAGGTTACATCTAATATAATTAAAAAGTAATATTTTCAAATATATGAGGATTCATGGATTCATTCAGCATTGATTAATGGTTAATTGTGATTAAATAATGTTTATGATATATTTTATGCATTAAGTATTGCTCATGGTAGACATGTTGACTTTCCAATAATAATTTTAAAAATAATTAAAGGTGATTCATTTAAATATAGCTTATTAAACACTACTATGAAGCATGTACATGTTATTTAAAGGATACTTGTTTTAAACTTTTACAAAAGGGACACCATAAGAATTAAACAATGTTAATTAATCTTAAGTAACATTAAGTAGTTTATAAAGTAGTTTCATGCATTTGTTACATATTACTCAGGAACTATTTTTAATTTACAATAAGGTCTGTGTAGCACATTAATTAGTGGTTAACCGTCATTAAATAATGTTTACTCTGTGTTCTTGCACACTTATAAAGCATTACAAAAGGTGGATGTTTTCATCTTTACAATGAGGTAACACGAAGTAATACTTATTAAATACTATTATGAGTTTTTAAGAATGAAAGAAATAACGTTTTCAATTAAAATATCTACATTCTTAAACATAATACAATAGTAAATGTTCATATTTTCTCATATTTCTATCATTCGAATGATAAGCTGAGGCATTATGTAATCATTTGGTATCGATTCCTCCTGTTTTAAGTAATGTTAATTAATGTATGCTTATTGTAAAGCGTTACCCTTTCTCTCTCTCTCTCTCTCTCTCTCTCTCTCTCTCTCTCTATATGTTTACACTTTGCCTCAACATGTGTTTTTAGTGGTCAGATCATTTTAATATCTTCCTGACGAACAGTAAAAGGTAGCTACTTCGGGGCCCATCAAACAGCTGCATTCAGTGGTCTGTAACTTGGTGATCTGTATCTGGTTTTGGAGATCAGATCACATTCAGATTCAAAGTAGGTGTGAACACACTCTGGATGCACTATGATCAGATTACATTTAGATCAATCAAACCACATTCAAGGTTGTCAGGCACAGCATTCACTACGTTCTACGCCAGTATAAATCTAATGTGTTTTCTGTATTTACATACAGTTATGTCAGATGGAGGATACACAAGGCTGGAGTTCACAAAAAAATAGCCTTCTTGCTGCCTGAAAGCATCCAAACCAAGCGTTTCAAATAGTTTCATAAACCGGGTCATAAACCATGACTACAGTGTGTTGTTCTGCTTTTTATGTGGGAAAGTAAAATCAGATCTGGTCACACTGAGGATGCATTTTAGTGAAAAGTGTAAGTATAAAAGAGCCAAAGTAAATCCAGAAACAATTCAGACATGAAACACATATCAGTGCAAGATGTATTCTTTAATCAGTTATCTTTTGATGTAAATTCATTGAATACTTGATCTGTTTGGCCTATAACCATGTCTACAGTGTGTTGTTCTGCTTTTAATGTGGGAAAGTAAAATCGGATCTTGTCACACTAAGAATGCATTTTAGTGAAAAGTGTAAGTATAAAATAACCAAAGTAAATCCAGATACTTGCTCATCCATGTCTTTATGGACCTTACTTTGTGCACTGGTGTGCAGTCATGTCGGAACAGGAAGGGGCCGTCTCCAAACTGTTCCCACACAGTAGTGAGCATGAAATTGTCCAAAATAGCTTAGTCTTCTGAAGCATTAAGAGTTCCTCTCACTGGAACTAAGGTGCCGAGCCCAACTCCTGAAAAACAACCCCACACCATAATCCCCCATCCACCAAACTTTACACTTGTCAGACAAGTACCGTTCTCCTAGCAACCGCCAAACCCAGTCTTGTCCATCAGATTGCCAGATGGAGAAGTGTGATTGGTCACTCCAGAGAACACGTCTCCACCGAGTCCAGTGGCGGCGCTTTACACCACTGCATTGGCCGCTTTGAGTGCACTTGGTGATGTAAGACTTGGATGCAGCTGCTCGGCCATGGAAACCCATTCCATGAAGCTCTCTATGCTGTTCTTGAGCTAATCTGAAGGCCACATGAAGTTTGGAGGTCTGTAGTGATTGACTCTGCAGAAAGTTGGTGACCTCTGCACACTATGCATATCAGCATCCACTGACACCGCTCTGTAATTTTACGTGGCCTACCACTTGTGGCTGAGTTGCTGTCGTTCCCAATCACTTCCATTTTGTTATAATACCACTGACAGTTGACTGTGGAATATTTAGAGGCGAGGAAATTTCACGACTCGACTTGTTGCACAGGTGGCATCCTATCACTGTACCACGCTGGAATTCACTGAGCTCCTGAGAGCGACCCATTCTTTCACAAATGTTTGTAGAAGTAGTCTGCATGCCTACGTGCTTGGTTGTATACATCTGTGGCCATGGAAGTGATTGGAACACCTGAATTCAATGATTTGGATGGAGGTTAGTGAATACTTTTGGAAATATAGCGTAGGTATGTATTTCTATGTTCTCGCTGCACTGTGCTCTCGGAACTGTCGCTGTCAATCGCTCCCCAACAGTTGCTGCTTCACACTCTCCTGGGTCCCCTTTTAAAATAAAAGTTCCACCTTCATTGCATCTCTCTCTCTACTGATTCGTCCATCATTAATGCAAGGTTCGATTTGGTTGGCTAATCATTTAGTTGGGAGTGAATGAGTCATACAATACACCTAACACAAATCACACTCAAATTACATGTAAAGCACCCTGCACAGCAATCCACCACAAAATGAAACTACAAAACATCCAAGTTCAAACACAAATCACAGCAAAAAAAGAAAAGGAAAAAAACCCAACCCTGTGTTCACTCCATCAACATATCAAATTCAGTGTGATGGCATTAATCTGGCACTGGCTGACACAAAAATAAAAACAAAGCATGGAGCTCAGGTAGGAAGCACAGAGACTTCACAAGGCACAAGGCCAAATAAGGTAGTATATGAAGGAGTGGTAAACAGTCTTTAAAATGAATCACAACTATGTGTAATAATGAAGGAACCAGGGAAGAGCCTTTGTGTATATCTTTGTGTCATTTATTATATTTAAAAATATTAAATAAGAAATGTTGTTATGACCCTACATTTTGTCTAGGGTGCCATGAAATCAGTAACATGTGGCATTAAATTACTGAACTGGTGAGGATAGATTAAAAGCTTAAAGAACAGACCAATAGAGCATTTGAAGTAAATTTATTACAACCAACCACAATTAAACTGGTGTGCTATGATAACTAGTACCACACTGGAAGAGTCAAACTGTGGACAGCACCAAAGAAAACAACAAAACAAAACCAAACCACACTTGCATACTCTGAAACAAAAAGAATGCAATCTAATCTAAAAAAAGGAAACAATAACTAACTAAACCTCCCTGACCAGTATTCAAAAGTACATGTGGTGGTGCCCTCTGAGCTATGGAGTTAGACAGAGTAGACATTTCCATAGTACGAATGTGTAGGCGTGTCCTTCTTACCTGTTTGAAACCCCAGGTGGTACAAATGATCTCTTGTAAAACAAAGTTAAAAGTATTCAGGTAAAATACCAAACAAAAGCACATCCCCTAACAAGAGACAAACTCATACACTAAGTTAAAAGAAGCACTGGTAAAATACCTAAAACAAAAGCACACTCCCAACACAAGACATTAAAACTCATATTAACTCTCTTCAGCCAGCTTGAAGGCCATTTTAAATCATAGGCTCCTCCCCCAACTGCACCAGCCAGGCCTCTGATTGGTTAGAGGTCCTCCTCACATGACTGCTTGCAGAGCAGATTTTAAAATTTAGCCTGAATAATGTAGGACTATGTATAGAATATTACAATATCTCAACTGAACTGAACCTCAGCTTTAAATGTAATTGTCTTGCCTCAGTAAAATTATGTCTCCTTTAAGTTAAATTGCAGTTTATCGTCAGATACAGTGATATCTAGTGGTAGATGTGTGTTTTTTTAATTGATACAGAATTTAAGTTTAGTTTAACACTTCTAAAGATACTGCAATGAAGTCTTACAACACATGATTTATTCAGGTTTAAACTCATGCTAGAGTACAACTAAACTAATGACAGTGTCATTGCACCAAGGTGTTTCAACAATGATATTAATCAGAATCAGAATTGGAATTAAGTTTTATTGGCCAGGTATGCTTATACATACAAGGAATTTGTTTTTGGTTACATGAGCTCACAGTGCACGTTAAATGATATATTAAATGATTATTAATCAATAATAATAAGTAAAAACAGAATTTTGTAAACTGCCAAAAATGTAATGCTGTACAACCTTTATGTCTTGTTGTTCAATGAAAAATGTTTTAGTTTGAGCCTGATTTCTGAATTGTTTACCATTTTCTAAATCAACTTTTCACATCTGTTGTTGTAGTATCATGGTTAACTGGCACCAGGTGCAACTTAGTTTACATAGGTTTGATAAAAAAGTGAGAATTTAAATGTACAGGGTGAAGAATAAGAAAAAGTTAAAAGTGTTAGGTATGAAGGCAACAAGATGACAACATTTTCTGTTTCTTTTGGAGGTATTTTCTCTGTGTGACACTGATTACTCTGGCTTTAGGAAGACCAATTTAGACATGTGTCACCATCAAAACAGGTATGTTCTATATCTATCAGTAATCAAAAAGTAACAACTAATATAATTTGCATTTGAATAGTCAATACATCATTTACATGTCAACAAAAACACCAAGCACATGAATTTCATAAAAATACAAACTTACTGTGCCTCATTCATATATACTTGCTTTTATTTGATTTTACTGTCATGAAGTCCTCACTGCTTAGAACATCAAATGATGTCAGATTCTGTAGTGCTGTAATCTTATGCTCCAGTCCAAGTGATGGGGACAAGGACAGATGGGAAAAAGTATAAAATGGTGCATTTATAAAAAAGGCTTACAATCACAGCATGATTCCAGTGGTGACTCTACATTCTGTAGACTTAAATTAGCTCCCCATCCACTAGTAGTGTAGCCTACAGCACACATGGCTATTTAGTGTTTTACTCTATGCTTAAAGAAGACAGAGCCTGAACTTCATTACTGATATTTTACTTGTTGTACTGGTATAATAATTAACTTATACAAGAAATATAACCTTAGGTCAGTGATCTGCACTGAAAGTTAAAGTCAGTTTAATTATTGCATTTACATGCACTTCAGGTACTGTATATACTAAGAACTCAATTCAGTATTACAGTTACATGGGTTTAGTTTGTGTCCAACAAAATCATATTCAAGTAAAAACAATATAAAAGTGTTGCAAACTTATAAACACACTGCAAACTCAACAACTACACCTGCATGATATTTCACAAACCTGCTAATTCAGAAACACTGCAAAAAAGTCACAACACAATTGAAAAGTTTCTAAAAGACTCATCCAGAAGAAAATCATGTACAGAGCTTGATAAGACCACATATACATTTAGGTAAGTTAATGGATACTTGGCTGGCTCATTAGCTATCTGACATGTCATACATATACTGAAATTTTACATTTACACTCTACAGACATTTTCCATTAGGATACAGTGATATTATTAAGTTTTACCGGTTTAGTTACTTTTACTGGTGAATTTTATGGTGCAAGTTTAAAGGGCTCCATTTGCTTTGCATGTCCATTTCTGAGTGTTTTCTGAAAATGCTTTCTATGTTATTGTGTAACTTAGTTAGCAAGTTATAATAAGAATAAAGTTCTACACCCTGCTAAGGAAACTCATTTAAACTTCAGAGAGAGAACAAAAAGTTTAAATTATTATTTCAAGACAGAAATCTGTCCAGTAACTCTGTGTGAAAACTAAAAAAGTTTTTTTTATAAATCATTTATTGATATCATAAATTCTCCCACCACACCTCACTTTATCAGAAAGCTTTTTCAATACGTGCGGCATAATGTGTACTTCCTGAAATTGTAAGGGCCCAGCCTGCACTGCCGGCCGCCAAAAGAGTGCAATGGCAGCAAGGTGCCATAAGTTCAGGGAACTCCAATTCCCAGAAGCCCTCTGGCTGATTAGGCCAAACCTGGCACACCTGTGGACTCCTCTACTTAATGTCACATCTTTGTAGAGGGGTATGGTACGTAGCTCAGGAGGGTATTTAAACAAAAAGAAAAGAGCGCTGGAAAAAACGAGAGGAATTGTCCCAAAACTACTTAAAAACCAAAAGAAGGCTTGAGCAAAAAACAGCTCCAAGCCATACAAAAGGTTTTTGCTCCACGAAGAACAAACAGGTGAAACAAAGTCTGTCCTCCTCTCATAATCCCAGTGGAAGTAATTTTTTGTTCTCTGATTATCTTTTTTTCTTTTTAGTTCAGCCTTTGTTCGCGCATGCTGCTTTCAGCGTCTCCTTTGTTTTCCTTTATTTCCCTTTCGTGGTGTTTTTCCCATTGTCACCTAACAACAATCAGTACATCAGTGGTTCGAGCCTGGCTCTGGGTCACCTCAACTCCAATGTGCACAATCACCAAATTCACACTCCATCACCTCAATAAATTCACTTGAAACGCTTTCTCAGTGGTTTTCCCCTCTGCACTTGGGTCCACCTCCCTGCCGATAATTTTATCAATAGAAATTGGATATTAATTAATAAAGGCTTAATGGTATCTGCACACAAAAAGAAAAAAATAAGAGTATGTTAACACATACTGAGAGAGAGAGAGAGCGAGGGAGAGAAAAAAAAGAGAAAGAGAGACAGCAAGCAAAAATTGACATTTTGTAGTCTCCCCTATCAACTAGCTTCATTTTTGGGCCCTCAACCATCAGATTCAATTGGTCATTTTACCCTAGTCCTAAGCCTAACCCTGATATGAATCCTAGCCCTAATTTCAAAACTGACGAGAATTAACTGTCTTTCAACAAATAATTAGTTAATCAATTGAACATCTAGAGATAATCTATTTGGGGCTGCCCAAATACAGTGAGACCCAATAAAACATACAATACGAATAGGGACCCAAACATTTTACATAAAGCTGTATCTTTGCAAGACATTGTCTCCCTTATTAAGGAGGACTCCTTCCCCATTTTCCTTTAATTGCATGCTGATACAAATAAGTGAGATGTGTTTGTGTTTTATGAATTCACTGTTAGAGCTATCATTGGTAGATGTTTAGAAAGATCAATCAGTCCAGAGCAAAAGACAAAGCTTTATTTCCACCTTCATCTTCATTTATGGAGGATCCAAAGAGAGAAAAGTATGAGGTAATAATTCAATACAATGTGTTTAACTGAACATTTATTCATGATCAATATAGTCAAATCATACACACAGAGACACACACAGGAGGCTATTTTATTTCTTTCACACAGAATGAGGAGTCATAACATCTAAGCCCAAATCCTGCAAAGAGGGGTTCAGTGAAAGTTGTGTTGAATGTGTGTAGGTGTGTCAAAGTGTGTGTATCAGTGGAGATGCTGTAGAAGGACAGAGTGCCAGCTGGGTAGTCCACATACACTCCAACTGTCTTAGAGCTGGAGAGAGGAGCAGGGATATCAATGATGGTTTTATTGTGCTGGACAGAGTAACTGTTATTAGAGCAGTACAAACTCCAGGACTTTTCATTACGTCCAAACAAACAGTCATCACTGCGTCCTTTTCTGCTGATTGTTTTATATGTCAGAGCAATATAAACCCATCCTGCACTCCATTTAGTCTCCCAGAAACAGCGTCCAGTCACACTCTCTCTACACAACACCTGCTCCCACCAATCAAATCTCCCTGAATTATCAGGATATTCCTGCTGCTCGCTCAAACACACCACTTTTCGGTTCCCCTCACACAGAGAGAGACGCATGTGTGCTGTGTTTGGGTCCAGTGTGAGGTCACAAGAATCTGCGCAGAAAAGGCAATATTAGGAGGAAACATCAATACAGATAGAGAGAGTGAGTGAGTGAGTGAGTGAGTGAGTGAGTGCTTACATTTCTTCAGTCCTGGTTTGATTCTGATTTCACCTCCATTTTCCATTCTGAAGAACATACACACATTGTTGGTTACATATATGTATATACACCAATCAGGCATAACATTATGACCACCTCCTTGTTTCTACGCTCATTGTTCATTTTATCAGCTCTACTTACTATAGAGGTGCACTCTGTAGTTCTACAATTACAGACTGTAGTCCATCTGTTTCTCTGCATACTTTGTTAACCCCCTTTTACCCTGTTCTTCAGTGGCCAGGACTCCCATGGACCCTCACAGAGCAGGTACTATTTGGGTGGTGGATCATTCTCAGCACTGCAGTAACACTGATGTGGTGGTGGTGGTGTGTTAGTGTGTGTTGAGATGGTATGACTGTCTGATCAGAGTTAAAGTCAATAACCACATTTTCCAAATGGATTGCCCACAAAACGCTCAGTTCTAAAGGGTTAATTTGGCTTAAGACAAAGAAAGTGACATGAAGAACAAAGTACTGAACAGTTACAATGCTATAGCGTGCCGTCTTTGTGCTATGGTACATTTTAGTTATTAAACTATAGGGTACAATTATAATAATAATAATTTTTATTTATATAGCACTTTTCATGCCGGTGGCAACTCAGATTGGTATTGGTATTTTTCTAGAATCAGAAGAATGAAACAGATCAAATTAGAAGATAAATACCATAAGATGTAGAGTCTTAATTAAAAGCTGATTTAAACAGATACGTTTTAGATGCTTCTTAAAAGTGAGCACTATGCTTGACCGTCTAATAAAAGGTGGAATTGAGTTCCACAGTTTATAAGCCTAATAATTGAAATAGGTCTCTCCATGTTTTCTGTATTTTACAAAGGGTATTTGTAGAATGAGACAGGTAGCCAGTGCAATTCCTTTAACACGGGATTGATTTGATCTCTCTTTTTTGTTTTTGTTAGGATGCACACTGCCCCATTTTGTACAAATTGTAAGGGAGGTATAGTTTTCTTAGGAAGTCCAGTAAGAAGAGCATTACAGTAGTCAAGTCTGCTTGTAACAAATGCATGAACAGGTTTCTCTGCATTGCTCTGAGATAGAAAAGGCTGAACTTTAGCGATATTTCTCAAATGATAAAAAGCTACTTCAGTGACTGTGTTTATGTGCAGGATAATACAGAGCTCAGAGTCTAAGATCACACCCAGGTTTCATACTTCAGGTTTGGTATATGAAGCTAAAGAACCAAGTTTCTCAGATCATTTTTCTCTGAGTTTCTGTACCAATAATCAGTATTTGTTTTTTCAAGATTTAATTATTGAACATTTTGTGACATCCACTGAGAAATATGTGACATACAGCTGGTTTGTCTGTCTACAGAGTCTTGATCTTCAGAAGGAATAGAAATTTACAGCTGGGTGTCATCAGCATAGCTATGAAAATGTATTCTATGCTTCCTAATGACATCACCTAGAGGTAGCATGTACAAAGAAAAGCAAAGGCCCTACGACTGAACCTTTAGGGACTCCACAAGAAATGACAAATCTTTTTGATGAATGTTTTCCAAGTGAAACCATGAACTGCCTATTACTTAAATATGATTCTATACCATTCTAAAACTGTGCCCAAGAGGCTAACCCAGCATTCAAGACGTTGGATTAAAATTTTGTGGTCAACGATATCAAAGGCTGCACTAAGATCTAATAAAACCAAAATAGAAGGATTTTGTGCATCAGTGCTGAGCCTGAGGTCATTCATAATGCAAATCAATGCTGTCTCTGTACTATGGTTAGAACGAAAACCTGACAAACTTCTCATGTAAATTGTTTGATATTAGATATGCATTTTTTCTAACTTTTTATTAATGTTTTTTCAACTTTTTCTAAGACTTTAAAAGGGGTAGGTTTGAAATTGATCTAAAATTATTTAGTATGGAAGGATCCATGCTACTCTCTTTTTTTAGCAGAGGCTTCTCCAAGGCATTTTTAAAAGTGTCTGGAAAAACACCTGTAAAAACGATTTCACCATGGTGTACTGTACACTTAATATAGCCTACAACTACTGTACTACAGCATGCTGTACAGTTGCACTATTACTGCACAGTAGAGCCTACATAAACTAGGGTTAATATGCTGGGGAGCGTTGTCATAAAAATATGAATATGGAAGAAGCAGATTACAATAATTCAATTCAAGTTCAATAATAAGTTCAACAAATGAGTTCAATAATTCTGATTCTGAGACACACACCTTTAAACACAGTTGTTCATACCTAAGTGTTTCAAGTGAGCAGTGTGGATCCTCCACTCTAGCTGACAGTAGCTTCATGCCTGACTGTCCTGGGTGGTTGTAGGTCAGATCCAGTTCTTTCAGATGTGAGGCGCTTGGACTCAAAGCTGACGCCAGAGACGTACAGCCTACCTCTGTGATCATACAACCAGATAATCTATAGAGAGAGAAGAGAGAAGAAGATGATTCACTTTGTTGTCAGACAGAACTTAACAGAAAAATATTTTTTAAATGATTTCACACAACTATTTATTAACAATGAAAAATCCAAGATACATTAACACTCATTCTGAATGCTTTTACAGATCTTGCTGTTTCTGTAATTTGGAAGATGATTCACTTTGTTGTCAGACAGAACTTAACAGAAAAATATTTTTTAAATGATTTCACACAACTAATTATTAACAATGAAAAATCCAAGATACATTAACACTCATTCTGAATGCTTTTACAGATCTTGCTGTTTCTGTAATTTGGATTTAAAACCACACAAATTGTTTCTGACATTTTAGGCTTTTGACTTTTTTGCTCATCTTTTTCGTTATAGTATTATCTGTGCATTTTTTGCAACAAATCTGTTTAATGCTTCACTACAAGACAGAGCATATTTCAGGCATTCTATGTTGTATATCAAATAAAACTCACAAAATAATACTTTTTAATTTTCTTTATTTCTGTGCATGCCTTTGGTTAATACTACAATGAGTGGTTGAGGTTCACTTTGCTGGTGAATTTAACTGCAGGAAATGCTAGATTTACAAGTCAATGTAATGTCTTCTACGTCCACAAGAAACTTAAATATCAGAAGCTCACAATATTTTAAACCAGTGAATCTTAACCTTAGATTTGTGGGATGATCATCAGAAAGTAAATAGGCCTACATTTTGTTTCCATAAAATGGGATTAATATGTAGGGTTAAAATCCCTACTCCAATAAAATTTGGTTGTTGTTTTGAACTTAAACAGGGTGACTGTATGAATGAAGGCATGTGCAGTGTGTCAGCTGCAGTGTACAGTAGCAATTCTATGTATGACCATTATCCTGCTTATGATGTAGACATATTTCATAATAAATATTAAAATTTAGATTTTTGACAGCCATTGAATGGAAAGTATTGTCCATGACTAGACATTATCCCTTTCTAGGAAACCAGCCTAAAGTGTTTATGATCATAAAATGTCCTTGATACAAAATGACTAATTGCTTGTGAATGTACATTTATATGTACACTGAAATCTTCCTCAGTGCTTACACAGTAGTGGTAATAATACAATAAAGAAGAATGGCTATACAAAAATTCCAACTACAGATGACATTTTAGTCCAGGCTTGTGTAGTTTTTGACTGGGCCTTGTTCAGTCTTTCAGTCATACAATTCACAATTCTGTGTGTGTAAGAGTGTAAGATTTTAATTTCAGTAGATTAAAACTCTAACACTTATAGTATAAAATCCATTTAGTTAATATTTTACTATTTTGCACGCTTCTGCCACGTAATCTTTTACAAAACCAGCTGTGCCCTCCCAATAAAAGCCGTTCCTAAAGATGTCATCTCTGGGATTCCTAACATCCATGCATGACCTGCGAAACCACCACAACTGTCAAACCCAGATAAACAGTACTTAAAGATTTCATCTTTGAGAGAAGAGAAATTCAAAATCCACTCTTGCTTCAGACCTGAAGAAATAAATATTTCTCTCCACTCTTCCTTTTGTGAGAAGACAACTCAATACAGAAGACAACTCAGTCTGAAAGAATAAAAGAATAAAGCAAAGGAAAAAAAAGAAAAAATGCACCAGAACACTGGAACTGGACATCTGAAATGTGGAGTAAGGCTTCATTGAGCAAAGAGTCTAAATTAGGTATTGAAATTGGAATCATGAGAAGCAGAAAGTGCAAACAACATAGAAAGCATAGGAAATGCGTCTGGCTTTAAGTAAAACTGATAGCAAGTCTCCTGAAAAGAACAGAAAAAAGGGCAGACAAACCAAATACTCCAAAAAATTAAGATTAGTCCCTTCTACTTTTTGGTTTAAATTATGGTGCTTTTCTCTTGATGCAGTAAAATGGATAATTTGTACTTAATAGTAATATTGACCAGAAATGCATAATAGAGACAGAAATCAACAAAAATGTTTTGATAACATTTGCTATTTGTGTCCATTTCATTGCAATTGAATCGAAAGGAAATTATTTCTAGAAAGAAATGTGAATAGAAAATACTGAGATTAAAATTATGTTGCTTGAACTTGCGTTACAAGTTAGAGGTTTTTTTGGGGGGGGTAAGTTGTTTTGTATGTAAGGTTTTGTTCTGACAAAAACCGTAATTTTTGTAATGAATATACTGCAGCATATTTCTATATGGTATAGAATTGCCAGGTTTTTATGAAATTTAACATTCTGACCTGAGAATCTCCAGTTTACAGTGTGTACTCTTCAGTCCAGCAGAGAGCGCCTCCACTCCTATATCCTCCAGGTCATTGTTGCTGAGGTCCAGTTCTTTCAGGGAAGAGTTTTTTGTTTGTAAAACTGACAGCAGAATGTTACAGGACTGTTTGCTGAGTTTACAGTCAGCAAGTCTGCAAAAGGAGAGTAAATCCAATACATCTCACAGTATACTTAAGTAAAGGTGTTTTAATGGAATAAGAAAAAAATAATAGAAATACTGACCTGACAATCTGCAGTTTGCAGTGTGAACTCTTCATTCCAGCAGAGAGCAGTTCCATGCCTGAATCTTGCAGCTCATTTTTACTTATATCCAGTTCTTTTAGGGAGTTTTCTGTTTGTAGAGCTGCACTTAAAATGCCAATTGACTCTATAGTAAGATTACATCTCTCAAATCTATCAAAAAGGGGAAAAAGTGAGATTCTGGAATTTTGCTTGTATTTGGAATCATCTGAACAATAACATTTAACAGTGAGATAGTATGTAATACCTGATATTATTTTTTATAATCTACCTTCTACTGGACATGTTTTGTGGCACATGCCCTTGATTTCTGAAAAATGCTTTGATTAGGAGTAGAAACCAACAAGGACAGGTAAAACAATAATTAATTTTACAATATCAGGAATTGGCAAGAGAAACATACTGTATGTTAATGTAGCCTACAACAGCTTTTGGAAAACACTTTTAAAAGCTGTATTCTGATTTTAGATGGAACAGAGAATGAGATGTTTAAAGAGCTGTTTATTGCTGAATAAAAGCATTCTTGATGTATAAAGCCAGCACAAATTTTGCTTCCTGTTTATGTAATTGTTACCTGCAGTTTTAAAGTGAAATGTAGTTTACAAAATGTAGAAAGTCTTATAAATATTATTATTCAAATCTATGCAATATGTACATGTAGTATATGTATGTAAGACTAAATCTGTATGTCATCTGACTTTTTAAAATGATTAATCCTCCAGTAGACAGAAGATGCAAGACAAAAGACCAACTACTCTAACTCCTTTTCCTTTTTTTATTACCTTCTTGTACCACCTGGACTTATTTATTTCATACTATCCACCATAAGTCATGACAATAATAATAATAATAATAATAATAATAACAATAATAATAATAATTAATATTCATGAACACTCACTGAGCCTTTCTGCACTTTGTGATAGCTGGGATGAGTCTTCTGTAACCCTCTTCTGATGTCTTGTATTTTTTCAGGTCCAATTTTTCCTTCACATTCTCTGACTGAATACACATGTAGGCTATGACTGAGCATTGCTTAGGAGAAAGCTCCTTTTCTGAGTATTTATCTGCAGTTAGAGAAGGAGATAATGTAAAGCATTGAGAGACCACATCATCCAGTAATTGTAACTGTTTGCACACATCACTGCCTCTTTCTCTGAGGAGATCTTTAAGTGACAAGTGTCAGTGGGTTATTTCTATAAATAGACTTTGGACTGTGTTGTTGTTGTTGTTGTTGTTATAATAAATAGCAACATTATTCTTTTACAAGTAACTGTCAGTAAATTCAGCGCCATCTGGGATGTAAAATGACGCTGATTAAACCATCATGAGCACCAGTACCCATGTCATTTTTGTAGTGACCGTGTAATCACTGTGTCCTTTGTGCAATTTAAAAAGTTACATCAATTTACATAAGTGGATTTGCATGCATTACCTAGTTTTGGCTGCATTATAGGTATACACATTTTGTTGTGTACACACTCCACTGCATGGTGATCCCACATATCTTCCCCTGCCTTTCTATATAGCTATGACTAGGTCTGTCACAATCGTTAGATTTTAGCGATGGTTAACTGCTGTAAAAGTAATTGTGATTAACAATTTAATTGTCTTTTTTGTTCATTGTTCATTGCTAATATTAACTAACATTGCACCCCTGTGTCCTCCAAAGGTGTTGTAGCACCAGTCAGAAGTTTGGAAGTTTATTGTTCAGAAGATTCATGATGTGTCTCAAAACAAATTATGAAAATGGACCTAATTTGTCATTATTCATATATTCATTATGACACAACATTAATGTATAATTGGGAAAGTTATATTTATAACATTTTAGATTACCCTGCAGACATGCTTATTCTGTGTTCTCTACAGTAGTAGGTGAATGCAGTGCTATAAATCTAGCCTAAGGATTCTTAACTGGTTCTTAATACATTTGAATCCAAGTCTGCCATGTGCCATTTTCACTGTGTTATCTGTTTGTGAGATGTAAATTCTGTGCTCTAAGGGATGGAACTCAAGCTAGCATACATGATGTTTTACAACCCTATTTCCAAAAAAGGTGGGACACTGTGCAGAATGTAAATAAAAATAGAATGAAAATAATATGCAAATCAGGTAAACCAGGAAAATAGTAAAAATACAACAAATCAAATGTTGAAACTGAGAAATTTAATTATTTTTGAAAAATATGCCCATTTTGAATTTAATGCCAACAAGTTCTAAAAAACTTGGGACAGGACATGTTTACCACTGTGTTTCATCATCTCTTCTTTTAACATTTTTGTTTTTTCATTTTTGTTTGATATGGAATTTCAGATTCTCGACAGTTTAGCAGCTCATTTGTTGCATTTTTAATTTATATTGCACCGAATGTTTTCAGTGGTGACAGTTTTGGACTGTCAGTAAAGCACCAGGACCCCTTTACTGTGGAGCCATTCTGTTGCAATACATGCAGAATGCATTATGTTATAAAAAACTATTTCAATAAATGTGAATCAAATTGTTACAGAGAGAAATGGCTGACCAGCAAGTGGGCTAAAAACAGATGCAGTTTGTGTTGATTTAAAGACAGAAATAGATGAAAAGAAAAATGGCAAGAAAAGAACATTAATTTTAAATATCTGAAAATGGTAATTCTCATAGTCATTCTCTGTAATTATAAGGACGAATAGAGAAAAAGAGAATTAAAAAGTTCATATTCAGTTTGTGCTCAAAGATTTTTCTCTGTGCTTCTGTTTAGTTTGAATCAGGAGCACAAATGCTCATTGGCAAAAAAGCTTACCATAGATCCCTGCAGATTACATCAAATAATCTTTTGTGCACATAATCCAAATATTGAGAACATTTATTTTAGATAATTAAGGTATTTTTGATTGGAAATTGTTACAAAAAAACTTACCTTTTAATATGTAAGCTGTAAAGACAATTAATATAATGCCGAAAACTGAAATGCAGATGATGGCAATCTTCCAAGCATGAAAACCTATTTCTGAAACATAAATCAGATCAAAATTGACATCAGAAGAAACACCAATGCTCTGGAAATGTGATATATGAAGTATAATTTTAGAACCTATAAGGACTATGTACAATGTAACAAATCACAAGTAATGATAAACTGAAATTATGATAGTTCTTACCTTTAACTTCAACATAAACAGTTACATCATCATACCAGGACCTGTACTCAATGTAACATTGGTAAACTCCCTCATCAGAAGGCTGGACTGCTGAGAGTTTCAGTGAGGTGTTTCCTTTTTTAAGTTCTTCCTTAAATAGAGATGTTCTCTGTCTATAAGACTCAATCTGCTTCTCATTAATGACTTTATAACCTTTATACAGATGCACTAGTGTGTTGGTGTTAGCAGAGTGCAAATGCAGTCTTATCCACTTCACCATCATATCTTCAGCACTGATGCTGGGTTCGATAGAACAGGGCAAAACCAGATCTTCACCAGCTTCAACAACAAGAGGAGCAGTTGGGCCAACTACTTTTAAATGTACTAGAAAGAAAAAAATAAAACATGATTACCAAAAGGATGCATCCCAGGTCTCTCATTATTTTCTCAGAACGGTCATAACCAGAATCAGAATCACTTAATCATGCCAAGTATGTAACACATACAAGGAATTTATCTTGGTGAGTGCAAACAGGTATGACATGTAACATACAAAACATACTATACAGTTGTGCAAATAAGCATTGTTACAGAGGCATTACTGTAATACAGTAAGGAGGTTCTTTTGCTTTAGTTTAAGTTTAAAGGGCAAGGTATCCACTGTGGTTAATGAGTGTTACTGCTCTATGAAAAGAACTGCTGATATGTACAGTTGCGTTGGTGCTGAGAATCTTGAGTCTTCTACCAGATGGTAGATTTAATGTTCAGGATGAGAGGGGTCAGCTTTTTTTCTGGCACACTTCATCTCCTTACTGTTGTAAATGTCGTGAATTGTTGGCAGTTTTCATCTGATTATCTTTTCCACTGTCATGACTATGCACTAGAGATTAGCTTGTTCTTGTGAGGTGGAGGAACCAAGAAAGGCTAAAGAATGTCTTTTGTGCATTCATATCTGAAGCAGAACTCAGTCAGGTTGTTGGTAAGAGGTTCGGTTGATAGTCATTCAGGGACGGGGAGATTTTCTTATAGAAAGAATTCTCCTTATAGAGAATTCTGTATGCTCCTTTTCCATCCAAAGCCATCTGAGTTCAGCTGAACACCAGAGTTTATCATTTCTGTGTTTCACCCGTGCTGTAGTTGAAATGCAGCCATCCTCATAGAAACTGATGTATGACATCACAGTGTCTGTTTATTCATTTAGGCTCTCTGTCACTTTTTCAAAAACAGTCCAGTTTGTGGATTCAAAGCAGACCTGTAGCTTTTCAATGTCTCCACTGGTCCACCCCTTCACTGCAGTGTTAAAGTCTCCCATAATAATGAGCAATGAGTCTGGATTCCCTCTTTCTACTTTTATTATCAGCAAACAGTTTCTGCACATCACATGTACCGTGACCTCTTTACACCAGCGTTCTTTGACAAAGACATTTTTTGGTTTTTACCTGTCAGCTCTGCCTATTTGTCCATTCTGTGTAGCTAAAAGCCAGGAAGATGTGGTGCATTGTCTGGGGTCAGCTCAGAAAGCCAGGTCTCCCTAAGGCACATCAGGGCACATGCGTTTAAAAATTCCTTGTTGGTTTTATTTAGCAGAAGTAGTTCATCCAATTTGTTTTGTAGAGATTGCAGAATACAGAGGAATAAAGCTAAAGGAGGAATAAATATAAAGTGCACAAAATCCACTCTGTCTCAGCTTTGTGAGTGCACACGCAAGTCTGCCACTCCGTCTCCTCCTGGCTAGGTAAAGCAGAGCTAGCACACTGTTCAGTAACTGTTCCCTACTGCAGCTAACTGAGTTTGATGTACAGTAGAGGTCATTAACAAACTCAAATCCCACTGTGGCTGCCATACGCAGCACCATCTTGGATTTACCAGCTCAAAGTGTGTAGCAATTTACAGTGCTATTGTGGTGTTTTGTTTTTGTTCTGTTTGCTATCCGTGGTGCCATCTTGGATCCCAGTGTGGCACTTTACTGCATTTTACTCAATCTTTCTGGTCACACAGTATCACTAGACACCTATCCGCTCAGCAGAGCACACTAATCTCTTGATTTCTGTATGTGGATATGACTGGCTGACGTCATCTTAAATGTCATAGACATTGCAACAAAAACATTGCTGCTTTTACTCAGTCCAAACTATAAAAAACACATTAATTTCACATTTCACCCTATACTTTTTCTATATAACCATTTTTATAACTAATAATTTCTATAACTTAAGCATAGGTCTGCCAAAACAAATCTTGGCTTTTCCTGCCTCTACTTTGTAAACACATTTTCAGATAAAGTATGTTTTTAAGGTACTTTCCACTTTCTTAATATATTTCAAATACAGAAGCTCCTTCACTCTAAATGAACAATTCAGACTCAATGAAACTGAATTAAAATTATACTATATTTTTGTATCATATTGATGCATGCACTGCTGTTTTTTTCCACAATTATTCAATAAATAAATTTGAAATACTACTACTACTACTACTAATAATAATAATAATAATAATAATAATATAATAAAAAAAAATAATAAAAGGCAAAGTGTTGAAACTACCACTCACCTTTGACTTCAACTTGAACAATAATATCATCATACCAGGACTCTGATCTAATGGCACACTGATAAGATCCCTTATCAGAAGGTCGGACTGCTGAAAGTTTCAGTGAGGTGTTTCCTTTCTGCAGTTCCTCTTTAAACAGAGCTGTTCTTCCTCTGTAAGACTTAATCTGCATGCCATTTGTGTCTTTATAGTCTTTATACAGATGCACTAGTGCATTAGATTCAGTTAGATCTGTTCTGATCCACTCCACCATCATATCCTCAGCACTGATGTTGGGTTGGAGAGAACAGGGCAGAACCAGATCTTCACCAGCTTCAACAACAAGGGGAACAGCTGAACCAACTATCTTAAAGTTCTCTGCAAAGAAAAACAAACATTATATGTAATTAAAATGATAATAAGTGTTTTTTTCACATATCTCTTCTATAATTATTTATATAAATGCAATAGTCAGCTAAGAATAAAAATAGTACATTATATTGCTTTCACCTTAGACACACATAACCACAGCTGAAACATTTATAAAAATTACTTTCTCCCTGTCTCCGACACACAGAGCTTTTTACAGGATAGTGCACACATACCTGATGTGGTCTCCATAAAGCCAGTGAAGATCAGTAGCATCACACAGAAAAACTCCATCCCTGAAAGACAATTTGAAAAGTCAAAAAGCAAAAATAGATGTTGTTAAAGCAAAAAAATTAGAGTGCCCTGCATGCAAGAAGAACCATTCAAACCAAAATGGGCAAAAATATCATATAAAATACATACAGTGTAACAATACATATAATAATTTGAATGTTTCACAAAAATGTTTGGAGAAATTGCTTACCATTTATCTAATAGAAGATCTTCCTACAAGAGTATTATTTTAATTTTAGAATAGTGAATTCTTTCAAAACATATGGCAAACATAGGCACTATTTTATACTGGCATTGTTCTTTTTATTCTTTTGCTCCTTGTCTCCAGAAACTTCATTGTTGTCTTTGGCCATTTTGTGTTTGCCTGGGATATAAATATGAGGTTAAAGGCATCATCAACATAAAATTAAATAGCTGTCAAATGAGACAGAAGATTGTGGAAGTAGTTGAAATTATCTTTAAGCACAATCAGGGTGATAATAATAAACTTTGAATAGCATGGAACAGTTGAGCATACTCCTCCTCTTACGCACAGTGTTGTAAGGTAAGAGGCGTAAAGATTAACCCAAGATCGCTGTTTCAGAACTGCAAAATTTAGTTGATTCTTTGGGCCTTTTAAAAGAGTTCCATAAAAGAAGACAGTGCATGAACATTGGAAACACAAAAGTGCAATGTGGTCAGATGACACAAAAATTGAACCTTGGTGAAAAAACATTTAAAGGCACGCCTAAAATAGATCATATCAGACATGACTTCAAAAAACACGACATCAAAAGCCAGTTATTGTTAATATTTGGAAATGTTAAAAATTAAATGTAGCTGGTTTAGTTGAATGCATTGTGAATTTATACCAGGCATCCATGTCACCTCACCTCAGAAAGCAACAAACTGCACTGCTTTCCATATGGTCAGTGAAGCTAAAAGAGAAGGTACGCCTAAAAATTGTGTGGGGCAGCACTTTAAATTGTCAGACTGTTTTTAAGGTCTTAAAGTCTTCCTGTCCTCCCCTAGTCAGCTAGCCAATAGCATCATGGTCTGTGTTCATAACTTTGCAAAATGAGTAATAAGAGGAGAGAAGGGTGGAGGTGAGAGGAAAAAAGAATGTGTGCTAGAAGCTGAGTAACAGGTCAGTTTCAGGCCCCCTCTACTCACCTGGTCACTCTAGCTAGCTGCTTCCCCTCCTACATGAATTATCAAATTAAAAGACCACCAATCGATATGATCTCTGTTATATGGCGGTCTGTTATTTTCAGACTATTTTCACGTGATAACACTTTTTAACATGTGAACATGTATTTCTTCACATGGAAAACTTCATCTGACTTTTCTGTAAGGGATGACTGTGACATTTCTGTAACAGAGACCATAATGCCAACAAAATAACTAGTAGCTTTATTAATACAGGAATTGCAGAGCTTCAGAGTTTTATCATAATTTGACAAAGAAAATATGACTTATTATTTAGACAGATTTGTTCTTAAGACACTTCAATTAGCGTGAAGTATACCATAGAATCAGGAATTACTAGTTTAAAAAACTATGCTGTTTTACTAAAACAAGTTGGTTTAGTTTTTATTATTATTATTATTATTATTATTATTATTATTATTATTGCCTTCATCAATAATAAATAATATGACATGGTGAACACACAATTTTTGTTTTTTTCTTTTGAGTTTGAAAATAAATGTGCCTGATAAACTCTGTGTCTCTGTAAGAATGAGAGGCACATTAGAGCCAATATCCTATAAATAGACTAAAAAATAAACTCCTATAAATGTATATGCAATAAGGCAAATGCATGAAAGAACAGCCATCATCCCTTTCATCTTATTATAAGCACTAAAGAACTGTTGCCTTTTTTAAATCACACAATACTTTTTAACACCAAAACAGGATTTCCGATGGTGCAAAACAATCTGTCCCAAAGAGAGAAAGACAGAGCTAGAGAGACTGACAGGGAAAGAGAGGCAGGAACTTCATTTATTTAGAAAAAATAGACCTGGACTTGGGTTTTATAGGAAAAGAAAACTCATTCCACATGCAGGAGTAGCTGTGGTCATTAATATTGACAAAGAAAAACAGAGCGAGAGAGAGAGTGAGAGATAAAGTGTGAGAGAGGCAGAGAGAAAGCGAGAGAGAGGGAGAGAGAGACAGAGAGAGACAGAGACACAGCCTGTGTTTCTTAATCCTGCTTCTGGTAACCAGAGACAGATCAAGGTCTTAATATGCCTTTGGGCACAAGTGTCTTTGGAGGCCCCCTGCCTCCAGCCCACTCTGACAATAATGCATCACATACCAACAAACACAGGAATAATAAAAACAATGAAAAAAAAAAAACATAATTGGCAAGGTACATGTTGAAGGGTCTGTGGACAGATGACTTGATTTATATTATTAATGTAGTATTTATGTACTGATAGGGTAACCAGTTATCTCATTTTTTATATATCTGCAGTGCTTGAGCTGCTTTATGCCTGGTGATCTGAGTCAGAGGCCCTTAGGCACTGGCCTCACTGGGCCAGTCATTAATCCATCCCTGCTCATAACCTGCAACACTGCATGGCTTCAAGTATCCCTTGGCTCAATCCACCTGATCCAGTTCATCAACTGACTATTGAACCCTTCATAAGATGGATCAGCTGTGGGTCACTAGGAGCAAGATTAAGAAAGGCTGTACTAAGTCTGTTGTGCCAGTTTCAAATGAATATCTGCCTGCCTGCAGTGTTTGGTGGAAGTCCGAATTCTACCAGTTGTGTTTTGTCAATACACAAACATCTATCTTTACTACTACTAATAGTAAATAATAATAAAAATAATGAGAATAACAGTATATTATATGGGACTCTTATCAGTATAGCAATGTTTTTTGAGGCACAAGACTATATAAAAGTCATCCAGTGCTGGCAAAGGAGCTGCCATATGTGGATATCTGTGTTCTCCAATCATCTGCATGATTATTCATATTATTATTATTATTATTCTGACATGAAGTGAACTGCTATGTCATGAATGAATCCATCAAGGCAGATTTGATTAGCTCTCAAGCTAGATCTCTATTACAATAACAGCCTGTTATTAGCATTATAGACTGGTTTCAATGTCATCTTTCTTGCATTAGTTTAGTTTAATCCACCATTAGTTGACTTATAGACACAATATATAATCACACAAAGCAATCTTGCTTTGAACCATACAAGCATATAGTATTAACAGTTTTCATACTTAATGGACTCACTGCGAAATACAGAGCGCTGATATCTTTAAACGTCTGCTCTGATGGCATCAGCTAAAAGTTACTTTCAATTTTTTTCTGTATATCACCTGAACACCTCATTAAAGTTGTTCTCTAGTGATAACAAGTCTGAAAAAATACTGTACTCACTGTAGACTGTTGATATTTTTGCCACTTTCCCTCTCTTTCTTTCTCTCTCTCACTCTCTCTAGTGTGAGAATGGAAACTGTATTTTTTTAACTGCTTGATCTTGGTGATCAGTGGGAGTAATCAGTTGTAGTCAGGGGAGGAGCTGAACAGGCAGTTTTACTGGCAGAGTCATAATATAGCATCAGTGCATATATCCAAAGTCCAAAGTTTAGCTTTCTTGTTTTATCTCATAAATGAAATGTGTAAAGTTTGGCTCCTATAATAATTAGATTAAAAAAGATGAATATTATTGATGAATATTATATTATCTATGTCTATCTATGTTCGCAAAAAAAAATCTTTAGCACATCATATGCTAAGGAAGTTAGGGTTAGCATTGAGTAAGTCTAGAGAAACCTTCAACTTTAGATAGTAATGTGACTGATCGGTCTCTTTGTAAACATAGATTATTTTATTTTTGTGATGGAGGCTATGGGCAGGTTAAAGTTTTCAAGCCCTCAGGAGGTTTGCTGTTTCACAATTAAAATTCCATTTTTGAGGAAAGCTTTAGATATATCTTATGATGGGAGCCGTTTGTTTTTGCTCAAATTCAAATTTATACCTGGGGCTTTTGATAATGCAATTAATTGTTTAAATTGTTTAAATCAATTTATTTTCCTCCATCTTAATGAATTCACTTATGCTTTGTTTTATTGTTGAATAATAATAATACATATTACAGTCTTTATCATCTTATTCTTATTCTTATTCTTCTTATTATTCTTCTTCTTATTATTATTATTATTATTATTAGCCCCCTGTGAAGCACACTGAGCTACATTACCAGTACTAAAGCCATCCCCTTCAAAGTACCTTACCTCAACCAAAGGAAATATAAAAAACAAATACAACAGGTGCTAGACTACCTCCCTCAACAAGTAAACAGCAGAAAAGGATACTTAACGGCACTAATAAACGGCACTCACCTCTACATAACTGTGACTTCACTAGCACAAACATCAAGGCTATTTAATACTTCTAACTGGTCTATAATTCCCACAAGGCAAACAACAAACATTAAAAGATATATACAGCATAATAACACCATTTCCCAGAGACCACCATGGACCACTTGTTGAAACAACACAGGTCAAACTGCATCTCATCGCTGTCTCTTTTCAAAGGCGAATCTTCATGCAGCAACCAATCACAGCATGCATTGTAATCTGCTGACAAGGTCAGCTGACACCAGTATCTCCACTTAGGAAACAGAGAGAGAAAGTAAAACACAAAAGACCAGCAAAGGGCAGCTCCAGAAACGTGTTGGATAGTAGTGGATCATGTATGTGTCTTTGCAATTGTGTGTTTGTGGGTTTGTAGGGGCTGTTGGGATTACAGTACAACTGTCTATATTTCTATATAAAGTGTATAATTCTGAACTGTTTAAGGGGGCAGACACAGATTGTATTTGCACATGGCCCAGAAACACCCCTCTGAATGTATACACACGCTTGTGCTTTTGTTTTATAAAGACTGATTATAAGGAGTGTATTGTATCTGTATCTTTCATGGTCTACCTGTAAGATGACCCAAGCCTAACCCAAAATCTTGCTTTTACTCAGATCAAGATGACTCATGAACATCTGAACACTGAAAAGTGTTAAGCATGTTGTGTCTTTCTACTCAGACATAATAATTTGTATCTTGTATTTAAATGGTTTAGTTAAAATAATTTAACTTATTTTACTTATGGCAAAATGTAAATGTGTTTCATAGTATCATGTTTCATAAAATAAAAACCAACTGTATTTTTGTATATTAATTTACTATTAATTTATTTAACTTTTAAATGTTATTGTAATCTAATATTTGTATTTATCATTTGTTTAAATTATTCCATTAATATCAGTTGCTAAAATGTTATTTCCTCTGGTATACTGTTCTCTTAGCTTGGTTGAACACAAATCTGAAGTTTATTTCACTTACTTTTTCATATTAAACTCAGTATTTTGGCACATAAAATTAACACTTTTTTTCCAACTATTGGTAAAAAAATTTACATAAATCACAACTGTTGTACCATCTGATCAGAGATTGGAATTTGATTAAATGTATGAGAGAAATTCATTTTTTTAGACTGATAGGAGTCAAACCGAACAGCACAAGTTTTTGATCCATTTATTATCAAAGACTCTTCCATCAAAATAAAACCCATTATTCAGAAAGAAAATCCAATCATTGCTACATACTCAGCAACTCCTGTTATTTTCTAAAATCATTAATCAGCTGACCTCAGTCAGTTAAAACCTCCCAGTACAGTATGGAGATCCCCACAGGTCCAGCTGTGACCGAGCATAAAGAGAAGACAGAAAGCCAGGGGAGAGGTTAGAAGTGATGATGAGCACTTGCCATGGTGAGAGGAGTACACTGCGGAGTGAACTGACCCACAACAACGAGAAACCACCAGAACAGCAAACGAAAAGATGGAGATGAAGATCTGTTTCCCAACTCCATAAAACACATGCAGTTCACCTCTACTGTTTTACTGACTGAACACACTTGTCCGAAAAAGGCTTCACTGGAGCAATAATATGCAGCTAATGGCACTAGTAGAAAGAATTATGATAGTCCTGCCTCAGTGCTGTAAGTAGACTAGCTAGAATACTTTGATACAAAAGGATTTTTCTGCTATTGTCTCAGCAAGTCCCCATCCCCTCCCCCCAAGCACCTGCATTCTGCAGATCCTCTAAATCAGCACTCTGTTTTCCTCTGTGTTAGGGTGGAGTTCAAAATTTCAGAATACAGGTTAAAAATAAAGGATTTTAATTCAGTCCACAATACAATTAGAAAAGGCTTATACAGAATACAGTTACAGTTGTGAGCAAAGGTCTGGCTACCTTTGGTCATTTTTTTTTTTAAGTAAAAAATAAGTTTACACATCTTCGGAATCTGATCACATCAGACTTCGGAATCTGAAGAATCTGGAGATATTATGTATGGAGAAATGGACTTAGGTTTCAGTCTCATGAAACAAGACTCAGAGCTGTTATTTTTGCAAAGAGAGACTGCACAATGTATTCAATGAAGCAGGGCCAACAATTGTGGCACACACAGTTTTGAGAAAAATATTTAGTTTTTTCTCTCAATTATTGTACTTGAAATGAAGGACATATTTTTGTACTTATCTTGAATGAAATATCAACAGTATAGCCTTGACCCAACTAATTTCTATAAATGCTGCCCAATTTCAAACTTTCTTTTTTTTTTACAGTTCTCGAATTGTTATGAATTGCAGACTTACTTAGAAAGCAATAATCTCACTGAACCTTTCCAGTCTCTTTTTTATCAGTACCACAGCACTGAGTCAGCCTTGGCTAAGGTTATAAAACATCTTCTTACATCTGCACATAATGCAACCCTTAGCGTTCTTATTTTACAAGATTTGACCCCAGACTTTGACATCGTGTGCCATTCTATTCTTCTACCGAGGCCATGTGAGGTTGGGTTGCACCGGACTGGTTCACCTTTAATCTCATGGATAGTAAGCAGCAAATTTCTTTCCCTGACCTTAATTCATCAATTTCTTCAACCTGCAAGTAGTCCCTCCAGGTTCAGTCCTTGGACCACTGCTCTTCCTTACTTACATACTCCCCATACAGATAGACCATACATCATTTTAAAGCCATCAAAAATAATCATGTAGTTAGATCTGAGATTAAACCCTGAAATTAAATATAACTTTCTCATCTTAAATAGTGATCATACTGAACTCCTTCTCTTTGGTCCTAAATCAACTCTCAATAAAACTTGATCTGTAACTCTGTTAGTTAATGATATAGTCCCTTTCCCCCAGGTTAGACTCTCTCATTCAATGCCCACATAACCTCTATTATTGAAACATTTTACAGTATAAACACAATTTGACCAATTTTCTTTCATTCTGCTGCTATTTCTTTTGTATGTGCTTTCATTTTTAGCAATTTGGACTATTGTAATTCTCTCCTTGCAGGCATTGGCTCTTCCTCCCTTAACAAGCTTTAAATGGTCCAGAAATCTGTTGCTACTCTTTTCACTCATACTTCCTCTCACATCCACATTACACGTGTTTTCCATTATCTTTACTACCTGCTTATAAAGCACCAGATTTATTTCAAAATTATTCTGCTCAATTACCAAATGCTAAACAACCTTGCTCCTTTCTACTTGTCTGAGCTCTCCTTTCTTATGAACCCACACTTATCTTGAGCTGATTTGATAACCATCCCCTTGTTCAACCTTCACAGTTTTGGTAATTGAGCATTTTCAAGATTTACTCTTCATGTCTGAAACTCTTACTCCATGTGTAATTCTTTTTCAATATTTAAATTGATTAAATTCAAAATGCATGTTTTCAGCTTACGACTTACCAACAAGCTAATATTACCTTCTCATTACAACTTTATCCTGTCTTCTCCACCATTGACTACATCTATGTTTTGCCTATCTTTCTTATGGTGTTCTGCTTTATTTACAGTTGTAATTGTCTCTGGGTTCTTGAAAAGCGCTACAGAAGTTTCATGTATTATTGTTATAAGTATTCTAATTTTTATTATTATAAGAAATAAGTAATTTTTGGCAGCTCTTTTTGTTTACCATCTGTGCCATCATTTGTGAAAGGCACTGTACACAGACAAACGAGTCATCATCATAAAGCCCAAATCCTGCACAGAGCGGTTCAGTAAATGTGGTGTTGAATGTGTATAGGTGGTTCAGTGTGAGGGTATCAGTGGAGACACTGTAGAAGGACAGAGTTCCAGCTAGACAGTCCACATACACTCCTACTCTCTTAGAGCTGGAGGGAGGAGCAGGGATATCAGTGCTGTTACCGTTGTGCCAGACAGAGTATCTGTTACTATAACACTCCAGACTCCAGGACTTTTCATTCAGTCCAAACACACAGTCAGCACTGTCGCCCTTCCTGCTGATTGTTTTATAAGTCAGAGCTATTTCAGTTCCATCACCGCTCCACTCAGCCTCCCAGTAACAGCATTCAGTCACACTCTCTCTACACAACACCTGATCCCAGCAATCAAATCTCTCTGGATGATCAGGATACGACTGTATATATCCCATATTTGTCACCTTTCTGTTCCCGTCAGACAGAGAGAGTCGTTTGTGTGCTGTTTCTGGGTCCAGTGTAAACTCAGAGGAATCTGCACACAAGAAGAGAGATTAGAGGAGAAAACATTGACACACAAGAAAAGGGATTAGAGGAGAAATAAAAAAAATAAAGGAAGAGAGATTAGAGGAGAAATATTGATACAGGAAGAGAGATTAGCGAAGAAAATAAACACATACAAGAAGAGAGCTTAGAAGAGAAAAACAGTGCACAAGAATAGAGATTAGACAAGGAAACACCAAAAAACATAAGAGAAATTAGAGGAGAAAATTTACAAGAAAGGTGATTAGAGGAGGAAACATGAGAGAACATAAGAGGGGAGATTAGAGAAGAAAAACAACACAATAAGAGAGATTAGAGAAGAAAAAACAGTGAACAAGAAAATAGATTAGAAGAGGAAACATCACACAGGAAGAGAGATTAGAGAAGAAAAACAACACAATAAGAGAGATTAGAGGAGGAAAACACACAAGAAGGCAGATTAGATTAGAAAACAACATGAGAGAGAATAGAGAGGAAAATATTGACACGAGAAGAGAGATTAAAGGAGAAAACACACTAGAAGAGAAATTAGAAAAGAAAACAAACATATGCATATTAGATTAGAAAAAAACATGAGAGATTAGAAGTGAAAATATTAACACTTAATAAGAGAAATTCAAAGAAAAAATATGAACACACAAGAAGAGAGATTACAGGAAAAAAAAAAAACAATAGCACAGCTAGTTTGTGTGTGTGAGTGACTGTGTTTGTGTGTGTGTGTGTGTGTGTGTGTGTGTGTGTGTGTGTGTGTGTGTACTCACATTTCTTCAGTCCTGGTTTGATTCTGACTTCGCCTCCATGTTCCACTCTAAACACACACACACACACACACACACACACACACAATACACACACAATATATATAGACTTGATCTGTTTGGGTTAAAATAAACTGTTTAAAGTGATAAGGAACTAAAGAATAAATTCCCCTCTTCTCCCATCGACAAATATCAGTCTACACTTACTGATAAGGGCAAGCAACAAATAAGCTGCAAGTGTGCTACAGAGAAAAACAGTAATAATTACAAGCTGCAAAACGTATAAAGCTATAGGACAATCAGTAAATAATACTGGCACAAATCCTATTAACACTTTGATCCACTGTAGATGCTATGTAGATGCTCAGTTTATCTGTAACTGTAACATTCAACTCAATATCTGTTAATGCAACTGAGCTTGAATTTACGTGTGAAAGTTTCTTTTAAATCTGTCCCTAACCCTAAACCTAACCTCAGATAATAAATACACCTACTCCTAAACCAAATTATAACCTAAATGTTGGTGATAATCAACTATCACCAGAAAGTTTGTTAATGATGTAAGTAGATCATCTATAGGGGACCATCCAAATAAAGTGTGACCCAAAATCTGATTCCTTTCAAAGAAAGTTTTTTTGGCTTTTTAATCAATGTCACACCATACCTCAGCATCTATTTTAGCATTTACTTGATTCCGACTGACTTGCAGATGTCTTACAGAGAAATTGGCTAATAATATAACACTGACACAAATAAAAATAATGTTAGCAGTGAACTCAATCAGGTTTGTTGTATTTTTTTTCTCTTGGCTGTGCAAGTGCTTGTCTGTTTACAGAGAGTGCATTTACATGCACTTAATAATCCAATAACTGCAGAAAATCAGATTTTGTCAGTAATCGAATCATTTGAATAATCCGATAATGTGAAACTCCTGGTCTGCATGATTCAGGCAATAATCGGATTTCTGCTTTGCAATTAGCCAACAAACTCACAGAAGAAGAACTGATGTAAACATAATGTAAAACCCAAACATTGTGCAGCTTTACCTGAAAATATGAACATGCAACATCTAGAAGATGAAGAATATTTAAATCCTTCATTTTGTCAAGAATGCAGTTGGTTTCAGCTTCACTTCTAGCGTTTTTCTGCCATCTCATGGCAACGCTGCTTGCTTATTTCCAGTACCGTGGTCATTTGCACATGTGCAGACTAAGAAATCTGAAAGAGATCTGAGTAAAAGTACACACGTGCTGAGAAATCTGATTACTGACCTAAAATCCAGCCTCTTTATCATATTTCTTTCAAATTGGATTTGTAGATCTTGCTTTGATCTAAAAAAAATCGTAGTGTGCTGTTTACATGATCATTTGAATAATCAGATAATTACAGAAATCTGATTATGATCAGATTTGTGAGTGCATGTAAATGCACTCATTGACATCACATGATGCAACGCTCATTGTGTGATGCCATATACAAGTTCACAGGGGTTTGTTTTATCTAAAAATACAAACAAATTTACTTCTATTTTGGAACATTGAAATGTTTATTTGTGCAGCATAACTTCAGAGGACAATGATTTGAATTCTAAGAAATGGTCTAATCAGAAGACAATCTATAACTCTACCAAGTGTGATTATTGAGTTTAACAGTCGTTAACTTTTGAGCTAGTGGTTTGGTAGTGTTAAACGCAATAAAAACATGATTCTGACAGAGGCTGCGGATGTTACAAGTGACTGTAAATGTTTTGAAACATATATTGTCGATTTCCACACTATCTCTATTAGAAATCTTACTTAGATAGAAAGGTAAAAAGGTAGAAATGTTATTTCTTAACTTGTCTACTTAGATGTCTTTAGACAACTCTTTTAAAACATTGTACTATGTGAGAGGCTAATTTAATAGACATGAGAACATGAAATTTATAGATAATTTTAAATAGAGACAGAGACATGCAGAACAGCTTGTAAAGAACTGAGAATAACACGGTACAGTTACAATATGAAAACAGAGCTGACACACTGAACACTGCTTCTGATATGCACACATCCCTCTCGTCCTCTGAACCAACAATGGGAGCAGAAGGTATAGAAAAGAGAGGCAAACCCTTCTCATTAAGTAAATGTATTTCTTTTTGTGTTTGTAGTTAATTGCTCTTTACATGGGTTCTTTATGTTGCTTGGGTTGCATTAAAAATCAAAAGACAAAAATATTAATATATGTAAAGAAGTCTGCTTGCCATAATGAGTTGCTAGCTTACCACAATGAGTTTTGAGCCACATGGGAAAGGAGAGTCCATGAATATGAATGTGTGTTTTGAGGCAAAGAAGAATGACTGCTGTTCTACAGCACCTATTCTTTACACCAACCAATATCCTTACTGCAGAGATGGTACTGACCTTCTGCTGTCTGAACTGTGCTGAATCACATCATTATATCACCTCTCTTGTTATTGCATGCTGTGCAATATATCAAAACCTGCTACTTTAATGACACACTTGCACACTTTACACTGTAAATACTGCCAATATTCCTAGTTAAGTTTATACTCATTGTGTTGAAACTACCTCATACCACTTAGTGCAATACCTGATCATGTAAAAACAAAAAAATCTGTTTTATATGCTGTGTGAACGTGCAAATAGATATGCTTCTATTTCAGCTCTCTCATACTCTAATTTACGTCTATTTTTTTTTATTTCTGCCTAAATTGTGTCTATTTTTGTTTCTATTTTTATTTTTATTTAAAGATCTATCTATCTATCTATCTATCTAATAATAATAATAATAATAATAATAATAATAATAATAATATTAATAAGAATAATAACATAATAACAATAATAATAATAGTTAGCAAAGTCACCCATTTAACCAGTTACCACAAGGATACATTTAAATAAGAACTGTTTTCAGAAAGAGTTCTTTTTAAGATTGGAATTAACCCTAGGTTTCAGTGCAGAACCATACATCTGAGAAGTTGACAATTTAGTGGCCTTTTTTTAAGGGTCACACCCCTCTGAACACAATTGTCCATACCTCAGTTTGTTGAGTGAATCCTCCAATCTAGCAGAGAGCAACTTCACTCCTGATTCTCCTGGGTGGTTGTAGGTCAGATCCAGTTCTTTTAGGTGTGAGGTGTTTGAACTCAGAGCTGAAGCCAGAGAAGAACAGCCTTTATCTGTAATCATACAACCAGATAATCTGGAAAAAGAGAGAGATAGTCAGAGACAAACTGAGAAAAGCAATGCATATCACAAAATGACAGTTTCACACAAATAATGAAAAATGTTTAAAAATCTACTACATATCAAGTGTTTTTTTATACACATATATGAAAACACAGAAGATTTGCATGCACACTGCATGTTTTGGGTTGTTAATAAGATGACAATTTTTGTGTTGGAGAGATCATGACCCTTGGTTCCTAGTACCACCACTGTAAAGATAAATAGGATAAATCATTTCAAGTCAAACCACTCTAAATGACTTCATTTATATCTCAACCATCTCAGCTGAAAATCTGTGCAAGTTTAGCCCAAGTTGATTAGAATTCTCTTTCTGATATTCACTGCTTGTTAAACAAGAAATATCATGGTTTAACTATCTATTCCAGAATAAACTGACAGAAAACTGACCTGAGTGTCTCCAGTTTACAATGTGAACTCTCCAGTCCAGCAGAGAGCAGCTCCACTCCTGCATCCTGCAGATCATTGTTACTGAGGTCCAGCTCTTTCAGGGAGGTGTTTTCTAGTTTTAGATCTTGTCCCAGATTTTCACAAGCCTTTTTTCCAAGATTACACAAAGCTAATCTACAAAGGGAGAGTAGATCTTACAATACAGTCAAAAGTGAGTCTTAAAAAAACAGTGTGCCATGTTTACATAACATGGCTAAAATTTTCACATATTTTGACATTACTAGGATGGTTAGAGCAAGAAATATAGTAGACAGTCACAATAAATAGAGGACAAAAATCTTAGTAAACAGTTTACTTTTACTTCAAAGTCAAATCATTAAGTAATGAATTGACAAAAAGCTAACCTGAGTATTTGCAGTTTACACTGTGAACTCTTAAGTCCAGTAGAGAGCAGAGTCACTCCTGCATCCTGAAGGTCGTTGTTACTAAGGTCCAGCTCTTTCAGGGAGATTTTCTGTTTTAAAACTGATTGCAGATTTTCACAAGATATAATCCCAAGACTACACAAAGATAGCCTGCAAATGTAGAATAAATACACACATTTTACAATATATCCAAAGTGAATTATTTGACTGGAACAAGAATAAAGTATTTAAATCATGAAGCACAGCATGATGACTTAGCTCAATAAGGGCTGATAATCTGTGCAGTGCAGTGGCTCTCTGACCTACAAGAGTGTCAATAAACAAGACGGCGTACTAGAGTTGGAGGTGACAACTTACACATCTAACAGCAGTAATATTATATTTTTATTAATAAAATTCTGTTAATTATTTTTAAATGTCCCCCATGCCTAGTGTAGATGCAAGATTTGTAAGTCAATGTTATGTCTGGTGTATCCACAAGAGAGTGTTCTGCATAATATTCTGATATTACAAACCAGTAGATTTCAACATGGGATTCATGGGATGGTCATCAGAAATAAGTATATGGCACATATTTCACAGTCACTTTTTCATAAAATCAGCAGTGTACAGTAGCACTTCTTCCAATCACTGTAATTCAGCTTATAAAGTAGACTGTTTCATATTAAATATTCTATTTTTGCAAAAGGTAATACAGTCACTCTCAAAACTAAATTTAAGTCAATTCCAGGCCAATATGCAAAGCTTTTGTACTGAGCCCTCTTAACAAAACAGGTCCAAAAAGACCTGACTTAATAGTGCAATATCCACTTACAACCTGTGTCATTAGATGATGGTAGAAAACATAAAAAACCATAAAACATGTTCTTTGTATTATTTATCAATACTAATCAAGAACTCTCAAATCATCATCACAATGTGCTCACCAGTGCTGAGAGCACTAGCATTGGGTAAAAAGAACAGAACTGGCATGGTGACCCAATAACATTCAGGAAAAGTTCCATTCAATTTACTGAGCAGGCCTACCAAACAGTCCATCTGAGTCAATCAAATGTCTGATTCAGTTATGCATTTATAAATCAACTTTCCTGTACCATAAGATTAAATCAGAGCTAGGAGCCTGGCCATTTCCTAATTATCATCAGATTATACCAAAAAAAAAACATCACTCACATACAGGAGCATGTGGACTGTTAACAAAACAGGATGTGCATTCACAACCTTATGAATAAGGCAAGGCCCAGAATACCTTAAGTATGTGCTAATTAGGTACAAAAATGTATATATTTGTAGGTAAATTGTCTCTATAGTACTTACTGTATGTCTCTATAGTACTTGTCTCTAAATTTTCTTTATAGTACTTACTGTTTGCATGAATAAAATTCACAGAAAGCTGACCTGAGAAACTCCAGTTTACAGTGTGAACTCTTGAGTCCAGCAGAGAGCAGTTCTACTCCTGAATCCTGAAGATCATTGTTGCTGAGGTCCAGTTCCTTCAGGCAGGAGGTTTCTGATTGTAAAACTGACTGCAGAGTGTCACAGGACTGTTTACTGAATTTACACATAGCAAGTCTGAAAAATGAAGTTAGAATGAATACAGCACATCTTACAAAACACACAATAAATTGTATTTACTTGATTTAAAATAGAAATACTGACCTGAGTATCTCCAGTTTACAGTATGAACTCCTCAGTCCAGCAGAGAGCAGCTCCAATCCTGAATCCAGCAGGTCATTGTTACTGAGGTCCAGTTCTTTCAAGGAGGAGTTTTCTGATTGTAAAACTGACTGCAGAGCAACACAGGACTGTTCACTGAGTTTACACATAGAAAGCCTAAAAAAGATGAATAAATGCAATACATTTTACAGTACACTCAAAAGATGTTTCACATAAAAAATATTCTGTCATATCAAAACTATGTAACTAATTTTATCTATTTTTCACAATTGAAACCATTCACAGTTTACATGACAAATAAACCAATAAAAATGGTCCTGTTTGTAATAAAACCTTGTTACATAATTGTCTTATAAAATTAATATTTCAAGACTTTTTGGTCCCACTTTATATTAAGTGTCTCCAATAAATGTGTAGGTACAGTGAACAAAAGTGCAACAACAATGTAACTACTAATGATTTAGTCACTGTTACAGATGGACTACAGAAGTACACCTTATGTAATTACACATGTATCAACTTCAGTTTTGCCTCATGTAATTACATAAGTGTATCTTCATAGTTGTAACAGCCTGTTCTCTCTCATGTAATTACACAAGGGTAATAACACAAGTGTAATTACATTTGTAATCAGACTGGAACAGCATTTTTTAGAAGTTTTTTTTTTTTTTCCAGCAGTAAAAGGAAGTATCTAGTAACCTACATTAAGACATTGCTTACACAGTATCTGCCAGCTTTCCTAACATTTATGTTGCTGGTGCTTTAATGTTGTAAATGTTTCAACTTTAAATCATTCTGTAATGTGACAGTACAGCAGATCACCCCTTATCTTAAAATGTAACTCTTATGACATTAATTAAATTTGTTGCATTTCCCCCAAAGCAAGGTCTATATTACCACTCCATTATTACACAGTACCTATCTAACAACTACACTGGAAGTGTCCACTTATTTTAAAGTGTAACTTTAACACTACACTACAGGGAAGTTCCTGTGTAGAAGATACACTTGTGCTATTACACTAAGCAAAACTGAAGTTGATACGCAAGTGTAATTACATAGGCTGTACTTCTTTAATCCATCTGTAACATTGAGTAAATCATCAGTAGTTATAGTGTTCTTGCATATGTTACTCATGTGTAACTACACAGTTGTTAGAGACACTTAATATAAAGTGGTACCCATGACAATGACATGGTATTAACATATCACTGCTTATTTCTATAGTGCTGGTATAAAACTGAAATGCTACATAGAATTTTTGAATTCAGTAGCATTGACCTTAGTATCTCCAGTTTACAATGTGAACTCTTCAGTCCAGCAGAGAGCAGCTCAACCCCTGCATCATGCACTTTGTTGTTACTGAGGTCCAGTTCTTTCAGGTAGGAGGTTTCTGTTTGTAAAACTGACTGCAGAGTCTTACAGGACTGTTCACTAAGTTTACACGTAGCAAGTCTGCAATAAAAGAAAACATGCAGCACGTTAAAATACACTGAAGAGATAATGTTGTAATTGAATTAAATGGATTGCACAATAAAATTACAGCCAATAAATATACAGAAGGTATGTAATTCTTGGTGTTAATTTACAGACATGAAATGCACATTTTTTGAGGCATGTCACTTTAATACCTTGTAAAATATAGTTAACTGCTTTATTTTTCCCTACTTACATGTGCATATCATTCACATTAGTTGTTCACAGGCTTTCCCACATGTAAGGCAATAATCTCACACATCAAGCAGTCATAGACCAATTTTTGGCTTTTTAATTGATTAAAGTCATACTTAAGTACAACAATCACAAACTGTAGCTTGTGTTTCAATTACTTGCTTGAGTAGTTTGTTATGTAACTTCCATCTATGACCTGTAAGTTGCGGTTTATGACTTGATTCAAAACCATGAACATACAAAATAAACAGTTATGCCTTTTTTTTATGACCCACTTTTTGTCACTCAATGAAGGCTCACAGAAAAGCATCCTTTATTAAAAACATGATATAAGAACAAATAAAATAATTTAGTGTATGTGTTTTATATAGAATAAATCTAGAGAACTATTCTGGTGGGATAATCTGTCCAGACAAACACGGCTATACATGTAAAGTAATGTTACCACAGAATGTTTGTAATGTTTAAGACTAATTTGGATAGGATAACTTAAGTTCAAAAGTTACATCAATGGATGAGCAGGAGAAGTGTCAGATACCCTATGCAATTGCTTACCTAGATAATCTATTTCGATTATTGAAATTGCCTGTGGGCTATTCATGCCTCTAAGGTTACCAAGTTATCGCTGTGTAGAGCTTTCCAGGCATGTGCATTTTATCTGCATGTAAGCTCCACCCGTTAAAATCAGCACATATATTTACACTGAAAGTAATAACGTATTAGAAAATGCAGACTGATAAAGCAGAACACATTTTATCAGTGAAATATGCTGTCAACTACAATATGATGCAGCCTTAAAGCATGAGAATGAGATCAAACATTTAAATATAGAAAGGTTAGACTAGTACAAAAATCATGTGTAGATTGAATTAACCATCTTAAATTAGACTATGTTTTTCCTTAAAATACATTTCAAAAACATCTAATTTAAAATACTTTTTCATGACACTCTGGACAGATATTTCACATCATGTTTATATTAATTACATTATATTTATTATATTTATTAAAACAATTTAAGCTCAGGCATGTTTAAGACTCACAAACATAAACATTGAGCCTGGGCTTGTGTGTATGTGAATTTAATATATAAAGATGTAATCCAAAAAACTCACTAAATCAAACATGATGCTTCTAGCATTTAAATTTTCATTTGTGCAGTTTACAGCATGAAACACAGCAGTGCACAGACACCATATTTCAGGAGTTTTTTCCTCAGCAATGCTACTTTTTATATATTGGTCTCAAAAGTTTTGTTTGTATATTACACCACCCAAAGAAATGTATTTTGGTGTTAAATACTGTGGTTACAATAAATTGTCTGACAAAGGCACTATGCAGCTCCTGCAGGGAGAGGGAGAGGGTACCACACAAATTCTGCTGTGGAGCAGTAAAAGAACTGCAAGTTGCCGGCCCCTGTACTAGTCTAACCTTTACTTTTTAAACATTTAATTTCTTTTGGCTGCCTTGTACTTTCAGACTACACTGTATTGCAGCTGATGGCATACATCACCCATAAAGTGTAATCTGCTTTATCAGATCGTATTTTCTGTTATCTGTTTAGTTTGGGTTTACAAGTGCTGGTTCTAAAAGGAGGCACTTATATGCAGATAAAATGTACTTGCCTTGAAAGCTCTACATATGAAAAACCTAGCAACCTTGGAGATGTAAACTACACATAGGCAATTCCAATAATCTGAATGTGCCACCCATAAAATCAACTTAAGATCACACATAGCGCTTGTCTGAATATGGATACCTTCTCCTGTGTATGTATTTACGTATCTTTTCTCATTGAGCAGCCAACTTAAGTCACTCACTCTGAATACTCAGACAGTATTAGGCCACCTAGGCATATTTACGTACATACTGCCCATTTGTTATAACATCATTAATGTTAGTATAATGATCTTTATATTAAATACTCACTGAGCCTTTCTGCAGTTTGTGATAGCTGGGATGAGTCTTTTATAACCCTCTTCTGATGTGTTGTATTTCTTCAGGTCAAACTCTTCCCGCACATTCTCTGACTGGAGACGCATGTAGGCCATGACTGAGCATTGTGCAGGAGAAAGCTTCTTTTTTGAATACTTGTCTGGAATTAGAGAGAGACAATATAAGACTTCCACTCTCAGTAATTTCAGTGTTGTTTTATATATAACATTTATGGGGATGCTGTGATTACTCAGTAACCTGTGTCTCTTTTGTAGGCCTGTGATCATTGTTCTCTTCTGTGTCTTGTATTATGTTTGTATATATATTGCCTGTATCATCCTTATGCTTCTGCCATTGTATTTACTTGTTGTCTTCTTGATGTCTCCTAATCTTTATTGTCTTCATGGGTACTCCTACAGGTCCAGCAGCAGGGAGTCATTTAGAGGGAAAGTGCCTTACCCACTAGTCTACTAGTCCTCAGCATAGTCAAGCATTGTAAGTGTTTTTGATAGATGTAATGTATCAGGTCATTCAAACAGACCAAATCCAAATGAGTGTAAACAAAGGGGCTTAGTTTGGGGCTGTAATGCTATATTAAAAGTCAGTTACCAATAGGATTTTACAATTTGGCTGCTTATGGCACCCCTGCTTTGAGTACTGTCTTGCTGCATACACATTTCATTAAAGTACACACAGTACACACAGTGCAAACAATTCAAATCTGGAAAACATTCTTGTAAATAATTAAGTTATTCCTGACAATTATTAATGAAATAGTTACCTTTCAAGATGTAAACTATAAAGGCACTTAATATAATAATAAAAACTGAAATGCAGATGGTGGCAATCTTCCAAGCATGAAAACCTTTTCCTGAAATACAAACCAGATAAAATTTTACAACAGGCCAAACACCAAAGCACATAATTGTGATATTAAGGATAAATTCAGAATTTAGAGTATATGCAGTAAATATTTAGAAAATGTAAAAGTTCTTTAGTTGTAATAATATGTATTTATGTTTGAAATTGTATTAGATATTGAATGTTTATAACATGATTTAAAAGTTAAGATAATATGGTTCTATCTGTGGTCACCCGCTGGTTTTCTCTTAAGTACTATGAAGATAAATTGGTTTCACAGTAAGACCTTTTGTTAAAGTCCCCTAAGTTCTAGGTACTAAATGGGTAAATGTGAGGTACGAAGTTCATAATATTAGATAATTATTTTCAGTAAAAGACTAATTATTCTCAAATGTGTAACAGGTTCAGGTTAAGTGGGCAATGGCAGTCTAAATTACACTGAAATGCCTAATAGGTTTTAGTTATTAAGCAGATTAATGGAAAAATATGTGGAGTAACAAGGTGTTTTCTTTACAACCCAGATTCAAATTCATTTCTATGTAATAGACAGATACAGAACATGCTATATAAGACTCATGTCTTTATATTGTTTTTTTCCCATATAACTGCATGGTACTTGGAGATGTTTCCAGTGTATTTTCCTAGTTAATGTGTGACGTGTGTGTACAGGAAAATTTAGTGTGAGCTTGTCAGTTTACTTAGTACTCAAATTAGGACTCAATTACTAATTACGGCATACTTTACTGCTTCACTAAAATGGTTGTGATATCAGTAAAGTGAAATTAATGACTTAATAGCCTAAGTAATAATTATTTTGTGAACTATGATGTAAAGTGTTACTGATGAATGAATGTATTTATTGTTAATAAGTTTGAGTATAATCATAAACTGAACTATGATAGCGCTTACCTTTAACTTCAACATTTATAGTTATGTCATCATACCAGGACCCATACTGAATGTAACACTGGTAAGCTCCTTCATCAGAAGGTTGAACTGCAGAGAGTTTCAGTGAAGTGTTTCCTTTCTGCAGTTCTTCCTTAAATAGAGCTGTTCTCCCTCTGTAAGACTCCATCTGCTTCTCATTTCTGTCTTCAAAATCTTTATACAAATGCACTACAGTGTCTGTCAGATGCAGTCTGATCCACTCCACTATCATATCCTCAGCGCTGATGTTTGGTTGGAGAGAACAGGGCAGAACCAGATCTTCACCAGCTTCAACAACAAGAGGCGCAGCTGCACCAACTATTTTCAAATGTACTAGAAAGAAAAAAGATGATTACTAAAAAGAATACATCCTGCTAATCCTATCAGTTCTGTCAATGGAGTCACAAGAAGTGTCAAAAGCATTTCTCCACTCTATTGCACTCCATCTGTCACACAGTATCACTGGCCCCCTAAACAGGATCAGCAGAGCACATTAATCACTTGTTTTCATTTTGATATGACTGGTTGATATCATCCTATATAAAACACCAGTTGTCTACTACAACCAAAAACATTGCTGCTTTTACTCTGTCCAAGCTATAAGAACCACATTGATTTCACATTTCAGTCTATATTTTTCCATTATAACTATACCCATTTCTGTAACTAATAATTTATATAATTTAAGCATGTGTCTGTGAATATGAATCTTGGCTTTTCCTACTTTTCAAATACATAACTTTTTATATACAATACACTTCGTCACTTTCCACTTCCTTAACATATTACAAATACAGAAGCCCCTTCACACTAAATGAACATTTCAAACTTAATAAAGCTGAACTGAGAATTCAGAATAAGATTGGAAATTGAACTGGATAACAACATTGAAACTGTATCATTCACCTTTGACTTCAACATGAATGGTGATGTCATCATACCAGGACTCTGATTTAATTGCACACTGATAAACTCCCTCATCAGAAGGCTGGACTGCTGAGAGCTTCAGCGAGGTGTTTCCTTTCCATAGCTCTTCCTTAAATAGAGCTGTTCTTCCTCTATAAGACTTAATCTGCTTGTCATTTGTGTCTTTATAGTCTTTATACAGATGCACTAGTGTGTTAGATTCAGTCAGACCTGTTCTGACCCACTCCACCATCATATCCTCAGCACTGATGTTGGGTTGGAGAGAACAAGGCAGAACAAGATTTTCACCAGCTTCAACAACAAGAGGAGAGGCAGGGCCAACTACCTTAAAATGCTCTGCAATGAAAAACAAACATGATGATGTATAATGAAAAAAGAATAGATAATGTAAATATGACCATGTACACATTTTTTAATTATTCTATGGATGGAATGCTAACCTGCACAAGTACAGTTTATTACTTCAATTCGTAATTAATTAATTAATTAGTTAATGCCTAAAAAAGTTAATGCCTAGCCAATGAACCTGAAGTCTTCTGCTCATGTGGTTGAACTACAGGGCAGCATCATTGGGCACCTAATCATGCACATAGCTAAACATTTACATTTCCCATGAGACAAGCAAATGTCTGAATAGTTGGCATGTAAAATAACAATGGGAACCTGCTATTATTTACATAGGAAAACAACTTGTACATTAAGCAATGCATTAAAATACAGAATACTGAGATGTGGGTCTATTTTTCTGATAAATGAGCTAAAAAAAATATAAATCTTAGGCTGTATTACGTGCTTACTGTACTGTAATGTACTGTAGATACACATAACCACAGCGTAACACACTCTCTGTCTCTCCCTCAGACACACACAGCTTCTTTATCGGATAGTGCACACGTACCTGATGTGGTCTCTATAAAGTCAGTTAAAATCAGTAGCATCACGCAGAGAAACATGATTCCTGAAAGACAGTTTAATATCAAAAAGCAAAAATAGGGTGTTAAAAGCAAAAACAGTGCTGCATGCAAGATGAACCATTCAAACTAAACAACCTGAGCAGACATGGTTGTACTTTAGCTATAACTAACTGAACAATTATCGTAATGTAACCTGATAGCTAGCTAAGTGTGCTTTCATTGCTTACAATAATGCATTTTATAGTCAGAATACTCATTCAAAATGGGCAGGCAACTCTTTGACATACACCAGAGACAACAAATAATAAACTGTAAAACAACTGTTAAGTTTAGCAAATCTTCTCACACTCTCAATTATTGCGGATACACAGATATGTGTCATAACATAGTAATAACAGTATAGTGGTATATAGTAGTTTTACCATTCATCTAGCGTTCTAACACTTTCTAACTCACGAGACAGCGTGTGAACTAACATTTCTTTTTTGTTCTTTTTTCAGTCACAGACACTTCACAGATCAACTTAAAATAGGTATTTTGATATACACTGATCTGTTTACCACTTATAACTTCACATATATGCTATCTAATTATTTAGCAATAAGATATTTATACTTCCTATATACACATACTGGATAAAACATAAATCTTTTGTTACTAGTAAAAAGTTTTACATCTCAGTAACTGTAGTCACTGCAGTGATTGTCCACATTGACTGATATTGTACAACAGTATGCCCATTATTTATAAATAAGAATAGACCTAAACAACTACTGTCATTTCGAAACAGTTGTACATTTTCAAAATATGATGAACTAATGATTTCTTCATAGCTATTGATGATCAGTTAATACTTAGAAACATGCAAATTATACATTTTCTCTTGAGAGTATAAAAATAAAAGCAAAAACTCTTCTGAGTTTCTCTGTAACAGCTGCTGGTGGCCATAAGTTACTGATATGAAATGGAATTACACTGACCTTTATCACAAACAATGTTTTAGTAACTTAGATATCCAGATAATAGAATTGAAGAGTTCACATGAGACAGTCACATGTTATTACCAGGAGAATCTTTTTTTTAATCAAAAATTTACTTTGGGGTTGCTAATTTCTTTTTCTTTTACCTATACAGACTTTTAAAATAGTTGTCAGCTCAAGTACGTTTTCAGAATTTGATAGTGTTCGTGAACTAATAATGCAATAATTAAAATTGTTTTATAATATTGTTTATTATTGATGCAAAATATATATTTACAGCAATAGGTAGCCATGCTTTTTATTGATTTTCTGCTGTCTTGGATTCATGTTGAGTGCTGAAACTGATATCCAACTGAAAACTGAGCTAAAACTGATATCCAGCAAGACATGCCTTTTTACTATCAGTTGTAATAATTACTTACTTGAAATCAATTTTACTTGAAACATAAAACTGTATATTATTTAAGTTCATTTATTATTGTTAGAATGAGTCTAGTCCACTTAGCTGACTGAATTGATGCAGATCAGAGCTCTGATCAACTGTAATTCTCTGATTATCAACAACTCTTCTTCTGAGGTCCTCAGAAATCTCCTTTCTTTGTACCATAATACACTTCCACAAACATGAGTTGTGAAGATCAAACTCTGATAGATCCCTGTTCTTTAAATAAAACAGAGTGGTCACTCACACCTGATTGTCATGCCATTGATTGAAAACACCCAACTCTAATTTCACCTTCAAATTATCTGCTCTAAAGTTTCACATACTTTTGCCACTCACAGATATGTAGTCTATTTAGACTTGACCAAGTCTAATATTTTTGTCTCATTTGTTTAATTTGTTTCTCTTTATCTACTATTAGGACTTGCATGAAAATCTGTTGAAGTTTTAGGTCAAATATATGCAGAAATATAGACAATTCTAAAGGTTTCACAAACTTTAAAGCACCAATTTATGTTGGAACAGTCAGGTAGGACAAAAACACTTGCAGAATAAGCTGGGGTCCTGATGGCTCAGAAGACATAATGGTGGTTTTCCTAAGATTCTTTAAAAAAATAACTTATGGTCCAGATACAATTATTCACAGCATCAAAGCTGAGAAAGCTCTTAATGTTGGATGAGAAATGATTGCGTTCATATCGAGATTCCTGTCTTTAGTTCAGTTGCAAATAAACATGACTACTCGAGGAGACACATGTAAGATTACTGGGCTATTTACCCCAGGAGAAACATCTAAGCAGCAGGAGAGACTCATGCCACAATGTCCTTTGTCTTTTCATCTCATCTTGTTGTTGTCTAGTAGTACCTACTAACTAGTACCAGAGATACTATAGATACTCCAATGAGTTTTGATCAGTAGCAAAAATTATAGTGTCAATCTGTTTAATCTGCATTTCACAACAGCCACTGATTTCTCACTGCTAAGATCACAAAGTTCTTCTTCGTTTTACATCTCTTCTTAACAAGCCTTTTCTAATCAATGATTTGAATGATGGTGTCCCTTTGATTAGGCTGCTGCAGCACGGGTATTTAACCACATATCTTTACAAGAATAAACACTTAAGAAGACATACCATCTGGGGCTAATTCATTATTTTAGCTCTACCAAGGTTTGAAGAATACATGTAACAGTGTTACATAATCAAGATACAAAAAAGTTACTGTACCCCATTATAGTTACAGTAAAAAAGACAGTGATCAGCTTACAGGAACAGTACATTGAATTTACATTAAAACTGCAGTTTTCATTGAAAAACACTATTTTGCATGGTAAAAATGATCACATGAATTGTGCAGATTTGAACAATTATGGGAAGGCAGGGGCCAGTGGAGAGCGCTTTTGTTTGTTGTTTGCTTTTTTTTCACCTGAAATTTTACAGTAATTCTGGTAATCTAACTTTTGCTATCATCAATTGCAATGCTGAAGAGCGATTATAGTAACATTAGCTAAGTATTTATACAGTTAAATGAAACTTTTATAGTACAGAATGCCTGAAACTTGTGAAAGTTGTGAGCAGTAAAGTTGGATTGATTTTCATCTATATGATTCTTTTTGATTTTTAACAATAGGTGCAAAAAATCTTAGAATGTGTATTCTACTAGAAATTATTACTTTTAACTAAAAGTCAGCTACCACAGATTTTGTGTGAAATCAATGCATTTTAAAAAGTTGTAGCACACATTCTTTTTTGCAGATGAGAGCTAAGAAATTACAAATTTCATCACTTGGTTTTTCATCATTTTTACAGTCATAATGAGTATGCATGTCTGAACATACACTGCTCAAATTTGTCAACTTACATTGCTCAAATTTGTCATGCTTATGTCTGAATTTTGTCATTTGGCCATTTTACTAAACATGAGATCAGTGACCATTTGTGTGAAATAACATTAGCTATTTGTGTTTCCACCGTCCCAATGCAGTTATTTCTCACATACTTACCTTTTTTGTGCAAACATGCGACAATCTGATTTATTCCACCAAAATATTCTATAATATTTTCGCATATAAACATAGCACACATAAAGCACAGACATTTTCAAAGTAACCCCCAAATCAACCCTGGCTGTACCATGTGTTAGAATGTACAGCCATAACCAGTAACCATAAAGTCTTAGTGTTTCCCTGTATATTATTACATGTATTACAGCATTTTTAAAATCAGACATATCTCATTCTATCATTCATTTATTTCATGTTAATTTCTTATATTGAAGCTGCAATACAATCAAGTTCATTACATGATCACACACATACGTTTTTAAAAGAGGTTGTCAATCAACATATTGATCTATAATCAGGCACAGTTTGCTTTAAGCTAAAAATGTAGACTATACAGATTTTCCTATGACACTGCAGGGTTTATTGATAACTGTGAGTTAATTTTCAACTCAGTTTCACTCATCAAAACCAAAGCATAATTTTTAACCTCTAAAAATCCCAGGCTTGTTTCATGGTAAGGTGTATTGTTCAGTGCTACAGGAACTTCAATGCAACCTGACTGAGCTATTCTTACGTTATAGAAGTGTGTAATAAAACTTAGGGCCTGCTGGTGGGCCCTGGCCATTTAAGAGGTTAAACAAAACTATATAATCGAAGAACACAGTCCATACAGTAACCATTACATTCATGCATTAATAAATAGATGTTCATTTCCTACCTTTTATATTTCTGAACACTGTGTCATATTAAAGAAACCTCATTCATCTCTTGATTGTTCATGTCTGTTCTGCTGTTTGAAGTGCATGATGAAATTACAGTGGGTGTAGTTCACTGAACAGCGTCACTAAACAGGTTCAGGTAACACTTTCATAGTTAATAAGTAACCATTCAGGGACTAAGCAGGGACAAATGAAGAGTACTGCATGAACATTTAAGTAACTACTTATTTAATTAATAACAAATTACCCTAATCATTAGTTCATTATTACCTACTGAGTAATTAACTAGTACTCCTTGATAGTTAATAGTAGTTACTTAAGTGTTAACACAGCACTATTAATTTGTCCGTGCAGTTACCTATTTACTATGAAACAGTATTATAAAGCATTATCCAGGTTCAGTTTACATTTAAGTAATGCTGTTGGTAAGACAACACTCTACACATCATTACACATACACTCTCACTCAGACACAAAGACTACAGTTTTATCTTTATGACAAGCTAAAGTTTAACAGAATGTAATCAGCTGTACAGGCTTCAGGGTGAAATTAGATATCTGGTCTCACAAATCAGAACTGCTGTGGTCCAGACCATGAACTTTCCAAGTTACTCTTAAAATAAAAATGTATGTGTCCTCATTAGCATTGGATAATTACCCTCAAGAACTCTTTTATCTGCAGTTTGCAGAGATAATGTTCTTTAGGCCATCACACTCTGAAATATACAGCATTTGAGCAAAAAAGTACTTCTACCTTTGGTAAAAATTTCAAATGTTATTTTTTACATGTTATTCTTAAAATGTTATTTTTAATTAATTAACCAATATTTCAAATTGAGATTGCGGACTTTTAAATTATTATCAAATGTTAATAATAGTGGTCAGGAAATTAATTAATTGACTAGTTTGTCTATAAGCAGCATAATGAACAGCATGATATTTTAAATTATAAAAAATAATAATACATGATTATTCAATCATAACAGAGGACACAGTAACACCAGTAATCATAGTCTAACAGCAGTAGTCGTAAAAGAAATTACTTATCTATTTGGTAGTGTTCAGGAGAGATTTACTATCAAATAAAATTTACATTTTCCCTAGTCATGAAAAGGTAAAACTCAAATGGTAAAATAGTTTTTTTCCAAAAATAAACTTTCTAAAAGCTCTAGCTCTCTAATGTCCTGATTTAAGACTCATTAGATATTTGAACTCTATGATCCACTAGAGGGCAGTATAAAACGTGTGTTTTATATTTTAGTCAGAGGTTCTCATCTGTTTTAACCAATTATAGAAACATGGAAACATGTCAAACGTCTTCAAAAAAGATGAATGAAAATGTCACATTTCAAATAAACATTTCATGGATCATAAAGTGCTATGTAGATCCTTCCAGAGTTTGCTAACTTTGTCACAAATGAGCACAAATACCCCAGCAAGCCTACTTGTGCAGACCAGCTGTGTCGGAAAGATTCTCAGGGATCATCCTCAACCAGCTTTGTTCTTGACTGGGTGAGTTACAGTAAAGTTGACTTATTATAATGTCACTATAACACCTCCGATAGTGATGTGCTCCACTCCTTCTATGCTTTGCAGAACTTGCCATGAGTGGATTTCCCTCAGCCTTTTTTTCTTCTGAACATCCATATTATAATTATTGTAGTGAATATCAGCAGTTGCTGATTATGAAGCACTAATTATAAAGTTTTTTTTTTTGCTCAACTGTGTTTTATTTAGGGCTGTGACTACATAACTTCTTTTTGTATGTACTATTGAGTTTTATCTTGAATATTTGAAAAAGTTCAAGATACATATTTCACTTCAATGGCAATGCTTTTTTTTAATTATTAGCATTTTTTTATTGTTATTTCAATTTTTCTTGACTTTTATGTATAGCTTCAGGAATGTATTTATGTGATTCTATTAATTTATATTTATGCTTTAAGAAATTCAAGACTAGAACATAATGAATAAAATGTCACCGATGAACAATTACGGTCGGCAAAAAGCATAAAATGTCAATTTGGTGGGGCCTGGAAGGTCTGACCAGGATGCTGAGACAGTATGTAAAACAGCATCTTTTAAATCATATTGTCTGAGCTGGGGACCACCATGTTTAGATTCAGTATAGCTTCAAGTTTTTTAGCCACTCAAAAACTGCTTGATACCTGAGTACAAAGCTGAGATGGATTATCATCTGGTGCAGCCTGAATAAGTATCTTCCTCCCACAGGATGGCTTGTTTGCCAGTGTGCTGTTATTTATTTTCAGAAATAAATGCAGTGGTGAGCATTCTGGTTAGCAATGCAAAGCAGTATGAAAAGGATTTTGACTGAACTAGGCAAATAAATTTTGTAAATGTGTTTTTTAGCTGGTGACATGCTACTGTTTAGCTTGATAAACTTTGAAAATTTTGTTTCAGTTCGTCTCCTAAAAAGGGCCACAAAAGTAAGTAAGTAGCAAAAGTATCCGTGATCTTAATGGCTTTTACAGTTTAAAATATTTTAATTATTTTTATGTTTAGTTTATGATTTTAATAAATGGATCAAAAACTTGGTCATAAAACATGGTAGTTTTGCAAAAAAAAGGAATATCTACAAAATACATAATTTAGATAAGACTGTCTAACGAAAAGAAGAAATAAATAAAAAATATAAAAACACAGATTGCTAGATAGACACCCTCAAATATCTCAGTTCAGTATGTGTGTGTGTCTTAATGTATTGTTACCACTAGAGGGTGATGTTGATCAGTTAAGCAGGTGCACCCAAAACAAAACTGAAAGTAAATTTAAGATGCTGTCATCTGAAAAAGAAGAATACAGACACTAGCTGGACTCTGGATTATAGTGTAATATAATGCAGGTTTATTTTTGAAAAACACTGTACATGTAAAGATTATGCACTCTCATACATATTTTTCTCAAGAGGTGTAAGTGTGATTGTTGGAGTTAATTTATAGTCACTTAATATATATGTCACAGAGTGTTTTAGGAAAGGAAGTAAGTACACCACACACTTTTCATGAATGAACGGCACTCAGGAAAAAAGAATAGCTTCTCAAGCCCCTGCCAGTGTCTGAGAAGAGGGGTCTCTACACTTTAGCAGTGAAGGAGGAACGTATCACTCATAATACATCACAGCAACCAGTGTTTTGAAAGTGAACATCTCTATTCATGATCAGTGTAGAGAAAATCAGATAGATCAGATAGAATAACACACACAGGAGGTTATTCTATCTTACACACACACACCGAGGAGCCAGCATCATAAAGTCTAAATCCCACATACAGCGGGTCAGTGAACGTAGTGGTAAATGTATGTAGGTGGTTCAGTGTGTGTGTGCCAGGAGAGATGCTGTAGAAGGACAGAGTTCCGCCTGGACTGTCCACATACACTCCTACTCTCCTAGAGCTGGAGGAAGGGGCAGGAATATCAGTTTTGTTACTGTTGTGACAGACAGAATAACTGTTATCAGAGAAGCAGTATAGAATCCAGGACTTTTTATTCCATCCAAAATCACAGTCATTACTGCTTCCTTTCCTGCTGATTGTTTTATATGTCAGAGCTATGGCAGCTTTCCACCCGCTCCACTCAGCCTCCCAGTAGCAGAGTCCAGTCACACTCTCTCTACACAAAATCTGTTGATACTCATCAAATCTCTCTGGATGATCAGGATATGAATGCTGCTCTCTCACACATACCACCTTTCTGTTCTTCTCACAAAGAGAGAGACGTGTGTGTGCTGTGTTTGGGTCCAGAGTGAGCTCACAGAAATCTACACACAAGGAGAGAGATTAGAGGAGAAAACATGACACACAAGAAGAGCAATTAAAGAAGAAAACATGACACACAAGGAGAGAGATTAAAGAAGAAAACATGACACACAAGAAGAGAGATTAAAGAAGAAAACATGACACACAAGAAGAGAGATGAGAGATGAGAGGAGAAAACAGGACACACAACAAGAGAAATTAGAGAAGAAAACATCAACACACAAAAAGGTAGATTAGAGGAGAAAACACTGACACACAAGAAGAGAGATTAGAGGAGAAAACATTGACACACAAGGAGAGAGATTAGAGGAGAAAACATGACACACAAGAAGAGTGATTAAAGAAGAAAACATGACACACAAGAAGAGAGATTAGAGGAGAAAACAGGACACACAACAAGAGAAATTAGAGAAGAAAACATCAACACACAAAAAGGTAGATTAGAGGAGAAAACACTGACACACAAGAAGAGAGATTCGAGGAGAAAACATTGACACATAAAAAGACAGATTAGAAGACAGCATCACCACATAAGAAGAGAGATTAGATGAAATAAACGTGACACACAAGATGAGAGATTAGAGAAGAAAACATGTTTTTGTGTGTGTATACTTACATTTCTTTGGTCCCGGGTTGATTCTGATCTTACCTCCATGTTCCACTCTGACGAAGAACACACAGACAAACACACATTACACAAACACAGGTGATATAATATTCATCTTATTTAGAGCAAAGACAAAACAAATCTAAATCTAAAATGACTGCTTTTACAAATACAAAAAATTCACACCTGATTAAACATTAAACACAAACATCTAGTAGCATGAGAATCTCTGCACATGGAAGGGTTTAATTTCTGTACAGGAGGAAGGTGGGGGGGGTATAGATTCATGATGAGGAAAAAAAAATATTTTTTAGTCAGCAGGACTGGGATTGGAAACCTTTGAAGAGCTGCTTAAAGTAAAAATGAGTGCAAAAGTTTAACTTAATTTAGTTTAGCTGGTGTATTATTTTCAAGTTTCACTAGCATGGATTAAAAAAGCAGTTTCTCATCACCATTGTGAGATCAACATAGAAAACAAAATAAAAAAAATATAATATAAACAAAAAAGAGCACAGAAAATATTTTTGTTTTAGTTACAAGTCATAACAATCACCAAAATATTGACTTACCTCATAACTTCATACAGAAATACCAATCACTAGCTGAGATTTAAAGACTTAAATGTATTTAATTCTCTGTAACTAGTAAATTTTCTTAGACACGACTACTGAAACATTATAACATAAAATATATAATATTTCATATAATATATATTCCATTGATATTACTTTTAAAAGATATTGAAGTATTGCATCCATACACCCTGTCTTGTCTCCAGCTTTCTATTTTATTGTTCTTTTTCAAAACATTGGGTCATGAGTAAGTATAAATATGTCGCTTTTCTTTGGAAAAAAAGACTTTTTTAAGGTAGCCATTTATTGTTTCACATCTGGATTGTATGTGGATACACTTTGGCTGGATTCCATTTACTCTTTTCACTGAAATGCATTCCAATGTGACTAGATAAATATCCAATTTTCTTTTCCTGCATAAAAAGCACAATTACATTTTTTTTTTCAGTTACCAAATGAATCAACAAAGCTTGGCTTGGATGCATTCAGTTTAAAAAGGCAGTTAGTTTGGGAATAACTCCAGCCTCTCGTATCTTGTGCATTTTTTATATTATTTTATTTATTTACTTATTTGATGAGAGGAGTGGAATCATGGTCAAAAACGGTGTTCTTCAGTTCCAGTGTATCACAACTACTACACCTGGCAGTTAACAGGTGAGGTGTGTTTGAACTGTATACAGACCAAACTGTGCCTTTATTAAAATTAAAAAATAATATTAATAAATTATGATTTATTAAAATTAATTAATTGGCAGAGAGGTACACAGAACAGACTGCCATAACCTAAAGGAGTATAAATCTGTACCTCTTGCTCAACACACACACTTGTACATACCTAAGCGTGTTGAGTGTGCAGTGTGGATCCTCCAGTCTAGCAGAGAGTAGCTTCACTCCTGACTCTCCTGGGTGGTTGTAGGTCAGATCCAGTTCTCTCAGGTGTGAGGGGTTTGCTATCAGAGCTGAAGCCAGAGAAGAACATCCTTTCTCTGTGATCATACAACCAGATAATCTGTAGAAAGACAGGAAATGTGGGGCTTTCAACTGTAGTGATGCACTTTCTGACTCAGATATCAAAAATCAGTTTCTGGCACATATTTGTATTTTTTATGCACAATACAACCACAAAATTAAGGTATAACATGTAAGATTCTCAATTGGTACTTCAGTAAAATCACATTTTTATTTTATGCATAATGTGACACTCTGATCAGACACATTGTATGCTGGTCTTTATTGTTTTAGATTACTTTTTAGTCTGCTTAATATTTGATTGATTAATTTGTTTGATTGATTAAGTTGTTTGTATGTTTTCATGTTGCATGAAGATGTAACTCACTCCCTTTTCTGAGCCACATGTGGAATGTGAATAATATGCCATTTTCAACAAGAACTGGGGCACTGCCTACTTTTTCACCTATAAGTCCTATAATGAGTTGAGAATTGGGGGACTTTTGATCTCTATTTACCAACCTCTACATCAGATCTTTGGCTGATCCCACATCAAACTCAGCCTATCCTCATTAAGAGAAGATAATATGTAGACTTTCTGGATTACAAGAGTGTACTGATCCTTTCCTTGATTCACAGAGGATCAACAAAGAACTGACTGACTAATGTAATTATATACTTTTTCCCTGCTTTTCCTCTCAAATTTTGGCATGGTGATTGTCCTAAGATACTGTGTTATTACAGAAACAGGCTTAGTTCTCTGTGTATGAACTAGTCCTCCTTGCATTATTAAATTATTTTATGTTTATACATTGTATATAAATTACTTTATATGTTGCCTTGCATTTTCAGCACTCTTGTATTTTCTTTTAATAATTGTTTTATAATTAAACTTTGCGAAAACTTTATCTGTATGTGCATCTCTTTATCAGAGAAGTTCAACTGCTAGGAAAAATGTATTCCACATCCTTCAGACAAATGAGAAATTATTACTATTTTAATTGTTAACAACATTATCCCATGCATGTCAATCATCAAGTTTGTCTCATTTTTCACCCATAATAATAATAAGAATTCACCCATAACCCCTACAAAGGCAATGCATTTCTAATGGCAAAAAGAATCAATCTCTCATGTGTCACACACTCACAATTTATATGTTAGATAATTTTTTAATTTTTCACACTGCAGACACACAGACTGCTTCTAAAAATGTGCCTCACTGCAGGAAGATGTGGGTGATGTCCACTTATGGAATCTCTATGACAGTAGTTTGAGTAGAGTGCAAAAAAGAAAAGAAAAATGATTGGAGTGGATTGAGTTTAGTAAAGCAGATTTGTTAAAATATGGTTGGAAATGCTCTAATTGCAGTCTACTTGTTCGGCTCAGGACATCGCTATTCAGACTTTTTGTATAATTTTGTTTCGTTAGTGAAAGTGTAACTATAAAGGAAAATGGAGGATAGTTTCCATTTCATTATTTTTCTTTGGTGTTGATGAACTACTCTGCCCTAGGTCCAGTTAGACTACCATGCTTTATGTTATCTTCAATGCTTCTTGTTAATATGCTGACCATTGTCTATAAGAATGCCTTATTGTTTTCCCCTCATTATTTTCTTCCAGAAAAGTTACTATCAAAATCCACTGTTTAGACTGTAGCTAAAATCAGCAGGTAAATAACAGCTGTCCTGCTGTACCTTCACAGCTGATTTTTCCATTCCAGAATAAACTGACAGAAAGCTGACCTGAGAATTTGCAGTTTACAATGTGAATCCTTCAGTCCAGCAGAGAGCAGCACCACTCCCATATCCTGCAGGTCATTGTGATTGAGGTCCAGCTCTTTCAAGGAGAAGTTTTCCAGTTTTAAAACTGATTCCAGATATTCACAAGTCTTTTCCCCAAGATTACACAAAGCTAGTCTACAAAAAAGAGCAAATACAGATGCAATTAACTCAAAAGAGAATTTTTTCAAAGGAGACAACAAAAACTTAAAGGACCTGAATATCTAATTTTACCATTTGTTGTAAATTTACAGGTTTATATATATATATATATATATATATATATATATATATATATATATATATATATATATATATATACATATATATATATATACCATTTAGTAATGAATAACTATGAAAAAGCTGACCTGAGTATCTGAAGTTGGCAGTGTGAACTCTTGAGACCTGCAGAGAGCTTCTCCACTCCTGAATCCTGCAGGTCATTATTACTGAGGTCCAGCTCTTTCAATGCTGAATCTGAACTGAGAACTGATGCAAGAGTTTCACAGCCATCCTTACTCAGATTACAATGATCCAACCTTGACATAAAATAAACAAAATTATGTGATCCCTATACTACATGTAAAGTCTAGCTTATTTATATTTATTGTTTATCTTGACTGCTAAAACACATGTAAGAAAACTGAGGTCAAATTAATCTTCATTGTCACTTTCTTAGCAGAAGACTTGTTCATTTGTACATAGCTACAGCTGTTAAATTGCAATCAGTTGCTATTGATTCCTGCCTGTAAGTATGGCTTAAGGAAGATGGAGACAAGACAGGTAATAAGTAAATGTGCCATCATATAAAGATGATTAACATGATGACAAAGTTTTTTTTCTCAATAAAAGCTAAACCAGCTACAAATATTTAACTTTTTTTCAAAACTGTTCAATTAAAACACAACATTTTATCTGATAATGATCTGATACATTTACATACTAATGCAATGTAAAAATATATTGAATATATTTGTTTTAAAAAGTAGAAAATAATTTACCGATCACAGCAAATTCCAGTTTTAGCTGAAGACAATGCCATCTGTTTTGTTTTCTATTGCATTATCATCTACATATCATATACAAAAGGGAACATCTTCTGATTTTTTTAAGTAAACATACACCCAAGCAGAAACAGAGAAGTGATCAGCAGAGAAAGAGGAATACCTAAGCAAGGTCCCATACAAAAATGTGATATATTGAAATGTATCCAAATATTCTCTACTTACAGTTTGAGAGTGTTGATGACAGATTTCTATATATTTTATTTTGGATGGGCAGAAGAGCTCTTTTTCTTTTCTTAAATTTACCCAGATATCTGTTCATGAGCTCTAATCAATACTAAAACATCAGAATTAGTCAGACGGAACATTCATAATTAACACACATATGTTGTATCAGTCAAAAGTAAAAAAAAAAATCTTCTCATTCAATGATTTTTCTTTATTTTTTTTATTATCTACAACCCCATTTCCAAAAAAGTTGGGAAACTATGCAAAATGTAAATAAAAATAAAATGCAATGATGTGCAGATCATTTAAACCTTATAGTTAATTGAAAATAGCACCAATACAACATATCAAATGTCAAAACTAAGAAATCTTATTGTTTATTGAAAAATATTCGCCCATTTTGAATTTAATGCCAACAACATGTTCCAAAAAAGTTGAGACAGGGACAACAAAAGGTTGGTAAATTTGTGTACTGCTAAAAACACCTTAAAATTAGTATTTGCTGGCCATTATCTTTGGGCCTTCAGACAGCACTGCAATAAAAACAGACATGATTTTGTAGTGAAATCACTGCATGGGCTCAGGTACACTTCTGAAAACTACTGTCTATGAACACAGTCTGTTGCTGCATCCACACATGCAAGTTTAAGCTCTAAAATGCAAAGAAGAAACTGTACATAAACAGGATCCAGAGATGCTGCCACCTTCTCTGAGCCTGAGTACATTTTAAGTGGACTGAGGTGAAGTGTAAAAGTGTCCTGTGATCTGACAAATCAACATTTGAAATTGTTTCTGGAAATCATAGACAGTATTCATGATGGTATAGGGGTGCATTAGTGCACCTGGCATGGATGACGTGCACATCTGTGAAGGCAACATTAATGCTGAACAATACACACATGTTTTCACAACATATGCTGCCATCCAGATGATGACTTTCTTGGAGAAAGCCTTGCTTACTTAAGCAAGACAATGCCAAAAACACTCTGCATGTATTATAACAGCATTGCTCCATATTAAGAGAGTCTGGATGCTAAACTGACCTCCCTGCAGTCTGGACCTGTCAGCCACTGAAAACATTTGGAGGGTTATGAAATGAAAAATTTGACAAATGAGCCCCTGAATTTTTGAGCAGCTGAAATCCTATATCAAACAAGAATGGGAAAACATTTCACTTTCAAAACTACAGCAACTGGTCTCTTCAGTTCCTAAACAATTACAGAGTTTGTTAAAAGAAGAGGTGATGAAACACGGGCTAAAAATGGCCCCATCCCAACTTTTTTGAAACATGTTGTTGGCATTAAATTCAACATGGCTATATACAGTATTTTTACCAATAAATCCAATAAATTCTTACCTTCAACATTTGCTATGTTGTCTTTGTGGTATTTTGGTTTACATGATTTGCATATCATTGCATCCCATTTTTATTTTACATTCTGCACAGCACTCCAACTTTTTTGGAAATGGTGTTGTGTATTGCAGATTAATATTGAAGACATCAAAACTATAAAGGAATACATATGGAAGGAAAGGAAAACCAAGAGTTACATCCCAACATCAGACATATCTCAATATCAACTTTTCAAAGGAGACTGCATAAATCAGGCTTTTGCAATTGCTGCAAAGAAGCCACTACTGAGGAAGAACACCAAGAAGGGCCAAGACACACAAGGAATGGATATTAGACCAGAGAAATTCTGTACTTTAGTCTCATGAGTCAAAATTTGTAAGATGCAGAAAAGGTGAGCAGATGGTTTTCTACATATGTCGCTCACACCATGAAGCATGGAGGATGAGGTATGAAGGTGTGGGTGTGCTTTGCTGGTGACACTGTTGGTAATTTATTAAAAATTCAAGGTACGCTTCACCAGCATGACTACCACAGCATTCCACAGTGACATGCCTTTAGATCTAGTTTGCACTTAGTGGGACCATCATTTGTTTTTCAATGAACCCAAACACACCTCCAGGCTATGTAAGGGCTATTTGACCAAGAAGGCGAGTAATGGGGTGCTGTGTCAGATGACTTGGCCTCCACAATCACCTGATCTAAACTTAATTGAGATGGTTTGGGATAAATTGGACCACTGAGTGAGAAAAAAAGCACTAACAAGTGCTCAGCGCCTCTGGGAACTCCTTCAAGACTGTTGTAAAACTATTCCAGATGACTGCCTCATTAAGCTGATGTAGAGAATGCCAAGAGTGCGCAAAGCTGTCATCAAAGGTGCGTACTTTGAAGAGTCTAAAGTATAAAACATATGCTGTTTTAACACTTTTTTGTTTATTACATCATTTCAAATGTGTTCCTTCATACAGTAGTTTTGATGTCTTCAATATAAATCTACAATGTCAAAAGTAAGAAAAATAAGAAAAAAAACATTGAATTAAAAGGTCTAAACTTTTGACTGATATTGTATACTTTGAAAACCACTTGGAAATATAATTTCATTCTGGTCGAAAAAAAAGCTGGGGTGTATGGTAATGAAATAAAGAAACACCTATGCATGAGGTGTACTCTATATTAGAAAGTATAATGGAACCACTGGATGGACACAGCATTATATGTTGTCAGTGCAAAAAAAAACAGATTATTAGCACGGGTGGTAATACTACTAATTTGCAAGCAATCTCAGGACATATAACCCAGCTGAGCATGCTAAACTGGGACTGGTGCATAGCCCAGGAGAGGGAACATTAAATCAACTGTCAATAGCTGCCTTTGCAAAAGTTGCAAAGTGCAAACCCATTAGTGCAAACAGGGGGGAATGCACTCCTTTCACTTTGTGAAGGGCATGCTGCTGTTGAACATGAGTCAAAAGGTTATTGTTCAGAGTAATGCTACAGACCTTGAAAAATTATCCAGAATCATATTTCCACTCAGTTATTACTGCACAATTTTAACCTTACGAATTGAATGATTAAACACAGTGATCTGCTCTAGATGTGTCTCCAAGGTCAAGACCTTAGGAATCAGTCACACAGTCTGCAGCTGGATTCTGGATTTCCTCATCGGCAGGCCACTGTCAGCTGGGATGGGCAACCACACTTTTTCTACCCTCACTCTCACCACAGGCTGTCCATAAGGCTGCCTTGTAACCCATGCTGTACAGCCTATACACCCATGACTGCATCTCCAAACACAGTAGTAACAACATCAAGTTCACTAACAATAAAAAAGTTGTGGGCCTCATCGCTAAAACAAAGAGGAAGTTTACAGAGAGAAGGTGAAACTCCTCACAGAGTGATGCACAGACAAAAGTCTCACCCTCAGTGTAGGCAAAATCAAAAAGAAGACTACTACTACTGCTGCAGAAAGAAATGCCCTGCAAAGTGTGGTGAAAACTATCCATTCCATCACTGCAGCTGCCCTCCCACCCAAACAGGACATTTACAATAAACTATGTCTGAGAAAAGCCAGCACTGCCATTTCAGACCTCTCACACCCCAGCCACTTCCTGTTCCACCCACTGCCATCTGAGAAGAGATATCATAACATTTGAGCCAGAACCATGAGGTTGAAGAATAGTTTCTACTCACGAGCTGTTAAACTGGTCACACCCACAGCACACACTAGACCATGAATAGCAACACTACTCGAACTATGTGCACACTGTACTGTAATCTAATCACAAACTCTCTGCATTTTGCTGCTGACTGACATGTTATACACTTGGACTGAACACTTCAATAAATGTCCATAATATTGTTTGCTGAACACTTATTTTACACACTGGATCTACCTCTAAGGGATGCAGAGAATACAAAGAATGCAATTACTAATAACTGAGTAACTGAGCACTGCAGTGGAACTTCTTAGAAAATAAAAAAATCTATAAGTATAAGAACTGAAGACTGTTAGGCTCGCTTCTTTTTTTTGGGATTCCTTTGGTATAAAATAAAATGTTAAGGCAGAACACATACAACACAGATTATTTTACGTCACCTCCATTACTGCGCATTTCTACTTATCTTATGTTAAGAGGTCATCCTACTGAAATTGCTTACCTTTATAATTATATGACTTTTTAAAGACAAGCAAAAAGACATACAAAAGTACTGGAGGGATTACTTTAATCTGCTGATTCAGTGGATTCGATAAAGCACTGAAATTAATGCTTTACCTGATCTAAAGTATAATGAAAATTATACTTACAGAGCTTGTCTTGTGTTTTTCACCACTCTCAATAGTCTCCACAGTCCTTCATCTGATGGTTTGTATTTGTATTAACTCAAACTTCTCTTGAGACTCCTCTGACATCAGCAACACAAACACCAGAGTTGACCACTGTGTATTTGAGAGTTCTTGTCTTGAAAGATCTCCTGAGTTCAAGTATTCCTGAATTTCACTTGTGAGAGAATTGTCTTTCAGTTCACTCAGGCAGTAAAAGAGATTGATGCTTTTTTCAGAGGACCCTAACTTCTTGATCTTTCTTTTAATGTAGTCTACAGTGCCCCCGAAACTTTCTTCTTTAATGTCCATTTCTGGCTGTAGACTCTTGAGAAGTCTCTGATTGGAACACAGAGAGAGGCCGAGGAGGAAACGGAGAAAAAGGTCCAAGTGTCCATTTTCACTCTTAATGGCCTTACGCACTGCTGTCTTGAGGAGATCACCCAGTTTATGTGTGAACTTCCACTTTATTTTCTCCAGTGTAGTTTGAAGGAGTGGGTTACCTTTATCTCTGAATGTGAGGAACACAAAGACAGCAGCAAGAAACTCCTGGAAACTCAAATGAACAAAGCTGAAGATCTTTTCATCCTTTCTAAAGATTTGTGTACAAACTCCAGAGAACACTACAGCTTCATCAACATCAATGCCACATTCTTTCAGATCATTTTCATAGAATATAAGCTGTCCCTTTTCTAACTGAAGAAAGGCTAACTTTCCAAGCTTAAGTATGCCCTCTACTCCTAGTCTCTCAGATGATGAAACTGTGCTGTCCTTGTTTTGCATTATGCTGTATTTCTCATTCTTTTGCCTTGTGTGAAACAGCAGGAAACGTGTGTACATTTCAGTAAGAGTTCTAGGGGCATTTTTTAAATTTTTGCCCTCCTTCAACATTTCCTGAAGCACAGTGGCTGAGATCCGACAAAAAACTGGAATGTGACACAAGATATGAAGACTTCTTGCTGTCTTAATGTGTGAAATAATTCTGCTGGCATTATCTTGGTTGTTGATTCTCTTCCTGAAGTACTCCTCTTTCTGTGGGTCATTAAATCCACGTATTTCTGTAACACGCCTAAAGTACTTGCGTGGAATCTGTTTGGCTGCTGCAGGTCGGGAGGTTATCCAGATGAGAGCAGAGGGAAGCAGCTGTCCTTTGATGAGATATGTTATTAGTTTATCAACAGTGGTCTTCTCTTGTATATTAGATGGTTTCTTTTGATTAAAATCCAGACATATTTTACTTTCATCCAGTCCATCTAATATGAAAACTACACTATAATTAACATTTAATATCTCCATTATGTTACTATCTTGGAGTTCACGATGAAAATAAAATAAAAGTTCTGTGAGGGTGTACATTTTGTCTTTGATCAAGTTTAGCTCACGAAAAGGAAGAAACAGAATGAAATCTAAGTCCTGATTGCATTTGTCCTCAGCCCAGTCAAGAATAAACTTGTGTACAGAGGCTGTTTTGCCCACTCCTGCTATTCCCAGTGTAAGTACTTTAGTACCAAGCACATTTCGATTGGACTGTACCTTGAAAATGTCACTGAATTTGATTGGTTTTTCTTCTATTTTGGGATAAAAACCCTCTATCTGTCTCACTTCATGCTCAGTATTCACTCCTCCTGTGCAGCCTTCAATCACATAGAGTTCAGTATAAATGTCTTCTAAAGGCACATAATCACCTTCCAGTGAAGTTCCTTCATACAAGTTAGTAAAATTTTTCTTGTATTGCTTTTTCAGTATCATTTTGGTATCAAGGTGTTCTCCTGTGGTAAAGTAATATTTAGGGATTAGTAGTAATATGTGGTAAAGAAAATAACTGTATGTATATTATTTTGTGACATGGGAACAAAGACAAGTGATTTTGAGATGCAGATGCATCATACATTACTGCATCATACATACATATCATTACTACTAAGGGTATCAGTAAAGACCCTAAGTTGTGAATTGGTTAGATTCTTTAATTATTGTGTAAATCTAACTATAATCTAATAAATCTACAGATTTATCAGATTTTACCCTCATAGGCAAACCCAATTCCAGGAGGGAAAAAGCAAATAAAAACAGAATTCAGTGATCTGCAAATCATTTTGCTCTGTATTCAAATGAAAACAGTAAAAAGACAATATAATTACTGTTTATTCATGATTAATGTAAAAAAAAACTGGGACATATGCATGTTTATTATTATGTTACATGATAATTCCTTTTAACAAGTGTTCTCACTGCCCTCTAGTGTGTGTGTGCACTCACTACTGTGAATGTGGTGTTTCACTACACAAATGGGTCAAAATGTGGAGGTGAAATTTTCCAGTGTGGGACTGATAAGGGCCACTTAACTTAACCAGAGATGCCAATTGTTGTAGTTGTAAAAGTGGATTTTTCCTATTCTTGCTAGATTATAGCTACTCAATAGTCTGAAATCTCCATTTTCATATGTTGCGCTTCATAATGCGCCCCATGTTTTCAGCAGAAGAGAGGTCTTGACTGTAGGCCATTTAAGGTATTTCTTAATATGAAGTCTCTTACTGCGCTCTCTTACTAAGAGGCCATGCTGTTATAACAAAGAATATGGTTTGCATTTGTCTTGCTGAAACAAGAAAGATGTACTTGAAAAAGACATCATCAAAATGGCAGTGCATGTTGCTCCAAAATGCCTATGTACCTATTAGCATTCATTGTGCTGTCACAGATGTGTAAGTTCCCCATATAATTATGGATGCTGGCTTCTTTCACTTTGCATTGATTACCGCTAGGATGGTCCTTTTCCACTTTGGCCCAGAGAGCAAGAATTATAATAATTTGAAGGCTGGACTCCACTCCGTCTCTGATGAGCTTTAGACAAGAGAAGTCATTTCTGGATGTTGATATACAACTTCTAACTTATGTAGAGTATTAACTTGAATTTATAGATGCAGCAACAAACTGTGTGTGTACTGACCAGGGATTACTCCTGAGTCCATGTGGACATATTCAGTACCGAAGCATATCATGTTTTTAATGCAGTGCCATCTGAGGATTTGAAAGTCATAAACATTCAATATTGTTTTTTTTACACACAGATATTTCTCCAGAGTCTCTGAATCTTTTAATAGTGTTATGGACTCTAGATGGTGAAATCCATAAATTCCTCACAATCCTGTGTTAAGAGACATGGTTTTTAAACTATTGTACTATTTGCTCACATAGTTTTTTACAAAGTGGCAAACCTCAACCCATCCTCGCTCATAAATGACTGAACCTTTCATGAAACATGATATAATCATGGTGTGAAAAGTTCCAAAATATGTGGTTTTGATCCTTCTAAAAAACTTCCTAGTCTTACCATGCACCTGTCCTAACGTGTTTGTAATGTGTTGCAGGCATCAAATTTGGATTCAGCAACATATAAGAAGATATTAACATATCTGTTCTTTGTGCTGTTTTCAGTTAAATGTCTGCAAAAAGCAGTTAACAAATCACTGCTTTCTGTTTTTATTTGCATTTTACCTACTGTCCCAACATTTTTGCAATTGGGTTTGTAGAGTGTGCTCTTCATACAGGAGGAACTTAGATAAGTTATACATTGCATCGTGGATTTAATACATATTTAAATATATAGTCAAGTTTATGTCATATATATATTGAATATATAATGACATGAAGTGAAGTGATGTGTTGTGATTACCTGTAGTGAGAGCACTAACTGAGTCTTCAGTCTGAACTGCAGTGGAGGACACTGCTGCATGCTTTCCAGGTATCTCTTCACATCTGTCTCTACCTGAGAGAGAACATCGGTACAGGAAATACTATATATATATATATTCAGGCACCTTAAAATCAATTACTTTTACCACAACTCTAGCTGCAGCTGTCTTTCAAAAAGAACGCCATTCACAACATAATGACTTGAAAAATGCTAACATCAGGGATTATTACCATTCCATTACAGGATTTCATTTATTTATTACAGGAATAAATTGGAACTGTTGAAATATTCTATAATGTGTTTATATAGGACTTTTTACAGTGTTGTGTCAGTGTAATTTTAAAATACAAAACTAAACTAAAACTACAGTAATGTTGTACAAACCTGTATGTTATCAGTTCCATAATTAATGCTGCCATTTTTCAAAACCAATACAATGTTTCAGTTTGAACATTTGATATGTTGTCTTTGTACTATTTTCAACTAAGTATAAGGTTTAAATTATTTGCCCATCATGGCATTCTGTTTTTATTTACACACTGTAAACATCCCCCCTTTTTTGGAAACAGGGTTGTAAGGGTTGTAAGAGTTTAAACAGTGAATATGATATCAGCTCCATTACCCTTTCTCAGCTTGGTCATCAGTTCCTCTGCCAATTGGTTTTGGTTTATCTTCTTCAGGATGGCCAGTGTTATCTCTACAGCTTCATTGTGTCCATATCTTTGTACGATCTGATCCACAGTGTCATGTCTATCTGCCTTCTCCAGCAGGCCCTTCGGGATGCAGTTATCCACACCATTGATCAGATGCCACTGGAATGATTTCAGGTCCATTTCCAACAGGTTCTGAAGAGTATTCAGCAATATTTCTGTAATGTTTGACATCTCGCAACACTGGAGATGAAAAAGTTTAATGGGGTCAAGTTAAATGGAGGATTTTGATACATTTAAAGAAACTTCGCTTCAAACAAGTAAAAAATAAATAAATTTATGGCTCAGTGAACTAGAGCATTAGCAAGTTCATCACTAGGTAATCATGACTAACGTTGGATCACAAACGGACTAAACCCAAAGATATTGGACGGAATGCCATCACTCCAGAAAATACAGTTCCAGAGCTCCACAGCCCTTTACACCCTTCTAGACAATAATTGGCATTGAACATACTGACCTTAGACCTATGTGTGGCTGGACGAGAGCACATTACATTAGCAATGCATTGTTTAAGGAGATTATACAAGACATTTAAAATATTTTATAATATATATATTATATTATATATTATATTATAAAATATTTTATAATAAAAAAGGAGTAGCTCTAAAGAAGAAATCTAAAAATAAACCATGTTGAAAAATTAAATGCTCTTACCTGCTATCAGTAGTTACCATATCACTCCATTGGCTTTAATCCTACGTTTCAGGAGACCTATAATTTATTCAGATAGAATACTCTATTTTAGACAGAACTGACTGTTTTACCCCATCAAATAACCACGTAAATCAAATTTTTAAATCTTCTGAGCTGTCATCAGAGATACTGGAGAGACCAGACTTCAACATAGATCTGCTATGACACAGAGGCTGAGACACAGGAAGCAGCACTCTGTGAGAAGTATAAAACAGGAAAAGGTTTGAAAGAGAACAAGCTCTACAGTGTCATTCACAACTAAATAAAGTAACGACACAAACTACAGATTCTGCTCTACAGTGCAGAAGAAGTGCACACAGCAAAGGAGTGAGGTCATTTCTGTTCTGGGAGGAGACTTTGAAGGGCCTCCACATTTCAGTTCAGCTTTAGAGTAGGGATTGATAAAGAATCAGCTTTACAGAAAATCTGGTGTAGACCTCCAATAACCAAGCAGAGAGAAAAACAAAAAAGAAAATTAAAGTCCGACACTTCTGTATTGTATATTATTGTACTGCACTGCATCTATTGCAAAATTAAATGTAAAAAAACTGCCTGAATAGTCATTTGGGAATTCTAATTTCATTAGTCTGGAGCACACAGAACACACGACATTCTCTGCAGAAAAAAAAACAGTTTACAGGATGAGGCTTGTTGTGGTTTCTAACACTTCTGCTGGTAAACGTGTTTTTGCCGTTAAACATCGTCATTTCTGAGAAGAAAACTCAACGGTCCACAGCTGTCACTGAGGCATTAGTCTCAAAGAAAACCTATCAACCAAGGCTTTAGCAAACAGTGAAAGAAGGATTATTATTACAGGTTCAAGCGATTTTGAGAAAATAAAGTTGAGTTTTCTGCTAACAGTTCAAAAGAAAAATCATTCTCTCCACAAATGTCCATGTGCAAAATTCTTCAGCTCTCCAAGTCAGTATTTTGTGGCACATCCTTTACACTTTATAACAACAAACAACGACAACAGTGCAACAGTGATTGCGAGCCAAACCCTCTCGTCCCACAGACACTCTCCAAAGTCTTGTAGAAAGATTCCCAGAAGAGTGGAAGCTGTTAGAGCTGCAAAGGGGGACCAACTCCATATTAATGCCTATGGATTTAGAATGGGAGTCATAAAAGCTCCTGTAGGTGTGATGTGTAGGTGTCTGAATACTTTTGTCCATATAGTTTACATTTAACAGCTATGGCTCCTCTAAGCAGCTGGCTGTGGATCAGAAAAGCAGGTTAACGTCTACAGAGCAGGTGAAGAAAATAAGAAGATATCAAAGACAGCAAATGGCATTAAGAAAGGTCAGTTTGGCGTCACCTTTTCTTCTTAAACTGGGAGCCCCTCTCACATTAAATCTGGGTCATACCACTTTTTAGATTAGGGGGACATGAGGAGCAAACAATACACATAAAACGTTACAATGTTACGTACATACAATCGTACTACATACTATGGTAGTTTCTTATTGTATATACATGTGTACATGCAACATATAAACAGCATAATTCAGCTGGCATAACTGAGTAATGTCTTATCTCTTTTACAGGTACCTGCATTACAAATTCCCTTTCACCTGGATCCCCCTGGACCCTTCAGGTAAGTATAAGTTTAAATTATTTAATTGAATGTGTTATAATAGAAGTTACTTTAATGTTCTTTAATGTATGAGGTGTAATGCAGTTCTGGTGATGTTTTAGGGTGTCCTAACATCACAGCTGGAAGACCATGAAAACTCTCAGAACTGTGCATATGCTGCCAAAAAGGCAAAGCAAAACCTCCACATGGCAGCAAAGGACCTTCAGGTTTAACTGACACAGGAGTGGTGGTGTCCCGTTATACTGTGCAGCACTGCTTGCACAAACATGTTCTATGTAGAGTGGGCGTGCAGTGATTTACTTAGCTGATGATTTGTTTAGATTCACGATGCTGTGATCACGGTTCTAGTACAGTATGCACACTGGAGAAGGATGAATATCTTTATTGGGCTCCCTGATCTGCTTCATTACTAATGTGTTTGTGTCATCATATACTTTAACCCGCTAACTGTGAAATAACTTGCTAGCCAAATATTAATGCGCAAGTTATGAAATGACATGCTAGCCATATATTAACGCGCTAGTTATGAAATAACATGCTAGCCATATAATAATGCGCTAGCTGTGAAATAACATGCTAGCCATATATTAACGCGCTAGTTATGAAATAACTTGCTAGCCATATATTAACGGGCTAGTTATGAAATTGCTTGCTAGCCAAATATTAATGCGCTAGTTATGAAATAACATGCTAGCCATATATTGACGCGCTAGTTATGAAATAACTTGCTAGCCATATATTAACACGCTATCTGTGAAATAACTTGCTAGCCATATATTAACGTGCTAGTTATGAAATAACATGCTAGCCATATATTAACACGCAAGTTATGAAATAACATGCTAACCATATATTAACGCGCTAGTTATGAAATAACTTGCTAACCATATATTAACGAGCTAGTAATGAAATAACATGCTAGCCATATATTAACGAGCTAGTTATGAAATAACTTGCTAGCCATATATTAACGCGCTAGTTATGAAATGACATGCTAGCCATATATTAACGCGCTAGTTATGAAATAACATGCTAGCCATATATTAACGCGCTAGTTATGAAATAACTTGCTAGCCATATATTAACGCGCTAGTTATGAAATAGCTTGCTAGCCATATATTAATGCGCTAGTTATGAAATAACATGCTAGCCATTTATTAACTCGCTAGTTATTAAATAACATGCTAGCCACATATTAACCCGCTAGCTGTGAAATAACATTCTAGCCATATATTACCGTGCTAGTTAAGAAATAACATGCTAGCCATATATTAGCGCGCTAGTTACGAAATAACTTGCTAGCCATATATTAACGCGCTAGTTACGAAATAACTTGCTAGCCATATATTAACCCGCTAGTTATGAAATAACATTCTAGCCATATATTAACGCGCTAGTTATGAAATAACTTGCTAGCCATATATTAACGCGCTAGTTATGAAATAACATTCCAGCCATATATTAACGAGCTAGTTATGAAATAACATGCTAGCCATATATTAACCTGCTAGTTATAAAATAACATGCTAGCCATATATTAACGAGCTAGTTATGAAATAACTTGCTAGCCATATATTAACGAGCTAGTTATTAAATAACATGCTAGCCATATATTAACACGTTAGTTATGAAATAACATGCTAGCCATATATTAACGAGCTAGTTATAAAATAACATGCTAGCCATATATTAACGAGCTAGTTATAAAATAACATACTAGCCATATATTAACGCGCTAGTTATGAAATAACATGCTAGCCATATATTAACGAGCTAGTTATAAAATGACATAATAGCCATATATTAACGCGCTAGTTATGAAATAACATGCTAGCCATATATTAATGAGCTAGTTATGAAATAACTTGCTAGCCATATATTAACGCGCTAGTTATGAAATAACATGCTAGCCATATATTAAGCCGCTAGTTATGAAATAACTTGCTAGCCAAATATTAATGCGCTTGCTATGAAATAACATGCTAGCCATATATGAACGCGCTAGTTATGAAATAACTTGCTAGCCATATATTAACGTGCTAGTTATGAAATAGCTTGCTGGCCAAATATTAATGCGCTAGTTATTAAATAACATGCTAGCTGTATATTAACCCGCTAGTTATGAAATTGCTTGCTAGCCAAATATTAACGCGCTAGTTATGAAATAACATGCTAGCCATATATTAAGCCGCTAGTTATTAAATAACTTGCTAGCCAAATATTAACGCGCTAGCTATGAAATAACATGCTAGCCATATATGAACGCGCTAGTTATGAAATAACTTGCTAGCCATATATTAACGTGCTAGTTATGAAATTGCTTGCTAGCCAAATATTAATGCGCTAGTTATTAAATAACATGCTAGCCGTATATTAACCCGCTAGTTATGAAATTGCTTGCTAGCCAAATATTAACGCGCTAGTTATGAAATAACATGCTAGCCATATATTGACGCGCTAGTTATGAAATAACTTGCTAGCCATATATTAACACGCTAGCTGTGAAACAACTTGCTAGCCATATATTAACGCGCTAGTTATGAAATACCTTGCTAGCCATATATTAACCCGCTAGTTATGAAATAACATGCTAGCCATATATCAACGTGCTAGTTATGAAATAACATGCTAGCCATATATTAACGTGCTAGTTATCAAATAACAGGCTAGCCATATATTAACACACTAGTTATGAAATAACATGCTAGCCATATATCAACGCGCTGGTTATCAAATAACAGGCTAGCCATATATTAACACGCTAGTTATGAAATAACATGCTAGCCATATATCAACGCGCTCGTTATGAAATAACATGCTAGCCATATATTAACGAGCTAGTTATGAAATAACATGCTAGCCATATATTAACGCGCTAGTTATGAAATAACATGCTAGCCATATAATAACGAGCTAGTTATAAAATGACATACTAGCCATATATTAACGCGCTAGTTATGAAATAACATGCTAGCCATATATTAACGCACTAGTTATGAAATAACATGCTAGCCATATATTAACGAGCTAGTTATGAAATAACTTGCTAGCCATATATTAACACGCTAGCTGTGAAATAACTTGCTAGCCATATATTAACGCGCTTGCTATGAAATAACATGCTAGCCATGTATTAATTCGCTAGTTATGAAATATCTTGCTAGCCATATATTAACCCGCTAGTTATGAAATAACATGCCAGCCATATATAAACGTGCTAGTTATGAAATAACATGCTAGCCATATATCAACGTGCTAGTTATGAAATAACATGCTAGCCATATATTAACGTGCTAGTTATCAATTAACAGGCTAGCCATATATTAACACGCTAGTTATGAAATAACATGCTAGCCATATATCAACGCGCTAGTTATCGAATAACAGGCTAGCCATATATTAACATGCTAGTTATGAAATTACATGCTAGCCATATATCAACGCGCTAGTTATGAAATAACATGTTAGCCATATATTAACGAGCTAGTTATAAAATAACATGCTAGCCACATATTAACACGCTAGTTATGAAATAACATGCTAGCCATATATTAATGAGCTAGTTATAAAATAACATACTAGCCATATATTAACCCACTAATTATGAAATAACATGCTAGCCATATATTAACGAGCTAGTTATGAAATAACTTGCCAGCCATATATTAACATGCTAG